GCAAAGAATGCAAAATAGGTTGGGAGTGTCAGCTGCAAGGGTGTAAGGGCCAGAGCCTGACCTGTAGGCAGCCTCACGTCGACATGACCGTCTCTGAAATTCTAGCGCTGCGCTTGTAGGCGGCAACATTAAGGTCTCCCTAGCATCTTGGCACCTTGCACCGCCAAGTCGGGTCATGGCAATGGGAGGCGACGGAAGACCAGCATGATCACCGGGGCGGGCGATGGGAGCCTCATCATCCCGTTTCACGTCGATAAAAGTGGATTTGGGGGAACAGACGAGTCGTTCAAACGCTCCAGTTGACGTGTCTCTCCATCTCTTGACTTCACTCCGAGTCTTCCCTCGTGCGCCGTTCTCGTCTTGTTGCGCGCGCGCATGTGATCAGTCTGGTAGTGTTTCTAGCTTGAAGGACGGCCTGGCGCTTTCTATGGGGCATTCAAATTTCCCTTCAAACGTTTTTCTGATGCTATGCTGTAAAGAGAGGCTTCCTTCCATGATGAAAACCCCTTCTTTGGGCCTGGGAATCAGAATCTCTAATGTTCCATAAATCTGAAACTACCACCCCATTCAAAACCAAAGCTTGGTACCGGAAACTAGACCTTTGCTTGCCATTGTTGGCCTCAAATGAGATTGTGTTTCGTCCGGCATGCCAGGGGAACCTTGGCTACCTTTGCCTGCCACCCTCGGTATACATGGAGGGGCAGAGGGGGCAGAAGTACAGACAGTAATAAGAAGACCAAAAGACATGAATGGTAATATTAGAGTGCCGAAAACAAAAGAAGAAGAAAAAAAAAAAAAAAGGCCCCATTTCAGGGGCTTTGGTTGGGGATCGGGGCTTATTGGGGATTGGTGAGGACGCGGCGGAGTGGGGTGTCGGTCCCGCTTTGGGTCGAGGGATGTACATGACACTACGTCATCTCTCTGTCCATAGTCTGCACCATCCGAGAGTGGCGTTTCCACACAAAGACAAAGGCGGCTTGAGGGCTATTACAGAAGGGGGCAAGAGGGGATCGGTCACGGAACTCTGCGCGTGCCTTCAAGGGAGCAAGAGTAGCCTTGATGGCCACAACCCCTTGGGGTCCTGTTCGTTCGTTCGTTCCAGAAGCAGCTGTGCAGCTGTTTAGCTCAGCGCGAACAATTAATTTCTTCTATTCAGTAAGAGGAGAAAACAATGAAAGGGGAGGATTTCACCTGAAATCGAGCAACGCCGACTAAACATGATGTTTGGCATCGCCGTGTTGAGTTTACAGACTGGGCCAGACTCGCTCCTTGGGTCGAAGACCTAGAGAACATTACTTAGTTCGATGGACGGAACTGATCAAATTACTCTAGCAGTTTAAACATGGAGATGGTCTCAGATGGATCCGTATACGGATGGCTCGATCCATTTTTTCCTTCTTTTTGTTCTTGGGGGAGAGAGGAGGGGACGGAGCAATCTGAGAGGCAGAAAAACTGCCACATGTGCATTTTCACCCTTCCTGAGTCGAGGGACTAGTGCCGACGTGGGGATCATTTGACGAAAGACGGAGGATTGATGGATCTAGACCAATCTATCTTCATAAGATTGCTAGACAAATGCCAGGCCCTATGAACGGCACTCCCCAACCAACCAATTGAAGGAACATAAGCCTAGGAAGTGCTCACTCGATTACTGTTGGTTTGTTTGGAAACTCGGGTTTTAAGAAATTTGATGGTAATATCGAGAGAGAGCGCATTCTGCAAGGGCCAGGGCGGAGAGTTGGAAGGCGCCCGTCATGAACAGGTTGCCGAATGTTGTGGGGACGGAGACGGGGACAGATGTGCACGCAAGGGCTCTTTTTTCCTTTTCTCTTCTTCCGCTCCCAACATGACGAAGGGCGCGCACTGGGTGAAGGGGTACGAAAGGGCATGATGAAATAATGGCACCATTCAGAGTTTAGTTCCTTACGCCATCGGCTTCTGTCGAAATCTTTCGCCCCCGATGGTCGCCGCGCTTGTACGTACTGGGCGGACACTCACACAACCTTTTACGCGATTGGGAAATTGACAAAGTATCGAAGGCAGAGAAGAGAAGAGGAAGGCGGAAGGAACGCAGAATCACCAAGAGGTTGCCGGGAAGTAACGACGAGAACGGGAGGTGGTATCCGCGTGAACTCTGCCTCCAGGTCCATTCCTTTTGTAGCCCTGTGCCTGGATCGCCAGCCCCTGCGCTGTAGTGTACATTCTCTCATCAATGTACGAAGTATCTTGCGCCTGTCTAACACCGCGACAGTGACCACTATCTCCCCCGAAAGATTTTTGTTCTGGAGAAGGGCAGCCACCGGCTTGTCCACTTCCGTCATCGACCTGTGCCCTTGCTGTCTGATCCCGACTTCCGCCAACGCCGTTGCTTGCATCGAGAAACCACGGGCTCCGCCAAGGCTTTCTTTGTTCTTGCTCTTCTCGTCGCTCATGTTCAATCTATCGTCTCCGACGCCAAGCCGGTAGACCCTTGGGAATACACTACGCTACTCGCGCCGTTCTCGCCTCGATCTCGGCGAACGCTTCCCAAGTTTAATGACTTTTAAAGTTGAGTGTGGTGGGATGGTGGTTCCTTTTTGATCGCCCGGTTTAGCCGCCCAAGGGAACAACATAGAGGTAATACATAGATGTCATCCTGGAGCCCCCAAAAGAGATCAATTGATGTAGATGGGGTGACTACCCCTCTGTATCCGCGGTGGGTGGACAAACCATGCACATTTTTCTGGGGTGCCCCCGACACCGGTTGCTGATGACGGATGGATCAATCCATCTCATATCCATGGATACGTCAACGAGGTTAAAACTCGGCGACGAGTGTTTTTATGTACTGTAACTCGGGCCCGAGGGCTGGCGAACAATAGGGGCTCCCCTTGCCTCCTTTCCTCTCACACCACGACTTTGAAGGAAACCTGCCCTTGAGCTGAAGATTACTCGTAGGTAGCAAAGGCAGGAGCACCTGGCCGAGTCAATCAATCCTTAAAAGGCCCATTGATTGATCCCGTTTATCAATGCCTAGGCTGCCCTGATCCCCCTCTCTCTCCCTCCCCTTCAGGTCCCGCCCTTCATCAATTGATCAACACAATTTCGTCCCCCACCATTAAACAATTCACCCACCTCCCCCACCATCACCGCCGCCTCTGCGTACCGCCATTCCCACTCCAGACTTCTAAACTTGCACCCCACCCCTTCAACCCAGATCCAGTGCATGGATCAGAGGGATATTAGCGTGCACCGGTACATCAGCTCTCCCAGCCGGAGCCAATCCTCCCAGGATCACAGGCCCCTTCTTCTGGTACCTAACTATTACCAACTCGCTGGCCGCAGATCCCCCTCCCTTTTCCCTCGGGTCTGCCCTCGACATCTTGTTTCCTTCCCTTTTTCGATTTCTTTATCCCCTTCTCCTTGCCTCGACGCCCTCAGTGACGACTCAGCCGCCCAATAGTTTTCCTCTCGGCCAAGACCAACACTCTGTTGAAGGCGAAAGGCGCGTTGGCGGTACCCCTTTCATCGAACCCGTCGGTGACCTCGAACGTCTAAAACTCCTCGACGGAGTTGATTGAGAAATAGTGACCGCTGAAGGAGCCTTGATCCCATTATCCGCACCATTAGCCCGACACATCTCGACCGCCCTCTCGACGACAGTCTCGCGACGTGCCCTCGAGACCTTTCCGTCGCCCTTTTTTATTTTTATTTTTTATTCTTTGGTCATTTGTAAAAAGACAGAAGCACCAATATACCGGCCGCGTGAATAAAAAAAAAAAAAGAAAGAAACAAAGGCATTCAAGTCTACCCCTAAGAGTCCGAGCCACGCCACAACGTGTTTTCCGACACTTCAGCCTCTCCCGTCGAATCCCTTCGTTAGTCTGCCAAGTTTGGGTTGGCCCAGAGTGAAGAGTTGGTTCCATCTGTCCCTTCTCTCTGCGCCTAATACTGCCCTGGCGAAAACAGCCTGCTGGAGGGTGCCACTCATCCTGAACGGGGCATTGAGGGCCTGTCCAACGACGTAATCTGACCTGACCGAAGCCTGGATTGCTGCAGGCGGGCACCACCAGTATATGACCGAATCAGGTCCCCTGCTCTGATCATCCTCGCTCCATATCGCCACCGCAAGGAATCAGCGACCCCTCTTGTCGTTGAATTAATCGACACCTTTTCCACCGGTCCGGGTCTCCATTTTCTGGACCCTTACACCATTTTGGATTTCTAAACCGATCTCGAGCAACCCCGAAGCAAGAGTTCCTTTCCTTCCTTTTGCCTCCCTTTATTCTTTTTCTTCCTTCTTCTTCCTCTTTTAGGTCATCTGGTTCTCTCTGCCACCAATTATCGAACCGCTTGTTTCTTCTTCCAGCCTCGACTCTTTTCTGTCAAGCCTCCAACTTGTTCCTTTGGCTCGCTTTGCTTTTTTGGAGACTTTTGCTCTCCGAATAAGACCTTGCTCTTCGTTTCTCCATTCCCTACCTTCACCGCAGCTGTTCGTCGCCAGTCATGGAGCTGTGGATCCACTAATACAACTAAGAGCATCAGTTCCTCGAGCGTCTCCGGAGAAGAAGAAGAGGAAGAGAAATACGCAATAGAATAAGACGCCCGTATCGCCATCATAGACCCTGCATCCTTCATAGCCCCCCTTCTCCCTCCCCCTCCCCCGTCTTTTCTCTTTAGTAAATATTCACAATGCCCGAGTCAAGAGGTTCCGACCGCACACCTTACCGGTATACCATGAAAACACCCGGGAGGCAAACGCCCGCCGGCGCCCCTCCACATTCCAACACCCTCATCCGCACCCGTCCTCTTCACACTCGCATGCGGCGCCCTCGACGCTACGTACTTCTAGGGGATCGAGACCGACCACCCCAGTACCGTCTCCCAAGATGCCGTATTCGGTCGGCCAGCAACACCCGCCAAGGTTATCACCCGCACGTGGCACCTCGGAGAAACGCTCGTCGAGCCCGAGCTATTTTGGCCTCGTGGTGGATGACTCTGTCGACCCGAGGGACTCCTCAATGATGCCGCGTCATAACTGGAGCCCGCCGTCATCCTCGGTGAGGCCCTTCGCCGCGGCGGTGCCAAAGCAGGTTCCGCTAGAGGCAAACCCAGAGTTTGAGGCTTTTCGGAGACAGGTGGATGCCTATCGGGGCAAGGGCCTCAGCCTTTCGACCACGACATATATGTCTCAGGTCACCCTCGCATCGATCAAATCCCCAACCCGCCCCAAACCACCTCGCTGGCAGACTCACGCCAGCGATTCCACCAACTCAGACACCGCTTCTACTAAGGACGGTAGCTCGTCGGGACAGGACGGTCCCGGCGATAACAACCGCATGGACCTGGATCAGGATAGTCTACATGACTCAGCGTATGTCTCTGGAGATTCCAAGCGAAATTCTGAGGCTTGTTTAGCACCCCCAAATCAGCCTTCCGGGTCCCGATTCTGCCGATGGTGCCTGGGAATCATCACAACAAGCCATGACTCTTTCCAAAGTTGAGGATAGGGACCCTCGCTTATCCGTCATGGGTAATAGGATCGATTTCCCGTCGCCGACGTCGCCTAATGCCCCGAGGCCGTATACCACGCCCCCAAAGATCGAATCCGGCCCCGTGTTGATTATGCCGGACCAACTCCACGGCATGATGGCGGATAGCAACCTGCGGATGCTGCTTCTCGATGTTCGCTCCGCTCAAAGTTACGCCCAATCCCACATCCGATCCTCTCTCAACCTTTGCATCCCGACAACACTATTAAAGAGAGCCACTTTCAACTTGCAGAAGCTGCAGCAAACGTTTCAGCATCCGGACCAGCAGGGGCTCTTCTCGCAGTGGAAGGAAACGGACTGTCTCGTGGTGTATGATGCGTCTTCGTCGGAGAAGACGGAGGCGATGACGGCAATGAATATGATCAAGAAGTTCACTAACGAAGGCTACAAGGGTAGCACGTTTATCCTGCGAGGCGGTTTCCGGCTCTTCGCGGAGGAGTACCCTGACCTCCTTTTCACGCGTACCACCGACAGCCCTGTATCGCCGAGCGGGGCTTGCGGTGGGCTGGCGCCTGTCATTGGCGGCGTCTTTTTGCCCATCGCTTCCAACACCCCCAATCCCTTCTTCGCCAACATCCGGCAAAACGTGGAACTCGCGAATGGGGTGGGCCAGATGGACATTGAGAAGCCCAAGGGCCTAACGCCATCAGCGCTGCCGAAATGGCTCCGAGAGACGACGGACGAACAAAATCACGGCAAGATGGTTTCTGACAAATTTTTGAACATTGAGCGGGAAGAGCAGTCTCGGATGAAGGACGCCTATTCCATGTTGAACCGCGATCCCTCGAATTGCAAATCGGGGTCCGTGCAACTCTGCGGCATTGAACAAGGCGGCAAGAACCGCTACAAGGACATTCTTCCGTTCGAACATACACGGGTCAAATTACCGGCCCAACCGGATGGCCGATCGGACTACATCAATGCTAGCCATATCAAGGCTTCAGGCAGTAACAAGAAGTATCTTGCGAGCCAGGGCCCACTTCCGGCGACATTCGAGGTATGCTTCTCTCTCTCTCGCGGAGGCTGTATCATTGTCAAAGGGGAAAAGGAGGACTGCTAATCGTTTTTCTTTTTGTATAGGACTTTTGGACCGTTATCTGGGACCAAGACGTACGAGTCATTGTGATGCTGACTGCCGAGTCTGAAGGGGTCAGCTCAAGTGTCACGCGTACTGGAAAAGCCGAGAGTATGGGCCTATCCGACTCAAGTTGCTCTCGGAGAAGAAGGTGTCGTTGGATATCGACAAGCAATCGGCCGACGGACCCGTGCCGCAGGCATCTCCCGCGGCGGAGATGGGCCGTAGACGGGCTCACACGACGACCGCGTTCGACGCGGCCTCTTCTGGCGCCAACGCAAATCAGCCTCCCCGTGCGTCTGGTGAGGCACCCCACGTTGTCATTCGCAAATTTGCTCTGTCCCACATGGCGAATCCCTTTGAACCGATGAGGGAGGTTACGCACCTTCACTATCCTTCGTGGCCAGACTTTGGAGCGCCGGCGGAACCGTCCCACCTTCTTGCCCTCGTCGAGCTCGCCAACGTAATGCAGAAGGCTCCTCTTCCTGTAGAGACGCCGTCTTCTAAGAGGCCTAGCTTAATGCCCCTCACGTGGTCTGAGGAACCGGAGAGTGACGGCCGCGTGAGGCCGATGCTCGTTCACTGTTCTGCTGGCTGCGGCAGGACGGGAGCGTTCTGTACCGTAGACTCGGTTATTGACATGCTCAAACGCCAAAGGACTGCCAGAATCAAAGCTCGCAACACTTCCCGGAATGGTACGGACCATGACGTCGATATGAGCGACGCGACGCCCGGACTCGCGGTTGCGCCGCCCCGATCGTTGGTGTCAAGCCCGTTGTCTGAAACAGCCTCAATGGGGTCTCTTCTCAGCCGGCGGTCAAGTGCGGAGGCTCCGCCTCGGCGCACCTCGGTGGAAGCCCCAACCCTTGATCTGACCTGGCTTGGAGATGATGCCGTGGACCTAATACAGCAAACCGTTGATGATTTCCGAAGGCAACGCCTGAGCATGGTTCAGAGTCTACGACAGTATGTGCTCTGCTACGAAACGATACTAGAGTGGATCTGGAGAATGCAAGATAAATCGAACCAGAATGACCCGGCTTTCAAGGGTAGAATGAGGAGTGGTAGTCTTCAGGTGCGGCGAGAAGGCTGAGCATCCCGGCTCGGCGAAAGAAGAACTAAAATGGCCTGTAGGCTCTTGAAAACAGGAAAGAAGCCTGAGATCCTTTACTTTTCTCAGAGGACAACAAAAAAGAGAAAGAGAGAGAGAGAGAGAAAGACAGCGAAAGATTGATTGATTAGCGGTGGTTGGGGCTTTACAGAAATAATGGAACATTACTGGGCTGGTGTTAACTTTTCGAGCGAGATTCAGCAAGCATTGGAAACATAGAACGGGTTTATCATGGGTTATTAGTAGGAAGGAAGCATGGGACTCGGAAAATTGTCTTGCAACGATGGCTTTCTCGGCAAAACGCATCCATCTTTTCGGTTTCCCCTTCATATCATGGTTTATCTCTTACTCTGCTCTTGCCCATGGCAAAGCAACAAATTGGGCGGGGATTGGGTTTCACGTGCGTTTATGGAGTTGATATCAATATTTTTTATGGCCTCTTAGTGTAAGGCAAAGAGATGGAAAACGAAATCAAGAAACTCTTTACCCGTTCTCGTCTGTGTACCGACTGCATGGTAAAAGATTGTGCTGTCCCATCAATGAATCTTTCTGTGGTGGCCACGACGACAAAGTGCCCCATACAATCTGGTTGGCTGGAGTGGCACAGTGCGGATGGGCAGATATGGATCTATTTCGATTGGATGGGATGGACCATGACGCGGGCCTAGCATTCCTGAGCTCGTCGCGAAATGATCCATTTGAAGCATATTTTTCCTAAATTTCTTCCCTGCCTCATAGAGATTCACTACGCGAGGACGACTTTCCAAAGCTTGGAGAGCTGTAATTGACCTTCCAGTAGGAGATGGTCATCCATTCTTTACCTTGATCTGTTTCTTTCCTCCCTTTTTCTTTTCTTTTCTTCTTCTCGCCATTGATTCCGCTTCGCCCTTGGCCTGCCTTGTTCGGCGACTCACCCCTTTTGCGAATCGCTCAGCGCAGAACGAAAGCTGAACCGAGAAGAGAAACCTACCATTGTGACAGCCGCCGTCTGGCGCAGATCTCGCCCTTTCCCGACCGCACGCGCCGAAACGAAACGAACTGCGGACATCTCCGAGGACACGAGACACGAGAGCCGTCCAAGTTTTTTGTTATCACCTCTGCCCTTCTCAGTAGCCCACGCCGGCTAAGCGCAGCCGAACCAAACCCGCGCAATGAACCCTCTCGGGCAGGCCTTGGGCCTGCGTTCCGGGACGGCCCTGCGCGGCGCTGTGCGGATAGCCGCGACAGCAGTTCCGACGGCGACGAGCATAACCCGGCAGCCGGCCGATGCGGCGACGAGGCCGTACGGATATAGTTTGGGGAATGGGGCCTGGTCGCTCGTCGGGGCGCGTCATGGCGTGCATGCCTGGACGACGGGTGCCGGTGCTGGTGCTGGACCTGCTGGGAATGCGTTTGGCGTGCCGCAGGCGAGAAGCTTCTTTTCGACGAGCTCACTGGGGTCGATGGCCTCGAAATGGTCTACGTCGTCAGCGAGGTAAGTTTGGCGACAATCTCTTTTCTTCTTCTTTATATGTTTGTGCGCGCGAAACGGCACATTCTCCTCTTTTTTCCGCCCTGGAAACCTCGTGGCACAGCTTTCACGTATCACGCCACGTTCTCGGTTGTTCCCCTTGTATCTTTGACAGCCAGCCGAGGGGCTAGACCTTTTGTAAGGGCTTGGCAGATAAACCCTCCCCCTCCCTCGTACTCCTTGCAAAAAGAACAAAAGAAGACGAAAATGAAAAAAGAAGACGAGAGAAATCCAACAGACTAAGCAAGTGCTACGCGGGATCGTATTGGTGTTGAGCAAGTGCTACTGCTACTAGCAGAGCAAGACACCTTCCTTGCACGGGTTTCGCAAAATGGGTCGAGCGGAGGTGTGATTGGAGCTACCCAAATCGGGACCCGGGAACTCGTGTGCTTGCCTGCTCCACTGGGAACTTCTTTTTGCTGTCAAATCTGGGAGCTTTCGGGGAACTTTGGGGAACTTTCGGCCTGTTGAGGGGCAGAAGGGGCCTGCACCTTCCCAAAGTCTGCTCTACACCCTTGTGCCCCGCTCCCCGCCCGTTGCACCTTCACCTGCCCTCGCCCGCTGCTTCTGCCCGCTGCAAGCCGAGTTGTTCCCCCCGCCCCTCCATAGTTCCAAGGAGGAAGCTACGGACGAGGTCGGTCCAGGTCAAAACCCGGAACAAACCCCCGTCCCAAGGCCCCTCTCGACCTCGATCTGGCCCTTCCATCCTTGTCATTCTTGTCATACCTTTCACTGCATTCTTCATCGTCGCCGTCATCATCATCATCCTCCCCAATTGTCCACTCAATCTCGTTACCCCGCTACTGGCTACACCAATCATCACTTTTCGTCCCTCTCGTTGCCTGCTTTGCCACGCAGCTCCGATTAGCTCTGTCTTACCTCACTTGCATCTTCAAGCAGCCCTCCCGCCCCCATCAACCGGAGCTGAGCTAACCCTACCATTTTCTCATTTGTCCGAAACGCAGCCACAGCCGTTCCAGCTCCCAACAGCTCTTGCGTAACCCCTCCTTGATCCTCTCTTCACCGCAGACTTATACCGCCTCTTCCCTCCGTCGCTGCTCTACCATTGGAACCTCTGAAAAAGCCATCGAACTCGGATTGTTCTCAACCCAAATCATGGCCGACCGCGATATTCTCCCCAGCAACCTCAAGCCCACCCACTATGCCCTCTCCCTCCGAGATCTCGAGTTCCAGAACTGGACATACAAGGGCACCGTCGACATAAATGTCGAAATCACAGAGCCTACCAAGGAGGTTGTCTTGAACGCCCTCGAGATCAAGCTTTCCGGTGCCAAGGTCACCCACGATGCTGGTCAGGTTGCGTCCTCGACCAATTTCTCCTACGATGAGAAGGCTCAGCGCGCCACCATTACCTTTGACGAAGAGCTTCCCACACTCTCTAAGGCCGTGTTGTCGATCGACTTCGAAGGTATCATGAACAATGAGATGGCTGGTTTCTACCGAAGCAAGTACAAGCCCGTCGTCCCCGCCTCCGCCTCGGTGCCCCGCGATGACGACTGGCACTACATGTTCAGCACCCAGTTCGAGTCGTGCGACGCACGCCGCGCTTTCCCCTGCTTTGATGAGCCCAACCTCAAGGCCACCTTTGACTTTGAGATTGAGATTCCCGAAGACCAGGTCGCTCTCAGCAACATGCCTGTCAAGGAGACCAGGAAGACCAAGGATGGCTGGCACATGGTTTCCTTCGACACCAGCCCCATCATGAGCACTTATCTGCTCGCCTGGGCCGTCGGTGACTTTGAGTACGTCGAGGCCTTTACCGATCGCGAGTATAACGGCAAGACCATTCCTGTTCGTGTCTACACGACTCGCGGCCTCAAGGACCAGGGCCAGTGGGCTCTCGAGCACGCCCCCAAAATCATTGACTACTTCTCGGAAATCTTCGACATTGACTATCCCCTTCCCAAGTCCGATCTCTTGGCCGTCCACGAGTTCACTCACGGCGCCATGGAGAACTGGGGTCTCGTCACCTACCGCACGACTCAGGTCCTCTTTGATGAGAAGAAGTCGGATGCGCGGTTCCGCAACTCGGTCGCCTACGTTGTCGCCCACGAGCTTGCTCACCAGTGGTTTGGCAACCTGGTCACCATGGATTGGTGGGACGAGCTCTGGCTCAACGAGGGCTTTGCCACCTGGGTCGGCTGGCAAGCCATTGACCACATCCACCCTGACTGGAAGGTGTGGGCTCAGTTCGTCAACGAGGGCATGGAATCTGCCTTTAAGCTTGACAGCATCCGCGCTAGCCACGCGATTCACGTTCCCGTACGTGACGCCCTCGACGTGAACCAAATCTTTGACAATATCAGCTACTTGAAGGGCTGCTCCGCCATTCGCATGCTTGCGAACCACCTTGGAGTCGAGACCTTTTGAAGGGTGTCTCCAACTATCTCAAGAAGCATGCTTACGGAAACGCCAAGACTGAGGCTCTCTGGGAGGCCCTCAGCGAGGCTTCTGGCCAAGACGTCACTGCCCTCATGGGACCTTGGATCTCCAAGATTGGCCACCCTGTCATCAACATTGATGAGTCCACCCCCGGCGAGATTACCGTCCGTCAGTCGCGTTTCCTCTCCACCGGCGACGTGAAGCCCGAGGAGGATGAGACCGTTTGGTGGGTCCCGCTCTCGATTGAGGGGAAGACCGGATCCCAGGGCATCCAATCCCTGGCACTTACTACCAAGGAAGATACGATTACCGGCATCGATGACGACTTCTACAAGCTCAACTCTGGCGCGACGGGCTTCTACCGCGTCAACTACCCCTCTCAGCGCCTCGAGAAGCTCACTACCCAGCTCGATCGCCTCAGCGTCGAGGACAAGATTGCCATTATTGGTTCCACCGCCGATTTGGCCTTTAGCGGATATGGCACTACTGCCTCGCTTCTCTCTTTCGTTCAGGGCTTCTCCAAGGAGACGAACAACATGGTTTGGAGCCAGGTTCTTGACTCTATTGCCCGCGTCAAGGGCGTCTTTGGAGATGACCCCGCCATCCGTGCTGGTTTGGAGAAGTTTACCATCAAACTCATCAGCGCCGCCGTCGACGAGATTGGCTGGGAATTCGCCGAGGACGAACAGTACCTCACCTCCATGCTGCGAAAGCGCCTGATTGGCACCGCCGGCGCCAACGGACATCCTGGGTTCGTATCCACCCCCAAAACCTGAGCCGATAGCCCCAAGCCTCGGAAAGGGACCAGCTTTTGGTACTAACTCGTTCTCCAGCGTCACCCTTGAGGCTCTCAAGCGTTTCAACGCTTGGTGCGAAGACCGCGAATCGGACGTTATTCCCCTAGTCTCCGTCTTGCTGTCTACAGTGTTGCCGTAAAGAATAACCCTGCCAAGGCTGTAGAGGTATTGAAGGATGAATGGTTCAATACCAAGTCCATTGACGGCAAGACCATTTGCCTTGCTGGCCTCGGCAGCGTCAAGGATGAGTCCATCATTCGCGACAACCTGCTCCCCTTCCTTTTCAACATCTCGCCTCCGGCCCCCGTTTCGGAGTCCGTTCCCTCGGCTGACATGCACGTTCTCGGAGTCGGCTTCGCCTCCAACCACATTGCCCGTGGTATCCAGTGGAAGTACCTCCAGGATAACTGGGATGCTTGCGTAACCAAACTAGGCAACCCTATTGTGCTTGACCGTTTTATTCAAGTGTCGCTTCCTGGGTTCACCGACTCGGCGTCCATCGACGAGATTGACGCCTTCTTCGCCGACAAGGATACCAAGGCCTTTGACCGTACTCTTCAGACTGTCAAGGACAAGATTCGCGGTCGTGTGGCGTACCGCTCGCGCGACATCGAGCCCCTGCGTGAGTGGCTCACCACCAACGGATACATGGCCTAAAGGAGTTGTTGACCTGGTGTATCGACGGTTATGCTCCTTTTCATCATGAAAACGTAGACAGTCATTCTTTATTGCGAAGCAAGCCAAAAGTTATAAAGAAACAAAATTAGGAGAAAGAGGAGCCAGGCTGTGAACAGTGGCGTGGTGAAAAAGAATGCGCCAAGTAAAGGACCTATATCGTCTCCTGCGTGCATGCTCTCCGCTCGCAAGGAGGCTAACGCTGACCTGGTCCGCCTGAGCAAGGTTTCTTCATCAAGGAAGAATAAGACTAAAAAGCAATAAACATACCAATTAATAGGAAAATGCATCAATAATGTTTACGTCCAGAAATTGTGCCACATGCTAGTTGTCACGGAAGCCTGTGTGTGATGGGAGGAAAGGGAAAAGAGAAGGAGAAGAAAAAAGGTATTATGATTAGGGTATTTAGCATCATCTATCAACATTCCCACGGCCTGCTTCAACTAGGCATGCATTTTCTAAGCAACGATTATTTTCAAGGTGGTGATACATCCGAGGTGTGCTCCTCGGACTCCTCGGCAGATGTCCTCTCCAGCCTCATTGGGCCCCGTTTCGTACTTCGAAGTCCCTGGTCTTCTTCATGCCTATGGCTTGGGGACGGCGGGGCATCATCCATGTTAATTTTGCGGGGCCAGTCCGTCACGGGATCAATGGTATTCCTTGGGAACCACCACTCGAGAAACACAAAGAGGAGGTAATCGACGGTGGCGACGAGGCAAAAGAGCTTCCCGGCCCAGATGCCGCAGCCGTAGTACCGCTTCAGACGGTCCATGATGGCGAAGCTAGGGATGCGGGAGCGGGTATCGGGGCGGGAGGCGTCGGAGCCGTAAAACTCGGCCTCGGAGATTTCGCCCGTGATGCCGTCGTAGACGCGTTCGGTGCGGGCGGCGACGTCGACCCACGAGTAGTAGGACTTGACCTGCTCGTGGAAGAGTTCGGTCTTGACCTCGCCGGCGCGCATGCGGTCGATGGCGCGGCCGGTGGCGGCGACGAGGTCATCCTCTTCGGGGTTGGCGAAGACGGTCATGTGCGGGGGCAGGACCTCGGGGATGCCGCCGACGCGGGTGGAGACGACGTAGAGGCCGCAGCTGGCGGCCTCGACGAGGGCGGTGCCAAAGGCCTCGGTGAGGGAAGGGTGGAGGTAGATGTGGCCGCGGACGAGGACGTCGCGGACCTCTTCGTGGCGGATGGCGCCGAGCATCTCGACGCGGTCCTGGAGGACGTTTTGCTCAATCATCTGCTGGAGGTCAATGGCCTTGGGTCCGTCGCCAGCGATGATGAAGCGGGTGTTGGGGTGCTCTTCGAGGATGCGGGGATAGCGGCGGTGAGGAGATCTGTGCCCTTATTGTAGTAGAGGCGGGAGATGACGACGATGGTGATGGTGTCGGAGGGGCGGAGGGGAGCCCTTGGAGGAGGACTTTTGGGGCGGAAGGAGGCGGAGACGAGGGCGTTGGGGATGGCGGAGACCATGAGGGGGTCGAGGGAGGCGCGGAGGACTGTGTTTTCTTTGCTGTTGGGGAGAGCAGAGGGACACGTTAGATATGGCAAGAAGACAAAAGAAGAAGAGGAACAAGAAAAAAGAGAAACGCACCATGTGTGGCTCACGCAAATGACGTGGTCGACGTCGCTTAGGGTGAATTTGAGTAGCTTGTTGGTGAGGATGCTACCAATGTCGGCAAAGCCAAAGAGGGAGTGGTCTGTGTAAACGGTGCGCAAGCCCATGGTGCGGCCGTGGAGGATGGCTTCGTGGGAGATGGCGCTCAGGGCGCCGTGGGCGTGGACAATCTCGATGCCCTCGCGGATAAAGATGTTGCGGAGGATGGGGAACATGGACCAGACGGTGGGGAAGGTGGCGTTGCGGTAGATGACGGCAAAGGGCACGTAGTAGACCTTGAGGCCGTTGGTGAGGTAGCGCACGCCGTTGCGGGTGCCGTAGGAGTGGGTGACGATGACGACCTTGTGGCCGCGGTCGATGAGCTTGGTGCCGACCTGGTAGATGTGGCTCTCTACGCCGCCGGGTTGGGGGTAGAAGAAGTCGCTCATCATGGCGATGTTGTACGAACGGCGAGGCATCTTGGCGGTGGGTGGGCGGGCGGGCGGCAGCCGACCGGCTTAAAAATGTCGGAAGGGTGGGCGCGCAAGGAAGCGATCGGGGAGATGGTAGATGGTGGGGAGAGGCGAGGGCGCGCGCGAGGCGTCGTGGGGGTTCACTGTTCCTCCGCCCCTTTGTATCGTTGATGGTCGATATAGGAGAACTGCTTAGAGTCGAAACGACTCGACGATGAATGGCAGCATGAGATGCGATCGAGAAAGAGAGGCGCGCAGGATCGAGGTTCGCTTGGTGGGGCGCTTCAGGGGTAGCTAGTAAGGAGGGACGAGGCTGGCGAAGAAAGAAAGAAAAGAAAAGAAAAACCAGGAGTCGAAAAGGGCGACGGCTAAAGATTAGGCCAGCTACTGCTCAGACCATCGCCATCGCAAAGGAAAGGAAGAGCACGGTTGGCGGGCCGGAGGGGAGGTCGCGGTCGTGATCGTGATGGCGTCCTAAAAAAGAGCGGTTGACGTTGGATTTGCTTAGCAAACCTTTTTCGTCCTTTCTTGGGAGCGCAAGGTACAAAGTTACTTGGGATGGCTGTTCGCGTCGCCAGCATGTGCTAAAAGAGAGGCGGCGCGGCGCTTGTTGCTGGTGTCAGGTACCTATGACAAGCACAAGTAATCGAATTGACAGTGGTCAATGAGAGCCTCACTCGCAGAACGGTTCCGCCCAGACATGTGCTTTCACCTGGCCCAGACCTCGTGAGCACTGTCCCCTTAATCTGATCTGGCCAGCTCACTTGCTCACGTTGACGGAAGCGGCATCTGGCACTTCCAGAAGCCAAGAAGGGACGGCTTAGCGGGCACCGGCCTGGGGACGTGGCAATTTGCGCCAATAGAAATGGAACGTTCAAGCTGAGCACACAGTGGTCTCTGGACCTAGCCTCCGTCCGAAAAATAAAAAAGTCCGGGTGTTGAAGAAGAGGTACTGGTACTTGACGAATACGCATGCAATGTGGCAGTGGGGATTGTACCTGCATGTATCGAGAACCTTGCTCTGGCCAGTGGATGCTCGTGGAAGGGAATTGAAGCTTTCAGCACGGCCTGTGACTGCGTGCTAGTGGTAGTGCTAGCTGTCCTCTTCGACAGTATCAAGTGAGTCCATGAGGCCAGATTCCCACATCCCCATCATCACTCCAGGCAAGCATTTCAACTCTTTGACTTCAAAGCTCTTTCTCCCCCAACAACCCTTTTATTAGAGTCAATTTCTCTCATCCTCTTTTCTTCCAATTCCACACGAGGACACGACCGCCAGGCCCGTGGCCATTCACGACTTCACGCTCACTTGATGCATTCCACTCCATAACACACTACCCACTCCATTCCCATTTGGCCCTGTCCCCCAGGAGCTAGGAGCTGTCTTTGACTGTCTCTGTCCCCCACCTCCCCCTCCTCCCTCTCCTCCACTCGATTCGACTCGATACTCTGCGAGAGTCCTGCAAGGCAGAGAGACACTCAGCACCCTCCAGTCCGCGAATATTCAACCCTTCCGCTATCCGCCTGCGCCACGCGCCTGTTTCCACAATGGCTCTCGTTAGCAAGCTATTATCGCCCCTCTCCCTTTTTCTAGCCGGCGCCTTCTTCCTCTCGACAAATGTCGCCGCCGTGCCCCCGTGCTCGGCGTCGACCTCGGCACCGAGTACATCAAGGCGTCGCTAGTCAAGCCCGGCATTCCCCTCGAGATCGTCCTTACCAAGGAGGCCCGCAGGAAAGAGGCTTCGTCCGTGGCTTTCAAGCCCGAGCGCGGCGAGCTCAAGGCTGGCGACTACCCAGAGCGTTTCTACGGCTCTGATGCGCTCGCCATGGGCCCCCGCTTCCCCGCCGACGTCTACTCAATCTCAAGCACATTCTCGGTCTCCCCTTTGACCACCCCACCGTCCAAGAGTACGGCGCCCGATACCCCGGCTTGCAGCTGGAAGAGGACAAGGCCAGGGGCACCGTCTCCCTCAAGAGCAAGGCGTTCGGCGCCGACGAGGAGCCCTGGATGGTCGAGGAGCTTCTTGCCATGCAGCTCCAAAACATTCGAAGCAACGCCGAGTTGCACGCCGGTGACGGATCCACCGTCAAGGCCATTGTCCTCACCATCCCCCGTACTTCACCATGGAGGAAAAGCGCGCCTTTGAGCTCGCTGCCGACCTCGCCGGCCTCAAGGTCATGAGCTTCGTGAGCGACGGTGTCGCTGTCGGCCTGCACTACGCCACCTCCAGGCAGTTCCCTAACACGAGCGAGGGCGAGAAGCCCGAGTATCACCTGGTCTTCGATATTGGTGCCGGCTCCGCCTCCGCCACCGTTATGCGCTTCCAAAGCCGAAATGTCAAGGATGTGGGCAAGTTCAACAAGACGATTCAGGAGATCCACGTGTTGGGCAGCGGCTGGGACAGGTCGCTTGGAGGCGATGCCTTCAACAGCCTCATCGTCGATGATCTCGTCAACCAGTTCGTCGAGAGCTCCGCCGGTCAGAAGGTGTCGGCTACGGCCGACAAGATCAAGACTGGTGGGCGCACCGCCGTCAAGCTCTTCAAGGAGGCCGAAAAGGCCAGGCATATTCTCAGCGCCAACTCCAACACCCAGGGCAGCATCGAGAGCCTCTTCGAGGATGTCGATTTCAAGTACAAGTTCACCCGCGATGCCTTCGAGACCATGGCGTCGACCCACGCCGAGACCATCGCCACCATTGTCAGGGCCGCTCTCCGCCAGGCTAACCTGGATGTGTCCGACCTGACGTCCGCTATTCTCAATGGCGGTCTTACCAGGACTCCCTTTGTCCAAAAGGTCCTCGCCGATGTGCTTGGCTCCTCGGATTTGATCCGCACCAGCGTCAACTCCGATGAGGCGGCGGTGCTCGGTGCCGGCTTCAAGGCCGCCGATCTTAGCCCCGGCTTCAGGGTCAAGGAAATCCAGATCTTCGACACCAGCAACTACGCCGCCGGTGTCAAGTACACCAACTCCAACGAGAAGCTGCAGCATCAGAAGCTCTGGAACCCCACCTCCCACCTCGGCAGCACAGAGAAGCAGGTCACTATCAACAATCACGATGATCTAGCTCTCACCTTTACCAGATGGTCGGCGAGAGCGAGAACGACATCAGTCTCCTGACCACCAAGAACCTTACTGCCAGCGTTACCGAGCTCAAGGAGAAGTACTCGTGTGAGGATGGCGACATCTCGTTCAAGCTCGGCGTCAAACTGGCTGGCGAGAACGGCGAGGTTGTGGTGACCAGAGCGAGCGTCGAGTGCGAGGGCGAGGTCACCGAAAAGGACACCATCATGGACGGCGTCAAGAACCTCTTTGGCTTTGGCAAGAAGGACCAGAAGCCCCTTGGTGATGATGCCGCTGCCGATTCGGAGCAGGCGGCCGAGGGCGCCGCCGAACCTGCCGCCGAAGATGCCGCCTCCGAGGAGAAGGGCTCTGAGGCGGCGGCTGAGGGCGAAGCTGTCGAGGGCGAGGAGAGGCCGCCGCGGCCGCCGAACCCCAGGAGAAGAAGAAGCAGCTCGTCACAATCTCGGTCGACTTTGCCTTGGAAAAGGCTGGTGTTCCGGCCCTCCCCAAGGATCGCCTCAAGAAGCTCAAGGACCGGCTCAAGGCCTTTGACGCATCGGACAAGGCCAGAGCTCTCCGGTCCGAAACCATGAACCAGCTCGAGGGTTATACCTACAAGGTCCGTGACATCCTGGAGAACGAGGACTTTATCGGCGCTACGACCGAGAAGGAGCGCACCCAACTCCAGACGCTCGCCTCGGAAATCAGCGACTGGCTGTACGAGGAGGGCGCAGACGCGCCCCGCGAGGAGCTTCAGAAGAGGCTCAAGTCTCTCAAGAGCATCGTCGAGCCCGCCCAAAAGAGGGTTGACGAGGCCGCCCAGCGGCCCCAGGCTCTCGATGACCTCAAGGAGGCCATTAGCCAGACGGAAACCTTTGTCGAGACCGTCAAGAAGCAGATCAAGGAGTACGATGATTGGCACGCTTCCGCGTCCGCGGCCGCGTCCGAATCCTCCGCCGCTGCTCCCGAAGAGCCCTCCTCCAGCGCCGAGGCGGAGGAGGCCCAGACTGGCGGAGAGTTTGACGGCCTAGAGGACGACGCCCAGGTCACGGATGTGCCGAAGCCTCCCACCATGGAGTCCGTTCTCGAGGACCGCGGCCCCGTCCCCCGTCTACACCTCGGAAGACATTGAGGGCGTGGAGAAGCTCGCCGCGGATATCAAGAAGTGGCTCGAGGACAAGGAGCCCAAGCAAAAGGTCCTCCCGCCCACGGCTGACCCGGTCCTTCTCGTCAAGGACCTCAAGACCCGGCGCGAGAAGCTCGACAAGGCGGGCATGGACCTGGCCATGAAGGGGGTCAGGAACTTTGAGGCCAAGAACAAGAAGGCGGGCGCCAAGAAGACCAAGGCCGACAAGGCGGATAAGAAGACTAAGAAGGCCAAGGATAAGGCCCAGGAGGGTCCCACGGAGGAGGAGATTCAGGAGATGTTGAGGAAGATCCAGGAGGAGGAGGCTAGGGATACGCATGATGAGCTGTAGATGCAGCGCGTCCGCTCCCTCTTTTCCCCCACTTTTTGTCACGAATATGGTCCTTTGGGTGCATTTGGTCTTTTTGTTCACGCTCTCTCTCGTCCTCTCCCCCTCTCCCTTGCATTTTAACGAAAGAGATAGAGACATGACATCTTTGGTGGGTGTTGTGCGGTGTCAAATATTCCCCGCCGCTTTTTATAGTCTTGTTGTCATGGCATTATAGGACTCGGAGTTTCAAGAGTCTTAGCTTTTTCTTTATCGGAACGATTTTCTCACCTTTTTTAACCCCTTTTAACCATGTTTTCATCCCCTCCCCCTTGTTATACTAAAGGCTTACATATGTTGGTGGGGGAGGGTCTTGTATATTTCCATGGCTTCGACTACGTAGTATGAGAAATACATCATGACAAGATGAAAATACGTTGAAAACACTTGGCTTCCCCTCCGTAGATGTGCTATATATATCCCGGTGTGATGTAGGTTGAGTACGGGTAGCATCCGAGGATACCGTCCGTACTTGCAATTCCTGTGCTTCGGTGCCGTTATGACCAAAAACATCGGTGACCGGTCCCGTTGCGTGGATTCGGGCCTTTGACCACATCGAGCCGTGAGACGTCGTTCCACACGGGATTCTACAGCGTGTGAGTGCGATGTGTCGTGGGACCAATGCGTGAGAACCGTGTGCAAACCGCAAACAGACGAGTACAAAAGAGACACGCACGACGGGGACAATGTATAAAAACCCGACAACGTTCTCGCTTCGAGACTGTGAGGAACTTGTGGGCTAACCCACAACCCCCAAGTCGGCATCGGCGAGGTTATAAAAAATCAAAGGACAAGCACAAACGCTCCAGCGAAAGCGTTCCCCCAACACCATGTTTTCGTGTGCTTGGGTGTTAGTGATGGTGCTGGAGATGGTGCAGACGACGGCGGCGGCGGCATGGGGCGGTAAGGTGGTGGTTCACGCGAAGCCGCCGGGCCGGATTGATGGGTTAGCGGGATACGTGTATGCTCACCGAAAGTGGGATTCTCGGGTGGAGAGTGAGCTGGAGGAAGAGGAGTCTCGGGAGAGGAAGCGTTGGCGACAAGGTATGTGTGTGTTTCGCGCGTGCGTTGAGAGTGGAGAGAAAGAAAGACGGGACGGACAAGAGACTGCTCGTGCAGTTAAAGAGGATGAAGAAGCTGACCGTATCCCCCTCCTGATTTTGCTTGTGTAGAGTTTGCTGAGAAGCTTGAGGCCAAGAGCCACTTTGACGATTCCTTCTTCACGGCCAACGTGTCGCTTGGGACGCCGGAGCAGACGTTTCCCCTCATCATCGACACGGGCTCCGGCGACTTGTAAGTTCGATTTTGGGAATGGGGACACAACCTTCCTCATTTTGCTTCTTCTTCTCTCTTCTAACTTTTGGGTTCTTCGCGTCGTCGTTTGATGTGGTGTCGTAGATGGGTGTATTGGTTTTACTCGGACTTTTCGAACTTCGGCGAGGGAGAACATGCCCTACCGACGGTGTATCGCCCGGGCCGGTCGAAAACAGCAGAGAAAATCCTAGGCGCGAGCTGGAGCGTGTTGTACGGTTCGTCTCCCTTTGACCTTTTTTTTCTTCTTCTTTGTCCAATCATATCCATGCCATCCTCGCAAAACTAACGTCCTCACCCTTCCTGGCCAACAAAGCGGACGGCACTCAGGCTTCAGGCGACGTCCTCCTCGACACCGTCAGCCTCACCCCGAACCTCCGGCTCCCCGCGCCGTCGTGCAGGCCGCCAACCGAACGAGCGCCAACATCGCCGCGTCGGGCGTCACGGGCGTCCTGGGCCTCGCGCGCACCGTCGAGGCCAATATCCGCGGCCCACATCTTCCCGGTACGCGCGAGCGCCTGACCGAAGCCCTGCCGGGGAGTGGGCGGTTTGTGTCGATCGATCTGCGGGCAGCCGACGTTGACGGCGACGGCGACAGCGACAGCAGCAACGGCGGTAGTGGCGAGGAGGGATCGGCGCGTACGTCTTTGGGGAGGTGGCGTACGGTTTATTCGAAGGGGATGTGGTTTGGTTTGACGCGGATCCGGAACAGTCTGGGTTCTGGACCGTGCCGGTAGCGGGGGTCCGCGTCGGCGGCGGCAAGGGCACGCGGGTCACCGGGGCATCGTTTAATGCCGTTGTGGACACGGGCACGACGCTCATGTTCATCCCCGCCGTAGCCGCCTCGGCCTACTGGGCCGAGGTGTCGGGCGCACGCTTTGAGCCGGCGGTGGACGCCTGGATCTTTCCTTGCTCGGAGACGCCCCGTCTCCCCGATATCACGGTCGAGGTCGGTCCTGCTCACGACGACGACGACGGCGACGGCGACGATGATGACCCCGACGACACTAACGATGATGATGACGACGACGACATCTTTAAGGCCGTCGTACCCGGCCGCTACTTGGATTACGGGGAAATCGACTCGGATGGTATCCTCGCCGGCGGGGGCGGGTCGGGCAACGGCGAGGGCGGGCCGACGGGCTGGGAGGTGGCCATGTGCTACGGGGCCTGCAGCCCGAGACGGGGATGACGACGTCCATCTTGGGCGGTGTCTTTATTAAGAGCTTGGTGGTGGTCTTGGATTTGCAAAGAGGCATGGTTGGGCTGGCGAGGAAGAGAGTGGGTTGAACAGCGGCAGCAGAGCGAGATAAGATATTTTGGGGTTGTTCAGTTGTCCACAATGCAACAAGCAAATTTCCCACAAGACTGATCTAATTAATATCCGGGGCATCTCGGCCCATCCGTCTTACCCTTCATTTCAATGCACCTTACCCAACTTCCTCGACGGACTTTGGCTCCTCCCTATACGCGATCCGCCCCCACCAGCGGTCCCCTCCAATCTCGCTGTGGCCCGGCGTCACTGAGCGGTCACATACTCGCGCCGTTTTCAATCACCATCTTCACCTCAACTAACCAGAGCCCCATCTTACCCAGACTTTCAGTTTGTCACGACATCCCAGGTTAGTGATGGGTTAGTTCAAGCTCCAATTGTGCTCACCAAGACCGCAACAGACCATTTATACGCGAAGCTCTTTAGTGGGCTAGGATCGCTCAAACACTGACAAAATGCAAGGGGAAGGTGGGACAGGAATTAAAACGAGTATAAATTTCATGCAGATGCCTACTTCGTACGACTAAGAAAACAAGCAATATAAAGAGAAAAGCAAACACAATAGCCGCGGGGAAAGAAAACTTGAACAAGACAGCTTAGAAACCTGCCAAGGAGACAAGAAGGACGGGGTGGCAGAAGACGTCAACGGGATGTAAGTTCCAAATGGAGGGACAAGATTCCTCCAGGAATCTAATCTCGCGTAGTGTTCCCTGCCTCCTCACTCCGCACCACCATAGGCCCACGACAAGCTGCCACCAAGCCCAAAACCTTGACCCGCACGCCATTCTTCTGATTGGCTATTTCCCAGCTACTGAAAAGCCCAGCTGCGTTTTCCCACCTACGCCTTCTCTCGGGTGAGTTCGTAGAGGGGCGTGACGAGGCGGGCTTCGAGAGGTGAATATGGTGTTCGTCGGGGCTCAACCACAGCAACTCCACCGCGCCCCCCTCGCGTTGTCATCGTGATGTAAGGGGAAGAAAATGGAGGTTGAAAAAGCAAAATAAAAAAGTATATCAAATCATTCCATCGTACCAATGTCGTAGTGAAAGTTTGTCGCCCCTCTCGGTTTGGGGGCAGAAATAAGCTTAAACAAGGTATATATATGCTGCAGTGTGTTGAGGATTGGGCTTAGAGCGGATATCGAGGGGAAATAAAAGAGTTGGAACAAGCAACGTCAGCCCTCCCCCTGAGGAGAATGCCAAAGGGGGACAAGACCTGAGGCCGAGCCCATCTTGCCGCATGAGATTAAAAAAGATGAAAGCCGAGTTAAGTCTATCCGAATTCTGTTGTGGAGGCGTGCATTTGCCCATTGGAGAATGAAAAAGAGATTAGGTCCGCGGTCTGATGGGCTGGATTGACGAGTCTTGCGGTTTAGATCTAGTCTTCGTGGTCGCCGTCTATCGTAGGAGCAGCAGAAAAGTCAGCGGACAGTTCTCTCATCTCTTGTTCTTGCCCGCTGCGCCATGTGCATGTATATGTGTGTGTGTGTGTGTGTGTGCGGGACGGTGCGTGAGAAGGTTTTGATCGGCTGGAGGGTTTTCCTCTTGGGATCGTCCACCCCTCCTTCCCACCCTCGCCGTCTTCTCGAGTGCTCATGTATGAGTGGGTATATGGGTATATATGTCTAGGATGTGCATCTCACAATTCCTCCTCTTCCTCTTGTCTCCCCCGCGGCGCTTCCTCCTCAACCACCGCTTCATTAGTCACGCGCCGCACCTTCCTGTGGATTATACATGACTGGGCATCTCGCGATCCTCTCACGATCGACGGGAACGGGGGTGGGCCACTTCATCATCGTCAAGATCAGCCGCGTCCACGACTTCATATTCACCTTCGCTGGCGCCCGGGGTGGGCGGCATATCTCCTGCGCTAGGCGCGGGCCTGGCCGTCATGGAGCTTCCGGGCCGGGACTTGTTCTTCTGAAACTGCTCCTCGACGTGTCGAGGGTGGGCGTTCTGCGCCTGCTGTTGTTGCTGCTGCTGCTGCTGCTTCTGCTGCTGCGCCTGGGCGCCCGCCGCTTCGATGAGGCTAGGATCGAAGTTGGGAATGCCTTGGCGGGATAATCTAGCCTTGGAGCGACGGAGACGCTCCTCCATTTCGCGCAGGCGCTTCTCCAGATCCTCGAGCTCGGTTGTTTGCTGGGTGACATTATGCTTGCTAAATAAGGTGGAAGAAACAGGGTTAGCGCTACATGCTCAGCAAGTCGGGGTCAAACTCATCACATCGGGATGGAGTCGTCGGAAAGGAGGAGATGTCCTGCGAAGAGAATTTGATAACGTACTGCTTATCAACCTGCTCGTCAAGGTCGGCAACGCTGTTGTCGATCTTAAAGATGTCCATCAGCTCCGCAGAAAGAACGGGCGATGGTGCTATCGAGCTGTTAGTAAATCCTGTCCTGCTGGTACTCATGTCTCAAGTTGAGTTGGGTTGTAAGTGTCGGCCCCAGGAGCCATGTGAACATTAATATCCGCCGCGCCTTATCTCCCTTTGAAGCATCGGGCAACCATAGGAAAGACCGACCGCCTGCGAATCTCATGCTCCAAGGCAAGGAGAAGAAAAAAACAAGGCAAAAAAGAAAAGGGGGTGACAGAGAGAGGCCGCACAGGCGACGACTGCTGCAGCAAACTTACGACTGAGGACGGCGGCCATTAGGCTTCCAGTCGCGGTCGAGCTCTTCGTCGGTGAAGGTAGACATGTTGGATAGCTTGGACTTGGATTGTGTACTCAAAGAGCAGTTGCGAGGTGCGCACGAGGTGGCCAGGAGATAAGAGAGTACAGGGGCAGCTCAAGATAGCTTCTTTGTCGTACGTCGGTTACAAGTGGTAATAACTTGTTCTTGCAGATTGTCTAAGCCGGGAGCGAAGAGAAAGGAGAAGGAGAAGAAAAGAAAATGGTGGAAAAGGGGAAAAGGATAAGCCGAGCGCCGGTTGAATCGAAAGGAGTTGAATCTGGAGGAAACACAAGCGAGAAGAGTCAGGATCGCATCAAAGATTTGAAGTGAGGTAGCATAAAACGTAGAAAAAGAAGGGTATTTGGGTAGCGTAGGGGTACGGTAGGAGGATCTGGAGGACTAGTGTAATACAAGTATAGGGAGAGGGAGAAGCGCCTGAAAGAGGCAAATCAATGTCCAAGTAAATTTGATCAATGGCGGACAAGGGAGACAGAAGCGGGGGAGGGGTGTGGAGTGGAGGAGTGGGCATGAAGGTCTCGTCTGAGGGACAAGATGCCACATGCAGTACTGCACGCAGAGGAGTGTGGAGGGTGAAGATTGAAGCAGGAGGGAAGAAGGATGGTGGCTTCAGGGGCGCGATCGGGGGCGTGTGATTGTGTTCTGGTTCCAGCGTTACGCGGGTTACCGCCCACTCCCTTGTCTGTCCCATTCCGGACCCAGCTTGAGGGCAGTCCAACCAGCGCTATTGGGATGGGATGGATGGGGTCGCATCCAAACAGGGTATATAGAAGGGATATTATTACCTGAGGACTGGGTCAATTTGATGCCCTGCGGATAGTACTTTGCAGGGAATGCGGTAATGCGGTCGTGTGGTAATAATGTGCAGGTGGCAGGAAAATGGAGGCAAGAGGAGAAAAGGGGATCGGCAGTCCTGCGGCAAGGGGGTCTGGCTGTCTGGCTGTCTGGCTGTCTTGGTCTTGTCTTGTGCTGCTATCTGTCAGGGCTTGTGTTGTCGTGACGGGCTCGGGAGTGCGGTGTAAAGTAGTCTCGGAAGGGGTAACCACTCAAGCTTGATGGAGAATGTTATTAGACATATTAGACAGGAAAAAAAAAAAAAAAGAAAACAAGAGAGGAACAAAATTCGGATGCCGGACGGGAAAGATGGGATTATAACAACTTTAGGGTTCAGCATGCCGTTGCCAATTCGTTATCCTTGCTACATGTACCATCTCCAATGTTTCTCTTAAAAGAAAATGCATGTTTATCTTGGGACAGTGGAAAGAGCTCATCCGGCCACTGCAAGCGACCTAAAGTCTGCCTACCTGCCTAGCCTTGTCTGATTTGAGGAGGCGCACAAATGAGGTCAGATGAAGGGCGGCTTGTCAGGGTGACCTCTGGAGTGTCGAGTCCATGATTCGACAGAGAGCCGATCTGTTAGATCCATTCCATTCAATGGCTGATTTGATGGAGGAGGGGCCTATTCCGCATCCTCGCTGAGGCGATAGCAATGAGACTTGACTTGCAGCGGCCATCAGCTCTCCACTGGGCGGTGGCGGGGTACCTCGAGAGGCAGACTCGTCTCGTGCAGAGTTGATCATGTTTGCATGTCATCAGTAGGTGATCGCTGCCTAGTGTCTTATTCCGCCATCCGTCCACGACAGTTATGCTGCTCGACGGGAAATAGTGCATTCGTGTTGGGTACTATGGCTTTGGTAAACAGGAATTCCTTTTCTTCCTCCTCTTGTCCTCTGTCTGTCCCCCTCTCTTGGGTGTAAGTGGAGGGCAGGCTTGGAGGCGTTCATAGAAATGGGCCTCTTCGAACCAGATCAGTCTGGCTGGGGTTGACGACGCTATCAAATCTTATTCTTGTGAGTCGTGGACATGTGTCTCTCTATTCGGCCACCCTTCTTCGTGGATCACTGGTTGATGGTAAATATTCACTTTATTCCTTGTTTGAGTGGTCAAGAACCTCGTGGTGTATTTTAGCACTTCCGGGTTCATTGGCACAAGAATCGGAGGGTTTGCTCGCTTATTCGGCGGTATACAGTAGTAGCTGATACTTGATCTAGAGCTCCGTCTATTAGTGTCTACAAGTATATCGCCGGTGGAAAAGGAGAAGGACAAGAGGGTCCTCAGGTCGATCCCTAGCCCCTTGCCTCCGACGACAAGTAACCTGATGATGCGCATCTGAACACGGTAAAAAGAGCCGATTGATATGTTACCAAGGTTACCTGTCCTCTGTGAGAGGGCTAATGGAGCTCCCCACATTTTGGCCGGCGAGAATTGTATCGAGGTATGGAGCATGGATCAGTCAATTCGATTCAAGCTTTGGGGATTTGGGAATCAAGGAGGAACCAACTGCTTACATCAAATTATTTCAATCCCTATTTCAAGGTAGAACCTGTTATCACCCTTCTTTTCCGACTTCGGTACTTGAAGGTCTCTCACAGACATCAATCGTTGCTGCCCGTTGCTTTTTCCCACTCTTCTCATTCTTGGGCGATCGACTGCCCTTGGTTGATACCTCAGAGATCCTCAAATTGCATGTTTTCCCTGTGCCCCACACTGTAGCTGTCCCTTGAAATTGAACCGAGCACGGCTAGGAATGGCTACTTCAACGCCATCTCCACATTCTCTTGACTAGATCAGGGGCCAAACCGTTCCAAGGATTATGGTCATTTCTACTTTTGGGTAGCCCTATTCTCGATCCGGCGAAGCCCTTGAGTATCTGGTGTCCCGATATACCACAAATGACGATGTGTTTCTTGGATCATCTGCCTGCGGGCCGGTATCCACAGCAAAGGGGGAAGAAGAAGAAGAAGAAGAAGAAGAAGAAGGAAAGAGATATTATCAACAGGGAGAAAAAAGATTGTTGTGTCTCACCCGAGATGGGAAGCGAAACTGAGGCCGCCTCTGGATTCTGAAGGGATTCTGAACAATGGCAGTTTGAAGAGCCCCCACAGCGAATAAGATATGCTGTACATCCGGAATATTGCCTGCTCCACTCTACCCTCCCCGGCCCCTTTTCAAGGCTTCGTGAGGATCTCACCACACTTCACTCCCGTCGACGGGAAACTTGGATCGGTCTTCAGTGACCTGGCTCGGTAGGAACTATATCTTGTCGAGGCGCAGAAAATTCGCCAGGAACACCGAGGTAGAAAACAAAGAGAGAAAGGAGAAAGGTGAAAAGGGAGAAAAGAAAATCACCAGAAAAATGTCAACGGAATAAGACACGAAGGTGCGGCATGCTCTGCCGGTGCCAAGTGACTGATAAAGGTGATGGACACTTGGCTCATCTTGGTGTAATGACAGAGTCATGGGGGTGGAAATTGAGACCTGCCATTTGGAGCCAATGACGCCCCAGATTCTCCACCAATTCTCGTCCCAACACTCCGCTGACGGTAATGAAGCTTCAAACCTTGAAGCAATGAAGAGCCCAACCTAATTGAACTTTGTTTGAGGCAACAATAGTGGGACGGATTGATCATCTGCGAACGATGAGTGCTCTGGCCGCTACCAATGCGTGCAGTTGTAATATCACCCATAACCAACATTCGTTCTTCCGGGCGCTTGTTCTCAGTAACCCAGGCAGCCAGGCCAGGCAGGGCAAGCCCCTGAGCATGATTGAGTTGGTGATGTAAAATGCTTGGGGAGAACATGGTTTCTTTGCCCACCTCGAGCCCGCTGAGCTGCGATCAGGGCATATACCACTTCATAGAAAGGCGCGCCAAACCATGCTCGGCACCACATTCCTTCCCGATCCGAACTTGGGCCAGATTTGACGAAACTAGAGGGTTCTTGCTGGGTCAGATTTATGCACAGTGGTCCCCGAAAACAGTTTCTCATGTACCAATCTCGACATGCAGGGGAGGTGTGTGTGGAAGGTGCGGGCACGCCTGGACGCACGACCTGGCTCACCCCCACAACTTTTAATACGTTCTCTCTCCCGAATACATCTTCTGCACACTGGCCTTCCCGCTGGCGCTCCCTTCTGCATCAGTTCCCGACGAGTCTAAATTCGGCCATCGTCCCCGCCGCTTTGGTTTTGGCCACAGCCGAGAAAGAGGCGAAGGGGGTGTCTGTCCGAAGTTGGAAAGAATAAAGAAGAAGAAATCAATCGGAGAAAGAACCACCCGCGTAGATGGAAGGAAAAAGAAGTCTCGCTCTTGTCGCGCCTTCCTGCCTTGGCCTGGCGGCAGCCTCGACAAGGCATGCCGAGCTACACTACTCGCGTCTTTTCGGGATTCTGACTTCCCTCTCCGCCCGTCGCCCGCACTGCGCATCGTGCGATTTGATGCACATGGAGTTTTGTCTTGTGCCATCGCCGTGTGTCAGCCTTGTAGATCTTCAGCTGAACATCGGGCGAGAATTTGCGTGCCTCCGACAAGAGCGGGCCAAACACTTCGCAATCCGTGGGCGATCACACTGGCCCTTTCTGGCTCCGAGCTCGAGGGTCCACTACTTGATGGCAAGTTATAATACCGGGAAGCCGCAGAGAGAAGGCGCCTTGTTTGGGCGTTGCGATCTAGACCCTCCAGCCGTGAACCTGAAAGATTTGAAATGGGCTTGTCTTGGCCCACGACGCTTGCCCGTTCATCTTTTTCTGCTGAATACCTCCTTCCTCCACTTCCTCTTCCCCATCTAGTTACTTCCTCATATCATCGGTGGAATTGACGTAGGTCTATGCAGGCGCCCTCGTCAACGCCTCTCATCTTTTAGGACCGTCTTTGTTCTTTCCCTCCCTTTTCAAGCAACAGAGGCCTGCTGGTTCGACACTCGGCCTCAAACTTGGAAGAAGAAAGTAGACAGCACGTGTCTGGGACTTTTTGATCTCCGCTAGACGGCCCTGTCAAACCTTATCCTCGAGGGTGCGTACTGCCGTATCCTGGCGAGGCGAGTACCAGTTCTTCAGCTTTGACATTGATCTAATTAGATTTCCTTGACCCGTTGGGAACCGGGTTTGGTGTCACACTTTTCTTATTGTAGCCTCCGTCCATCCTTGGTTCATTTCTCCGCACTCTTATTATATTAGTCCGGACTCTTTAAACATAAGAGGGTACTTGTACAAGGCATCGGTGTCTTGTCCTTCGCGGTCCATGCCCGAGTCCTTCCTTCGTGATGGTTGGAGGCGTGCTTTAATCATGCGCGTGTTTGCCTTTCACAAGAGTCCTTGGTGGACGCTTCCTTTGGCGAGGGCCTCCTTTGATGAAGGTTTCCATGAGATACAGCCCATCTTAATCTGCCTTGGGCCATCTTGAGAACCAACCGTCTTCTGAAGGTTGCCTTGGGCATATGACCAATTGAGGGGAAGGGCGCCAGGCAGCGAGCCTTACCTTCTAAACTTGTACTCACTTGAGGTCATGTCACTTGTGCGCCAAGCAGATCCATGGAGATTCATGAGAATGTTCTTGGACGTAATGGTCTTCGATGTCTATTTTATGTCTATCTTGGACGAGAACTATGCCTCACCTGCTGCCACAGCCTACACTGAGAAACGGACGGGGCGCTCGACTCTTTGATGAAGGCTGGACTTGGCCTTGCGAAATTCTGGCGACACGTGACCTAACAGTTGACGCGGGCGGGCCACAAGCACCTGAGCAGTCCTCACTCCGTCCCTGGGCTTGTCACAGAACACAGCAACTCGAAGAGTACCTATGCAGCAGTAATACCAGCTTGGACCAACTGAGCCATTCCACAGTTACTGAGCGCGAACCACGTGATCCAAGGGTGGTTGAAGTCCGTCAATGCAGTGACCTCGAAAACTGAGGTCTGGTGTGAGCTTGCAGAGTTCAATGCTTGCCCATGTGATTTTCCAGTCGTAGTTGATTTACCTTGCAAAACCTCCGGCTCGATTTTCCTTCCTTTCATGTCGACTCCTCTAACGAACTAATAATGCCACCATTATCGATGCCGTAACCACCCGACAGCCTCGACTCACCCGCTCATCAATTTCCATCCAACGACCAGTTCCATTCACGTGATCTCCGATCCAATCTTCAATTTTTTACCTTGCGTTCATCGCGATAGCAAAACAATGGGAATCTAATTATCGATACGGCCTACGACCCACCACCCGCGACCTTTGAGCCTCTGGCTATCGATTCCGACCTCGTCGCCATCTAGAACCCGTCGCGCGCGCATCTCCCCTCCCATTTCTTTCCGCCGCTGTCTTTCACTCGCCCAAACTCGGCCGAATCGCGTTTCCTTTCGCCGCCGAGTCCCCGGTTCGATCGCCCTTTCCGTTCGCGACCTTGATGACCAATGCGGTCGCACCACCCCGACGCCCTCTGTATTCACGATTAATATCCAACGATCAAATCCTGGCGCCACTTCACTTACTTCAGAGACGTGTAGATCCCCTGGGTCAGGGCCGCGGCGGAGCCTACCAGGGTATGCATCCGCTCTCCGAGTACTCGCACTTTGAGATCGTCTTCTTCTTCCGCCTCGCCGACAAGCATCACCAGAACTTAGACCTCGTCTCGGCTATCCTGAGGAGCCATCCCCTGGTTACCCAGGAGAAAGGCTACAATGCTGACCGCCTCAGCGTCCCCTCGCTCCTCAATCTTGTGAGGCAGCTTCTCGAAGAGGACCACCGCGTCCAGTCCGCGGCCACAGGCGACCGAGTTCCCTCCGCTACCGCGAACCTCGTCAAGTTCAACGAACCTCCGCCTGCCGATGAGAAGCTGATACAGGATGCCATCGAAAGGATCTGGGCGAGGTCGTGGAAGCGCCTCTCAGATGACCTGATAAAATCCGTACGGGAGTGCGACGAGGAGGGTAACAACCTGCTGAAGCAGATCGAGGAGCTCAAGGCGCTCGAAGCTGGCACCAACCCCGTCAGGCCTGCCACGGGCAGGAACGGCACATCTGTCACGTCTCAGCATCCCACCTGGGCTACTAGTTCGCCGCTTGCCGCACCGGTTCCCGAGATCGTTAAGAAGGGCTCCAGCCCCGCTCCCTCCAATGTCGCGCCCAAGAGGGAGGGCACACCAGGTGGCCGCGCATCGCAGCCTCACCACCCGCACCCGCTCCGGCCCCTTCAACCACTGGCCACTGCTGGGAAGCCGGGTGAGCCTGTGCGAGCTAATGGCGCTGCGCAGGTGCTCCAGGCCCCTGCTGGTGTCAACCAACCCCTCGCTTCTTCGTTACCACAAGCGGCTGGTCGACCGGCTTCGCCTGCCACATTGACGCCCAGACCCGTGCCAGCAACAGCTGATGCGGCAGCAAAACCCAAGCTTCCACCCGGTGGCGTGGGAGCTCAATCGCCTGTCCCGCCTCCTCTCAAATGGGAAGCCCCGTATCAAGGTCCCCAAAACCCATCCCTTCAACGGCCACTCCAACCAAACACCGCGCGACCCATACCCGTACCTGTTCCTGGTGCTCCCACCCAGGCGCCCATACAACCACCTCAACCAGCACAACCGGCACAGCCAGCACAACCAGCACAGCCAGCACAGCCAACACAACCCCCACGAAATGGCCCGTTGCGACCGTCCCTGCAACCCAGACCGCCACACCAGTCCCTGTGCCCGTGCTCCAGCACCAGGCTCCCCTTCGGCCAACACTCCCAAACCTGTCCTTGCGCCCCCACAGGTGGCGCCCCATCCCCTCGCCCTCACGTGCCCGCGACGGTATCCGCGCAGCCCACGCCCGGCTCCGCTCTCCCCCACGCCGCCCCTACGCAACCGAGGCCGCACACGGCCGTTCCCATTCCTCCCCTGTCGGTCGGCCAGCGCAACCGCCTACAGCAATAACCGCCACTACTCCTCGGCAGAAAGCGCCCCCGTGGCGACCCATTCTCAGCAGCCCCTACAGCGGCCGGCGGGCACTGCTCAACCTCCAACAGTACCTCCTGTATCCACCACTACGGCGCCGGTTCCTGCGAAGGCACCACAAACCCCAACACCAGCCTCATCGGCCGCCTCGAGACCTGCTGCCACACGCCAAGTACCAGCCCAACCAAAGTTGGAAACCCCCAAGCCACCTACACTGGTTACCCCTCGCCAGCCACTTCAAGACACGTCCGTTCTCCGCAACACCGCCATTGCCACGCTTCAAAAACGCCTCAGTGGTATACGCACCTCCTCCTTCTCCGCCCCGCAGTCCCCGAAAACACCGCAGACAACGACACCAACCCTCCTCAAGACGGGACACTCGACAAAATGGGTTATATCCTCGACTCCTTCGACCCCCGGGCCCACGGATGTAGATATTGGCGAAGCTCAAAGCCCTGCCTTTGAGCAGCTAACAAGCCCTATCAGGAAGCCAGCCACCCTACAGCCTTCTACTCCCCAGCCCTCGCGGAAGTCGCCAAGGCCATCGTCGCAAAAATTGGATACTACAATCTCCAAACCCGCCCGCGATCGGCCAAGTAGGGCGACGCAGATTGCTCGGGGAAACGCTTTGGCAGCCACACGCCGGAGCCAGTCTGTTGCATCCCAGGCTGACGAGCTGTCGATAGATCATGGCGATCTCAACGGAAAAGTAAAGGACGAGGTTATGACACCCCGAATGCCAGGCTCGGTAGCTCCTGAAGAGACGGGCGATACGACGGCGGATGAGAGTGTCACGAGCAAGCGTGCCGTCGGACCTAGCAGCGCAACTCGGGCATCCCATAAACGCAAGCGGCGTGACAGTGATTCTGTTGCCCCTGCAGGACCCCGACCCATGTTCAATGGACGCGTGGCTTCCAAAAGTGAGCGCTTCAGCGTTGGACCAGATAGGCAGCCATCGACATGCCAACATGTTTGCAAATCCCATCCGTGAGCGTGACGCCCCCAACTACAGCGGAATCGTACTCCAACCGCAGAACATCATGTCAATCAAGAAGGCGATCACGCACGGCAACCGCATCGCAACGCAGACGGCGGCCAGTCTCCCCGGCGGTGACCCGGGTACGCCAGTCGTGCTCCTACCCATCAGCGAGGACCTCGTACCGCCTAAGGGCATTATCAACAGCGCGCAGCTGGAGCGCGAGTTGGTGCACATGTTCTGCAATGCTGTCATGTACAATCCGGACCCCGACCGGGGACCCGGGCCCGGCTTTATGAAGCGGCAGCAGGGCGGTGATGACAGCTTAGGCTACCAGATGGACGAGTTCGGCGTGGTGAGAAGCACACGTGACATGTTTGTCGAGGTAGAAAAGCTACTCACGGACCTGCGCAATGCCGAAAGCCAGCGGGGCGTGCCGTCAGCGTCTGCCGTGTCCCTCACGCCTAGGGCCACAAGCACCGCAGGAGTGGCGGCAACGGGCGGCGACGAAACAGCGGATGACATGGACGAGCTGGCCCAAGACGACGGAACCTCAACCGCGAGTAGAAGGAAACGTGCAAAGGTGTAGGTACCTTGGCGTACTGTCAGATGCCGCGGTCAGGGTCTCCAATCCGGCGTGGACGGAGATAGCGCCGCTCACGATGCCGCCGGCCAAGATCCCCGCCAAGCGGAGCCTACTAGCCCTAGACTGCCTCTCCGAGGGACACCTAGCCAAGGAATTCGAGCCCGTGGACGTGGACGTGGGCGTGGGCGAGGACGTGGCCGCGGCCGCGGCCGCGGGGTCGGCAAAGTATAAATTCGCAGGCGAACGTCAAGGTTGGCGCTAGCCCTGCTATAACGAACGCGAGGGCCACTACCAGGGGCCTCCCTAGGGGTCGTTTGCTCATCCTTAGTCGTGGAAGACCACGGTAGAGGTTGCAAGGACGATTATGCTGCGTCGCGCTGTCAAATTAGACATCTATTCCTATGTCTTGTTTTTCTTTGGCGCGCGCCATCGTCATAATCTTTCTCTCACTTTGAGCAAAGAAGGAGGCCTGTGTTTGGTTTTATTCCCCACATTATTATTGCGTTCCAGTGCTTGTGTCTTGACTTTCACCACGGCAGGTGTGGTGTACTGGAGAAACAGCGGGATCAAGAGAGTCCCAATCCTAAACGAAGAGCAAGCGCCTGTGTCACAAGGGTATTCCTTTTTACTTGTTCTTTCCGCCTTGAAATGCTCTCGTATTTTTTTTTTTACTTCTTGTTTTTGATTTCTAGGTCAACACTCTTTGGTGAAAGCAGAGCGATGAGTGATGGAGGGAGCGGACCATGTATCATTAACTGCACAGTGGCTCATACTACGGATGAGCCGGGGAGAGAGGGAAAAGAAAAATAGAAGATAGATGGCGTGGCACAATGCGCCTTCGTCTAGTCTAATACAAGATTTCTAAATAACTACAGTTTTCTTTTTTTTTTTTTTTTTATTATCGTAGATTCGAGAATCGAGGATGCACAGCGATAGGGAGGCAGAGCCATGAAGGGCAACTGCCCCCAAGTTGGGATGCAAGTTGTATAGCAAAGATACATCATGGGATGTTAAAAGGATTATACATTCAATAAGATGCTATCGACATTGCTTCATCACTCCGGTCTGCTATATTCCCGAATTCGCGGGTCAGCGTCCGTGCCTCACTTCCTCTTCCCCCACCAGCCGATGCCTCCTTTGCCAACACCGCCAAAGCAGCCTCGTACGCGGCGATCCTATCCTCGCCCACCTCTCCATCGGGAGCGCCCTCCGCGTCAATCCGCACCCTCGCGACGGGGGCCGGGCGGGCGACTTTTCTGCCGCGGACGACCTCGCCCCAGAACCAACCACCCTCCTTACCGTCGGGGACGAGGGTCCAGGCGCAGCCTGCGCGGCCAGCACGGGCAGCGCGGCCGACACGGTGGACGTAGGCCTCGAGGGAGGGGGCAAGTCGTAGTTGACGACGTGGTCGAGGCGGGGCAGGTCGATGCCGCGGGCGACGAGGTCGGAGGCGACGAGGAGGCGGAGGCGGCGGGTGGAGAAGAGGGAGATGGTGCGGCGGCGGAGGTGGGGCGGGGTGGCGGAGGTGAGGGTGCCGAGGAGCGGGGCGAGGGCGGGGTTGAGGAGGATGAGGAGGCGGGAGAGGCGGAGGGCGGCTTCGTTGGATTTGGTGAAGATGAGGGCGGTGGTGGGGAAGAGGTTGGGTGAGCGGGCTGCGGTGGCGGAGCCGGAGTCGGAATCGGCGTCGGAGTCTGACTCGGACTCGGATGTGTCGGAACCAGACGACGACGACGACGATGCTGATGGTGCAGACTGCGGCTGTGCGTTTGTAGGTTCGGCTTCGGCAGTAGCCCGCATGTGCGAGCTCATGAGGAGTTCGTGGAGGAACAGGGGCTTGAGGTTCTCGTCCCTGACGCGGACGGCCGCCTCGCGCAGGGTATCTGGCAAGACGTGCTCCGCCCGGACGTCGCCGCCCTTGGGACCGCCGAGGACGACGAGCTGTGGCCTCTGGAGCTCCAGCTCCGCCATGGCCGCGAGGCTACCCTTGCTAGTGAGTGTGGCGCTGAGGAAGACCTTTCTCACGCCGGCGAAGTGCGAATTGGGAAAGTCGCGGGCACCCAGCGTCGGCCGAGTAGAAGAGGAGGAGGAGGGGGCGGAAGGGGGGACGCGCCGGTCGCGGGCTTGAGGGCGGCCATGACGACGGGGATCCAGTTTTGGTAGTTTTGCTCCAGGAGCTTATCACCCTCGTCGATAACGAGCCAGCGCACGTAGTCGAGCGAGAAGCCCCGGGTCTGCCGAATATGGTCGACCAGGCGGCCGGGCGTGCAGATGAGCACGTCGACGGTGGAGCTAAAGTCGAGGACGTGATCCGGCAGGGCGCCCTCGCGACTTTTCGGCGCGAGGCGGCTGGGGCGGCAATGTCGCGAGCGCCTTCGTTTTCTTGTTCTTCTTCGTCGGTATCGTCGGCAGCCTTGTAGGCTTCCGGGTCGTACCGCTCTTCTCTTGCAATGAGGGTGTGTTGCTCCGCCCTGATGGCCTGGCTACCGTACGCGATACCGATGCGCACACGCTTCCTACCCTGGCCGTCAAAGGCGGCGGCGCACGCCTCAAACGCTTCCTTGGCCTGCTTCACGAGCTCTCTCGTAGGCAAGACGATGAGGGCGCGCAGCCGAGTGACGACGCCTTGGCTAATGTCCTGGACGATGGGGATGGCGTAGGCCAGCGTCTTGCCCGAACCTGTGGCCGCGGAGACGAGCACGTCACCCTGCAGGCGCTTGGCCGTGGGCAGGAGCAGCGGGATCACGGCGGTCTGGACGGCAAAGGCGTCCTTGTAGCCCTTGCCGTTTAGCGCGCGGGCCACTTTTTCGGGGATGCCCAGGTCGGGAAAGGCTACCCGCGTGCCTTCTTCCACGCGGACGGGGTCTGAGATCCAGGAGGGGAGGGCGTCGAAGGCCGGTTGCGTCGCGCCAAAGTCTACGGGCTCTGGTTGCGGAAGGGGTTGCAGCCCGTGCGTCTCCGCGCGCGCTGGCTCCTCGCCGCCTTCCTCCCCGGCTTCTGCACCCACGTCGGTCGGCTTCACGAGCGCTTCGGGCGGGAGGAGGTGCATGGTTTTCATGGCCTTTACCTTTTTGTCTAGGATAGCCTGGTGGGCTTTCGCCACAGCCCCCGTATCATCGGGCACCTCCGGCTCGGCCTCCTCGGCAGCCGTTTGCTTCTTCTTCTTCTTCTTCTTCTTCTCTTTCTTCTCCTTCTTCATCTTCTTTTCGGATTCCTCAGCAGCCTCGCCGTCAGGCTGCCCCGCTTCGGAATGTGCGGTTGTCATTTCGACATCGTCGTCTTGAGGGCTCGGCCCCGGAGGTTCCTCCTCTTGCGCTTTCTTCCGTTTCCGCGCCTCCTTTTCCTCCTTTCGTCTCCTTTTCTCTTCTTTTCTTCGCTTTGAGTCGTCCTCTTCCTCGTCCCCCGCTTCCCTTCCCTCCTCCTCGCCATTCGCGTTCACCGCATCAACAGCCTTCGCTATCTCCGTAGATGTCGCGTCCGCGTCGAGCATATCCACGTCTGCGTCCTCGCCGTCGTTTTTCTTTGACTTCCTTTCCTTTTTAGATTTTTCCTTCTTCACTTTGGTCTTCGGCTCAGGTTCAGAGCTAGCTGGAAGAGCAGCTGGGGCCATCTCATTGCTTGTCGTCTTCGAATCTTCTTGACGAGCGGATTCGCCATCCTCAAGCTCGTCCCTGGCCTTTTCTCTTCTCGGCCCTCCTCGTTTCCAGCCCGTTTTCTTTTCCTCCCCACATCAGAACTCGCATCGGCAGTAGAAGGCGCCCTCGCCTTGGGCACGTATCGCGCATAAGAAAATGAATCGCTAGGAATGGGGGCGGGGGCGCCGCGAGCCCGCTCGTCGCTATAGAGTCGGCTTGGCCATCAACGTGCCCATTGGCAGCATTGCCATGCGTAAAAGGCTCGGAATGGTCCGCTCGAGGCGGGGTTTTGACTTTGTCGGCGGTATGTATCGGGCGTACATCTTGAATTTTCCTCGAGCACGTGTTCCACCGGCGGGCGGGCGAGTTCCGGGAGGTTATATGCTCGAGTATCGTCCGCTATGCCTCGGCGCGTATATACAGACGGGACAAGGAGCAACGAGGGAAACCTGTCTACCAAGTGGTGCGGCTAGCCAATTTTGCGGATGAGTGCCCTTGTTCTTTTTTCTGTCGTCTGGGAAGCTGGCCCCACCTCGCTAGAAATCGTCGTCGCTGGTGGCTCTTTCTTTTTTTTTGCTTGGCTTATCGCACTTTAAGGCTTATCGCATTTTCTGCCATACATTACCGCCTTTCCTTTCCTTCATTCATGCCAATTGATCTGCCTTGTCGTCACCATGCAAGATGAAAGCCTGGCTTTCACCTTCTAATACTTGAAGACATTGAATATTGATGGTCACGGTTTTTGACGAGCCGTACTACAATCCAGCTATATATTTCAAAGTTATTCGCTAGGTCCGACTTTTTGTCGAGAAAGCTATGAGCACAATCGGTGTCTCGAGCTCGCGACTCTCACCTTGGTCAAGTTGAAGGGGTTACACAGAATCACATTATGTTACCTGGCTGCGAGCGTGAATGTGCAAGGTTGACGAGCTGATTTACCAAACAAAAACATAGATGCGCCCGGTCGACAAGAGAGTCATCATCCTTGCACCAGGCTCTACCCCTCAGCCGCCTTTGGAAACAGTGATCGAGTGACATCCCCAGTTCACGCTTGTTCACTTATTTCCTCATGTAGCAAGTCACTTCGATCCAAGTGGCAGCCTAGCCACTATCCCAATACATCAAGATAGCCCCCTGGCCACTCTTCCGTTCCTGTGCAGCGAAAACAAAATCGATTCGCAAGACTGCCTACTCCGGTTCCACGAAGATAATTAACCTCCTATCCCCAAAAACAAGATCTTGGCCCCCTTCCTCACCTCTCCCTCCTCTCCCACCTCCTTCTTCTCGTAGTCCCACCCAATAACACCAAAACCAACAATGTCATCCTCCCCCGTCCCCGCCGCCGCCGTCACCACATCCCCCAAACCCCGCGAACCCGGCCACCCAATCCCCCGATTCACCGTCGACCTCTCCCAACCCCCGCACACCCGCTACGCCCACATCGCCCCGCACTTCCGCGCCGTCACCGGCCCGGGCCCGGACCCGGGCACCTCCTCCAACCCCTCCTCGACCAACTTTTTCGCGATCTGACAGACAGTCTCGGGGCCCCCGCCTCGGCTCCCTCTTACGATCCCTCGCCCGCCTCCTCTTACGCCGCGTCTACTGCCCCCGGGAGACCGCCGAGCTGCGCGGCATCTCCGCCGCCTCGGGCGTGCCTCTCCACCTCCTCGTCGCCTTCAACGTCTTGCTCGACGTGTTGCTCGGATGCACCAGCGGCGGCATGCGCGTAGCCTCGGGCCTCCCGCACATTCACAACAACCCTACCAACGACAGCAACGGCAACGACGACGACGACGACGACGATGATTCTCGCATCGTCCACCTCCGTACCCTGGACTGGGGCATGGACCCCATCCGCGCCCTCACCGTTGAACTCGACTTCGTCCGCCACCCAGGCGGGCCCGTCGTCGCCAGCACCGTCACCTACTTTGGCTACGTCGGCGTCCTCACAGGCGTCCGCAAGGGCCTGAGCCTCAGCCTCAACTTCCGCCCCAGGCACGACGTCTCCACCCCTTGGAAACGCCTCGCCTTCCGCTGGCACCAAGCCATGGTCGTCCTCGGTTTCCGGCGCTCCATCTCCAGCGTCCTCCGCCGCCTTCTCTTCGACGACGACGACGACGACGACGGCGACGACGACGACAAAGAGTCCGAGGGTTCACCTCCCGGCCTCTCCGAATCCAAAGTCGCCGACGCCGTAACCGCCCTCCTCCCTTCCCCTCCACCGCCGCCTACCTCATCCTCTGCACCCCAACCCTCGTCCGCGTCCTCGAAAAGGACCACCTCTCCGGCACCCTCCACACCTCCCCCACCTTCCTCGCCGCCTACAACCACGACCGCGCCGACGAGGACCACCCGGACCGCCTCACCGACATCGCCCACCACCTGGCCGATGCCAAGCCTTCCTGCGCCATGGCCGACCTCGTCACCTATTCTCTCGAGCGCAAGGCCCGCCTCGACGCCCTCTGGACCGCGAGCGCCAACCCTGGCTCCGCGTCTCGCTCTCAGCGTAGCCGTCCCCGCGGCAGGGACATGCCCCCTCGCGCGGCGACGGGCACAGTGACCTTGGCCGACGTCCTGAGGCTCATCAAGGATCCGGAAATTAGAAACGACGAGACGCATTATGCCGCCGTGATGGATCCCGCAACGGGCGAAATCCTGTGGAGTCGGGCATACGACGTTGACGACTTTCCTTAGCAGCTCGCTCGAGCGCCTACTTCTTTTTTTGTATTACATCAATGTACATGTATAAACTCTGCTTCATGGCACAACCGTCAGGCATCCCACGATAAACGAGAAACGAATTCTTAGTCCGCGTTCGCACTTGTTTCACTTCACTCTCCAACGACATGCCATATTTTTACGATTGCCACGTCCTTTGACAAGGGGGAGGAAAAACACATCATGAATGCAAAATGAAAATCTTTTCTGTAATTTAGAACAAGACTAGACAAAGACAAAAGATAATTTTCCCCATCCCTTGAACGCCAACGAGACAAGCTCGGTTTTCTATACATAACCCTTGCATGCCCAATAAACAATCAAAGTTTGTACCCGCTGATATCATTCAAATTGTCGTAAAAGTTTTTGTGGAAAAGAAGAAGAAAAAAGTAGGAAATCGAAAAAGGAAAGGGTGGCTTGTATCTTTCTTCCTTTTACGAGGTGGGCCAGCGCGGCGAGTTGATGATGAAGCCCATGAGGACACCAGAGATGATTCCGGTGACCGGAAGGGTGATGAACCAACCAAGGTAGATCCAAGCGACCATGCGCCAGTTGATGGCCCGCCAGTCGCCGTTGCAGAGACCGACACCAACCGTAGCACCAGTGATACACTGGGTGGTGGAGACGGGCAGCTTGAGTCGGGTGGCAAGGACAATGGTGATGACACCGCCCATCTCGATAGAGAAACCTCGAGAAGGAGACTGGAGAGTGAGACGGTTGCCTAGGTTCTTCATGATGTTGTAGCCATAAGTCCAGAGACCGATGACGATACCGGCACCACCAAAGACGCTAGGCAGGCGCGCGTTAGCACAGGACCAAACAAAATGAAAGAAGAAAAAGAAAACTTACAGAATCCAAGTAGGCACCTGGGCCTTGCCAGCCTCGGGGAGTTCGCCATTCTTCCAGATATCGTAAATGGTAGCATAAGGACCGATGGCGTTGGACACGTCGTTGGCGCCGTGGGTAAAGGAAGCGGTCGCGGCCGTCATGATCTGAAGGAAGGTGTAGAGGTATTCCGCCTTGTTGTCGAACTTTTGGGAGCGGGCATGCATCTCCTGGATATCGCCTCCGATAACCGACTTCTCCGACTGAGAACCAACCACATCCCGATCAACACCCCGGAGGACGGCGTACTTGAGATACCAAAGAGCATGCGGCCCGAGTACCACGGGCCATCCGGCTTGGGGCCAATCATGGACTTCTTGGGCTTCTCCTCCATCTCGCCTACGCCCTGATCTTGGGCAGAATCGCTATCGACAGCCTTCTCGCCATCGAGGACGCCATCCGCCTTGTTGCCCGCGCCGTTCTCGACATCGCCGCGACGGGCAGCATCGCGTGCGCGCCTCTCCTGCAATTCCTCGCGAGTGAGGTGGCCCTCGTAAAAGTTCTTGACCGGGCCCTTGAAGTTGGCGGGCGCAGGAGGAACCTCACCCCTCTTGAGAAGGAGGGGGCCGTAGAAGACGTGGTACCACTTCATCTGCCAATCCTCGAGGATGATGACCCTGTAGAGCCAGGGCACAAGGAACAAAGCAACCATGATGCCAAAGCCGACGCCGGTTCCTACAATGACACCAGGGATCTGGGAGTCGGTGAGATCCACCTTGTAGCTTCCGCCCTTCCAGATGAGAAGCATAGCCAGCAACCCCGCAGCAACTGCAAAGTAGATGGGGACTGCGAAGAGACCCTTGATGACGGGGTTCTTGCGGAGCAGGACACCGTACTTGGTGATGGAGAAGATGGCGGCGGCGAAAATACCCGACAAGAGAGGGGCAATAACCCAGGCAATAAAGACTTGGACGACACCGCCAGTGATGACAGCGGTCGAGCCAGCCTTGGGGTCACCAATCCACTTGATATTCTTGGCGCCGACGGCGGCAATACCCATACCCAAGACACCGCCCAAGAGGGAGTGCGTGGTGGACACGGGGAAACCAAACTTGGTGGCAAAGGTCAAGAAAGTAGAAGAGGCGATCACAGCACAGACCATTCCGAGCATGAGGAGCTCCGGAGCGTCAGCAAAAGCGTTGGTGTCGACGATCTTGGTTCGGATGGTATCGGCAACACGGGCACCGACGCCGATGGCACCGCTAAACTCCATGATGGAGGCCAGGACCATGGCTTGTAGATATGAAACGGACCGGGCGGCCACAGAGTTGGCCCAAGAGTTGGAGACATCATTGGCACCTAGTGAGAGAGAGAGAGAGAATGTCAGCAAATGAGGAAGAGGAAGAAAAAAAAAAGAAAGGCTAGAGACTAGGTGGTGTCCAAGTCACAAGGGGAATCAGAAACGTACCAATGTTCCAGGCATCGAGGAAGGCAAAAAGTGTGCCAACCACGAAGAGGAAGGTGTACTCCTTGAGAACCATGTTGGGCAGTTGTTGATAGAGGCAAAGGGGGAGCCGGGGATTGAAAAGGTTGAGAAACGAGGAATTCAAAAGAAAGATGGGTTGGGCGTGGGATATCCTCTAGAGAGAGAGGGATAGACTCCCTGAGATAGGATCTCTGAAGGCGGGTAGCCTTAGAGGATGTTGGGCCTTGGAAAGGTAGGAAAAGGCGACGATAAAACTGCTCTGGGAGATGGAAAAACAAGAGTAGAAAGAAGAACAGATGGGGTGAAGAAATATATATACATTTTTGCTAAACTAGTCTTGAGCATCAAGAGAGTTGGAGAACAAGTGCGATGAGGAGAGGGCTGGCAGCTTTGTCCCAAGGATAAATTTCCTAATCGGGGAAGCGGGCATGCGACACATGGCAATCGATGGCTGCGATCAATTGAGCGATGGAGATTTTGCAGTCGGAGTCAGCGTGTAAGTGGGAGATGTAGAGTACATTGGAGGGGCGTATGGGGAATGGCTGCAGAACAGGGTGGGAGGGGTGGATTGAGGTGGGTTGAGGGGGTGGGCTGGGTTGGTGGGGGTGGCTTTTTCTCTCGGTGTCTAGATTGGTGACATGAAGGTAGAGTACGGCTCTCGTTTCAGTCGTTCAAGAAGATTGATGGATCCTAGGGTTCTGCTGTGGGCCTCCAAGCAAAAGAAGAATCTGAATGGATGTCGCTGGTGAGAGGCGGGAAGGTGGATAGTCACTGTGGATAGTCAAGGTGGAGTGCGGCGATGGGCGAGGGGCAAAGGGGGAGGCAAGAGCGGACGACACTCCTCCAAATCATCCCCTTCAACGAAATCCACTCATTTTGATGTCACAAAACTCGTGTGCATCTTTGCCAAGCCTAGATACCGACATTGACGGGGCGTGAGAGAAATCCCGGCTGGGTGTAGTCCTCATCGCAGACGATCCATTGTTCCGCTCTGTCGACCGAAGCCAGGAATAGCTACTCCGGCGGTGTTTTGTGTGTTATGTGTGTGCGCATATTGATGGATGTGTGTGTGTCTATAGATTGACGTGTGTGCGTGCTCGGGTGTCGCCCTGAACACCACCAATTGGTTATCGGCGGCACGTCGACTAACTCGAGAGAGAGGGAAATAAGCCGTTCAAAGTGACTAAACGAGGGCAGGTAGGAAATCAGGAGCAGAGCAGTCACTCTGAACCCGATTTTTAGCCACTCCAAGATAAAGACAGAATTGAGTACTTGATTTGATGTAGGTTGCACAAAGGGAAAAAGACCCTTCCGGGCTCGATTTGCAAAGGGCAGCGGCAGCTTGGCGAGCGCCCGTCTTGGCTGCATCCGAGTTGCTACCCTGGGCTGCAGGGCTTCCAGGACCTTTCCAGCTACGGAAACCGAGCACACGACAGGACCGTCTCGGGGAGATTCGATGTTGGGGGCGCATTGAGAAAGCTCATTGCGCGGCTCAAGCAAGATTTCTTGCGCTACTCCGGCTAGCTGGTCTGGGCATTATCCACCCGCTCGATCTTTTTTTTTTCCTTCTTCAATAAATCCAGTCAACGAAACTAAGGCAAGCAGATAAGCAGGGAAGCAAGTAATGTCCGCTCTACCGTACACTTGCTCTACCTCCTCATCAGTGAAGGCATTGGATGTAAAGAGAGAAATATATAAGTCGGCAGTCGTGGCACCAGACGCGCAAGTGAGGATTACGCCGATATATTCACACGGCATCGGATGAAGCTTACTCGGCGCCTCGAACCTTGGTCTGGTGCAAAGAGAAAACGGAAACGAGAATAATACCCAGATCTAGGTCAGCTCCACTGAATTTGATGATTTCCAGCGAGTGAGGGAAAATGGGCCGGCGACAACTTTTGCCCTCCCTCAGCCGATAGCCCACGATTGACGACTTCAATCTCAAAGTTTCTTACTCTTCGCCCCTCTCTTTTATCTCCCCGCACCAGTGAGACAACATCACACCGCAAGGTTTCTGTCATAAAGGTTTAGATCTAGTGTGGGGGCGTCGAGGTGCTAAACAGCTAAACACGCCTACTAAACTCGAGAGTTAAGGCTTTCAGGCAGGGAGAAGACTGTTCACGCACTGAGCTTTGCGCAGCTTTTTGCTCTCGAAATGCCGCATGATCAGGAACAGGTGCCGCGTGAGTCTAAGACAGTAGAAGGGCCAGAGAATCTCCAAAGCAGACACTGGCGCCCTACGTCGGCCAAGAGCAAGTAAGTCACAGATCCCTGTATCGTTGTACAAAGGCAACGAGAGCTTCCCGACCGCCAACCAGGCGTGTTAGGTCGCCCGAGACTGGCCGGAATCAACGTTTCGTTTCGTTTACGAAGAATTCGATCTTCTGCCCTGACAGATCCCTAACGGTTCCACTGGTTCCAGTGCATCGCCACGCTTGGCAAGTTCACACAGGGGCGCCCGATGATGAAGCCGGTGGTACGCTTGCCGCCACTTCCTTGAACTACTTGTAACTATCCACCCAGAGCTCCCCGCCGTCGTTGTATGGGGAGTTGCGCGAGTCGTGACTCTTCAACTCTTTTTTCCCTCTTGAAGGGGAAGTGGCGAGAGAGGAAAATAGACTTGGCCCTTTCTCACATGGAAAGAGCTATCCTCGGGACGGGGAAAATAGCTAGATTCTTTTCCCGCAGCTGCGCCTTCCCTTGCTTCTTGGTTTGCCTGCCATGTACTGTACTTCGGCCGACCGTCGTCCGCTAGAATTATGCTTGGCCAATCAAAGCCGAGAATTGGAGAACACGTTGAGCTCTTCGCATTCCCATTGGCTGATCCTGAAAGCTCTCCAAAAGAAATCTCGACTAAGATCTTGCTTCCACTCTCCCTTTCCTCCACCAGGAAGCACCGACTGCCGGCAGTATTACCTCAATCCACATGTAGTCAGGCCTATTATAGTCTGTTTCCTCGAATGCGCTTTCTTTGCTCCGTGCCTGTGGGATTGAAAAGCCCGACTACCCAAATGCCAGGCAAATCAGAGACGCATATTTTCCCACGTGTGTGGGGCACCTTGAAAATCCCCATCAACCTCACGTCAAGTTTTACTGATTGAATGGAATAGATGTGGATGTGATCCTCGCATCCATCCCTGGCCTTTTCCAACCACTCCCGCACCCGTAATCTTCACATCAGCTCTCGGAAGAATTTCATCACGGTGAACAAGTTCGTTCTGTCAGGTAGGCAAGTAGGCTCCATGGAATAATAGTCAACTTGCCACCCACCCCCAACAGCCATGAATTTTAGAGAATGAAGACTGCTGACCTATTTAAAAAGATCCTTTAAATTTTCCAAGAGAAGAAAACAATTGGGTCACCAACACTTGAACAGATAGATAGATGTCTCTGGTGGCATGATATGCAAGCAACAAGCTACTGTTCGTTAGAATCCTCGCCCTCTCCGTCTTGGTACAGCATGCGGCAGGTATCTCCAGCAGCTAGATCGCGCCATCGTGGACCCAGCTCCTCGGTCTCACAAGAGCCTATCAAGCTCCCACGAGTTCTTCGGTGATGCTTTGGGACTAGCGCATCTTATTCCGTCCCTGGCTGAGTACCCACTCGTCTTCCCCTGGAATCATTCCATCCGCCGCACTCGCTTGCATTTGTTCCGGCCGGATTAGATTCTCCTCCCTCCGTGTGCTTGCCCTTCACCCCACGCGACTCCATCCCCTCTTCCTCTGTCCCCGGCGATTCCCAAACACAATAGAATTATGTATTGTTTGGATAATATGGAATCCTTGCTCGTGTTCTCACTGTTGGACGAATAGTAGCCGGCCCTGCTGCGTCTGCGCAGCTTGCTTTCGATGTGGTAGTCTCTACAGCAGCTGGATAATCACTATCCGATATACATTGACCTGGTCCACTGGTCTGGGCTACTGACCAAGTAAGATCTCGCGGAATCCCGTGTGCGCTTATATCGCCTAGACGGCGATTGAACGACTTGCTAGCGATAAAGCACCCTGAACTACTTCGTAACTCGTCTTTATAGAGACCAAACTCATAAGAAGGTCTATGTACAACCATTCCCCTGTCGCCCTAGGTCTTGCGTGACATCTTTTCTGTTTGGGGAGCCTACGAGAGACCCTCAAGGCATCGAGAAATCCAGCTTCTAGGGATACCGCCCAAGTCCCTTAAGGTCTCGAGGCGACTTGGGTCGGCTGGGCATCTCTAACCCAATATCACATCTCATGTTTTACTCTTATGGGCAAGCTGCCGCTAGCAGGAGCTGGATGGCCGTTAATATCATCCTTCCATATCCTATATCCCCCTCTTGTCAGCTTTTTCGGCCAAAGCAAGTTTATTGACTAGACTCGGTGGGCTCTTTGATACGAGAACATGAAACCATTTGATATTCGGTCTCAAATCAAGCAAGTCGATCTCCCAGATATTGCTAACCACAACAGCCCATTATGCACAGCATACGACACGTCCACGGTTCATAACACACCTATACACACACACACACACACACACACACACGACATCTTGCCCTCTTTGGACACCGACGCTCGTCCCGAGTATACCAGTCCCTTCCCATGCTTCGACCACAACAAGCCACAGAGTAGGAGCATCACCGATGGTGGGCCAAGAGCCGACTGCCGTGCTGGCGCCTCGCGCACCCCCTCACTTCTCCTTGTAGAGTACCTCCTTCCATTCCTCCCCCAACAGGGTGTGTCCTCTCCCTTCCACCCTCCCTTGTCCTGCAAGAAATCCACACGGCCCCCGGGCGCTTGAAGAAGTGCCCGAGGAAAACATCCCTACCCACGGCGGCCCGCTTCCTCGTCACCCGCACAAGCTGTTAGTGTCTTTGCAACCCTACATTCTTCTTAGCTTCACGCATGGCTCGTTTGAACTCGAGAAGAGGGGAAAGTGCTCACGCGAGCATGAGGGATCCCATTTCCCCGCCGCATAAAATAACTCTCTGATATAGTGAAGACGTGGTTTCTGGAGAAAATGCGCGGCTCGGGCTTGACTTTCAGCATCTGGCTTTCGCTGACCGAGTCTGGATTAGGAAGGCTCCTAGCGAGAGTTGATTTGCCCGACAGCCCAGTCGAACTGGATTGATGGGCGTGAACTTGCACATCGCCACCGGCTAGCTTACAGTTTCGCTAGCGAAGAGTCTCGGTCTTTCATCATCGCCTCCCAAATCCTTTCGTTTAGTCGTGATCATGCCTAGGTCGTTCCATGTTCTTGAATTTGGCAATAACCGAGCATCCCCTCTGGAGTAAACTACTAATCTAGCCAACGAGAGTGGAGTATCTGAGCACATGGAGGAGGCCATGAAGAACGGATTGAAGACCCTACTAGTCGGCGGGTCCGGATCCGAAGAAGGAAGCCGTACCTCTGGGAATCGAAGGGATATGCTGCTCTAAAGTATACTAGGTCATGACGACGCGATATCATTGATAATTCTCGACTTCATTTCACTTTATTCGGTGGCCTAATCTAGGTCCTGCCCCGAACTCCTGTTTCGTATATAAAAAGAAGTCTCGTGAAGAAGACAAGATCAACCTCATATTATGAAACTTCACCATTAAACTAGTACGTAGTTACTACAGTTAGTATCCGATATTTACACCCCTTAACTACATCGGAACCATGCAAAACTTTCAACAGGAGAAAAGAAAAAGAGAAAAAAGATGGAGGTGGGAAAGTCCCGGCAGACATAGCCAGAATAAAGAACTTTGCGCTTCTTCTCGTTTATCCTTGTCTAGTCGAAGAGGGTGGCGACCTTGTCCATCAAGAAGCTCATGGAGGCCTCGGTGAACGGAATCTCCGCGGCGCCAGTCTTGCTGTAAACCTTGAACACACCCGCGACCCCCAGAGCGTCCGTCTCAACCAGCACGGTCTCCTCCTCGCGGTTAGTCCTCATGGTGATGACGGCAATCTCGCCATCGGCCGTAAGGTACTCGAAGCGGGACTCCTCGACGGCGTAGCTGGGGTAGAACTCAATCTCTAGGCTGGGCTTCCAGTCTTCGATCCACTTGGCGTTACCCTGGTGGATGTCTCCCGTGGGGACGATGGAACCTTCGCGCACGTAGACGGGCATCTCGTCCAGGGGCAGCGCAACCTCGACCTCGGTGCCGCCCTCGTACACGGCCGTCTTGTTGAACCAGTCGACAAACTTGTGCGAGGTCGAGTTCTCGCCGGCGTCTGGGAAGTACACCGTCCGGACGCCGCCCTCGGCGACGAAGGGGGCGACGAAGAACTCGGCACCGAAAGCGTAGGCGTCGCCGGTCTCGTAGATGCTGAGATCGCCCGGGTACTCGAGGAAGAGAGCGCGGATGACGGGGATACCTGTCTGGGCGGACTGGTACGTGTAGGAGCGGATGTAGGGGATGAGACGAATGTGCCAATCGGCCGTCTTCTTGAGGATCTCGACGAGCTCGCTGCTGTAGGGCTCGTACCAGGGAGTGTGGCCATCACCAACCATGATTTCCTACAAGAGGGGGAAAGAAGGAACACGAAGTTAGCTTTTTCTTCTTCTTCTTGCCTCGATGAACTTGATCAGGGATATTTAGAAAGGAACTTACATAGTGAGGAGAGAAGGCACCAAACTGCATCCAGCGGGCCCAGAGCTCCTCGCCAGGAGTCGTCTCGTCGGGACGTGTGTATCCACCAATGTCCGAGCCCCAGGTCGAGTAGAGAAGCAGGCCGGCGCGGATACCCGAGGTGACGGAGAAGGCGAGGCCCTCCCAGTCTGCCTGGGAGTCGCCGTTCCAAACCGCGGTGAGCGAGCGGGCGCGGTCCACGACGGAGCGGGAGAAGGAGAAGAAGTTTCCGACGCCCCACTTCTCTACCATGACGTCGTAGCAGAGCTGTTGGAAGATTGTGTTTTGGATGTTTTGGAGTTCATCTAATTTTTGAGGGGAGAAAGTCTTCATGTTAGCCAGAATAGTTCTTTGGCGGTTGACACCGAGGTAGAAGAAAAAGGAATAACGTACCGGGAAGCTCGTGCTCCTCGCCGCGGTCAATCTTGAAGCCCTTGACGCCAATATCGGTGAAGTATCGCAGCCTATCCTGGAAATACTCGTAGGCCTCGGGAATCGTGAGATCAAGCGCTGGGCCGAGGAACTCTTCACCGTTGATGCCGGGGAAGAGCCAATCATTCTCGAGAGCGGTCGTGTAGAGCTCGGTGTCGAGGAAAGCTCGGTTGGCGACCCAGACCTGGAAATCATAGCCCCACTCAGTGATGTTGGCGATGAAGGCCTCGGGATCGGGGAAGAACTCGGGATCAAAGTCAAAGTTTCCAAAGGACATATTTCCGGTTCCGTACGGCCCTGCATAGGCATCAAGGTTAGTCAAACCGCCAACCCCTGAAAGACTACGTCTATCTTTCCCTCCCCCTCTTTCACCCATAGAAACTTCTCTTTTGAAGGAGAAAAGGGAGGGGTTCCCACTTACTGTCCGCAAACATGCCGGTAGCACGAATCTCATTATAGTACAGGTGGTCCACGATATCGTAGAGGTTGTCCTCGGCGTTCTCCACGGTGCCGTGGAAGTCCCTCAGGATGTTATCGGACCAAAAGACGGGACCGTAGCCCGAATTAGGGGCAGCTCGGGCTTGGAGGAGAGCTCGGCGTACTCCTGCAAGAGGGCCTTGAGGTCCGGGTTGAAGAGGACCTTGTAGCTAACCTCCTCGTCGGCGGCGAAGGAGAAGCTGGCGGTGGAGCCCTGGAAGGAAAAGGTGCCCATGGCAAGGGTGTCGACGTAGACGCCGAAGCCGGACCGGGTGAAGAAGAAAGGAGCACGGGCATTGGCGTAGTTGATGCCCTGCTGCTCGCCAAAGAGGCCCTTGACTTCAAACGTGATGTCGCGGTTGGAGAGGGAGCCGTTGAAAGGATACTCCCATACACCATAGATGATGTCGTCATCTTCGAAAGCGAAGCTCGAGGTGGTGATGACGCCCGTGAAAGGTTCCTCTGGCTCAGGTTCTGGCTCCGGCTCCGGCTCCGGCTCGGGTTCCGGTTCCGGTTCAGGCTCAGGTTCAGGCTCGGGTTCGGGTTCGGGTTCAGGTTCTGGCTCCGGCTCCGGCTCTGGCTCTGGCTCTGGCTCTGGCTCTGGCTCTGGCTCTGGCTCTGGCTCTGGCTCCGGCTCGGGTTCGGGTTCAGGTTCAGGTTCAGGCTCCGGCTCCGGCTCAGGCTCCGGCTCAGGCTCAGGTTCGGGTTCTGGCTCAGGTTCGGGTTCAGGCTCCGGCTCCGGCTCGGGTTCCGGTTCCGGTTCCGGTTCCGGTTCAGGCTCAGGTTCAGGCTCGGGTTCGGGTTCAGGTTCTGGCTCCGGCTCAGGTTCTGGCTCGGGCTCGGGCTCGGGCTCTGGCTCAGGCTCTGGCTCAGGTTCAGGTTCAGGTTCAGGCTCCGGCTCCGGCTCAGGCTCCGGCTCTGGCTCAGGTTCTGGCTCGGGTTCGGGTTCGGGTTCAGGCTCAGGCTCAGGTTCAGGCTCAGGCTCTGGCTCTGGCTCTGGCTCTGGCTCTGGCTCTGGCTCTGGCTCTGGCTCTGGCTCTGGCTCTGGCTCAGGCTCAGGTTCAGGTTCAGGTTCCGGCTCCGGCTCCGGCTCCTGCTCCGGATCTTCGCTTTCGTCTTCCTCATCATCAGGAGCCTCATCGTCAGGGACCGGCTCGTCTGGAATCAGGATAGGATCTTCATCATCGCTCTCGCCCTCCTCAGGGTCCTCCACCTCGATGGGCGTGTCCGGGGCAGGAAGCTGGTCGCCAATGTCTTGGAGAGGAACAATGTCCACCTGCACAACACCCGGAGAGATCTCGGTGTATCGAACGGTGGAGACACGTTTCTTCTGTTCCTCTACACCGGCGGCTAGCAGGGCCTTGCCGTCGGTGACAGAGCCCGAGTAGATGGAATTAGATACGGAAAAGGCACCTTCCCGGAAAACGAGAGAAGAAGAGCCATCGTCAGCCGTGGAGACTCGAAGGGCATTCGCGGAGGGCGCGACAGCTGCGGCGACCAAAGAGTCGCGTAAACAAAAAGGCCTTCCATGTCGGCGCAGGAAAGCCGAGGGAGCGAGTGGGATATACCGGCCCAAAGTACGTCAAGCGAGAGACACGGACTAGTCGTCCCCCTTGTTTAGAACAGAGATCCGGATGCGTCCCAGCAGACCCGACAGATGTTCACCTAGTCGAACAACCTTCCGTAGGGGGCGGTGAGGTTCGAAGTGAATCGAGTGAGGGGAAGAGGCAGAGGGGAGGGGGACAGGGGGAGAGAAGATAGGAGAGAGCTATAATGCTGAGAGCTTATATACAATGCCCATTTTCTCCAATTCTTCCTCGCTTGGAGGTGGACCTTTACGGAGGCTGGATAGAGCGCGATATTTTTTTCACACAATGCAAGCGCTGCAGGTACATATTGCGTCACAACCTCAATATCGGAAGGTAGGATTAGGTGGACTAAGCAAGGGGAGAAGGCAAAAGGCAAAGAAGGGGGAGTATAGAGGAGAGAGGAGAGGAGGATATCAGGAACCTCGAGCCAGCTTCAGCCGTACACCAGCTATCAACGGGCGCATCCAAGGGGAAACTAGGCCCTGGATTCATGGCGTTCCGGCTCCGTCGCCCGAGCCTCCATCGCCACATTTCGCGGCTGGAAATCAAAACGCTGCCAGTCCTAGGCTTCCCGACTCAAGGTTCATACCGAGAGCAAATCACGACACCACCTTCTCGGACCTTTCCCGTGCCTTTGACAGAGAGGGGGACAAGGAAGCGAGAAGGGTAAAGGCGAGAACGTGTCGGTGTCGTACCCGGCTTATTGTTGTCCCTTGAGCCTTGAGCACCTCTCCCAACGATATGACGTTTCTTGTTCTTGTGTCGTTTCGCCGTTTTCTTTTTTTTTTCTCTTTACCCCCTCTCGTCGATTCTACCACGGCCGCACCAGTTCCCAGAGGTTTCCCGTTTTATTACCAGATCACGGTTCTGTCTGGGTTGCCTTTCTTCCTTGTTCCGTCTCGCTTAAAGCCAAGGGCCCACCGGCCCGGGTGATGATTGTTTCGTTTCTCTCCTCCAATTGATCTTCGCTGAACACGGACGCCCTCTGTCTTTGTTTCTTTTCTTTAGTTTCCCTTTTTCTTTGTTCCTCCTACCCTTCGCGTGTACTCCGTCTGCAGGTTTTCCTATTTTCCCGAACAACCCCGATTCCCGGGAGCGATTGTCCATTCATCCTCGGGACGGTAGAGAATCCCTAATCAGCTCGCCCTGCAGATTGAGAGGAGATTCTCATTAGCGGGAGTTACTTTTGGAGAAAGAGGAAACCGATTCGCTCGTTCTTGGTGGACATAGCAAGGGGAGGCCATATGAGCATGCAGACGGTTTGACGAATATGTCGATTGCAGTCAAGGTAATAGCAATCACCCCTCGTTGTTTGTAGATTGACCGCCAATTGAGAATTGAGGGACCGTCCCCTCTCTTTCCATCTCTCAGTTTCCTTCTCTTCTCATGCTGCCTATATGCTATATGCGTCAATGTCGAGATGGGATGTCCTTGCCCCTCCTCGTCGTGGTCGGATAAATCCAACTTGCGCCTATTCATTTATGTTTAGATCCGTCCAATTGGTCCCTCCCGTGTCAATGTTGTCAATCCATCTGCTCTGAGCTGATCCTCTCTTTTTAATGAAAAAGAAATAATAATAAAAGAAAAGAAAAGGGCAGATGGTAAGAGGAAAATGGCATCGGCTTGAGAATGCCAAGCCCATTGCTCTCCAAGGATGAAGAAGAATGGTGCCATTTTCTCACCTGTCGATCAGTACTTTCCATGCCAGCATAAATAGAGCAGGAGGAGGATTTTCCTCCCGAGCCCATAATGCTAGGTTAAAAGAACTATACATGTACGGATCACGTCCTAGGCTGTCTCAATGGCGAGCAATGATGGCGGGGACGTGTAAGTTGCCATTCTACTCAGCAACTGCCTTGGACGCCGAGCCTCACAGAAGATGAGGCGGCCGGCAGACGGGATCGAACCCGGCTCGGTCGACGGGGCGTCAAAAGCCCTCGCCTAGGCCTTTTGTAGCCAAGAGGCATATTAAAAACACGCTCGACCACGCCTTCGCGTCCCGCCTTGACCTCGGCCTTGCCCAAGCTGCCTGCCCTCCCGCTGCTTTCGCATCAGTACGGATGCATGTTGTAATTCGGATAAGGTATTGGTCCGATTTGCTGTACCCGTGTAGTCTAATGTATCTTTGGGCTTTCTTTGTGCCTTATCTTCTCCCTTGTCTTTCCTTTCTTTTGTTTCGGTTCCGTCTTACCAACTTCCACTACTGCGACGCGATAAGTCTTTTGGGCTCTGGTTCGCTGAAATGTGGATATCTAAAACTATAGTGTAGAGATGTTTATCTTGTATCAAATCATTTCATTTCTTGGAGAATTGATGGTATCCAAAGACTCATATTTTACTCCGTGATGCGCCTTGCAGCGTGCAAGTGTGTGTATCTCAGCCAAGTCTTACAGCCCAATCCTCCAATAAACACCATATAGTGCCAAATAAACATACAGAAAGAAAGGAAAAAGGAATATGCTACAAAGGAATCCGAGAAAGCTCGAAAGAAAATAAGTAAAAAGAAAAGAAAAGAAAAGAAAAGAAAAGAAAAGAAAAGAAAAGAAAAGGAAGAGCGAGGCGCAAGAGGGTTGAACACTCTTAGAAACCCATTCATCACCGAGCATCGCCCCCTCTCAGTGTCCTCGCGTTCGAAGCCCACGTCTCCACCCTCTCCGGCCTCCTATAGTTCGGCGTGCTCATTCCACTCCCTTCCGGCGAACCCCCGCCTTCCCGAATCCCAACTTCTCGCCGCGGGCGGCTCCTCACGACGCAGCGGCGGTGGTGGAGCCGGCGAGCCACCACTGCTCACGTAAATGTCGCGCATCGCCGCGTGGAACATGTAGTCGCCGCCTTCCACACCGTCTCCCTCGCGGCCTCGGAGCGTCTCCTGGCTCGACGCGCTCGACAGCTCGCACCGGCCGCCATCGAAACCCGACTCGAGGTCCACCTCCGACACCGCCTGCAGACCCCCGCCGGTACCGGCACGACCGAATCTATCTCGGGAGAAGGCGCCCGTATTCGCCCGCGCCGGCGACCTGAGGCCCGTGGGCGACTCGGTGACGCTGTTGCACACAAACGTGCTCGCGCGCGAATCCGCCTCCGATTTCGTAAAAGATCTCCACTGCCCCGTCCTTGGCGACGCTGTACAGCGGGAACGTCGGGTAGCGGGCGAGCTTGCGCACGGGATCGCGCCGCGGCGCCAAGATGTCGCCGCTCTGCCGCGTGATGGGCACCCCAAAGGCGCCCGACTCCCAGCCCCCGATGCGGGTGCCCTCCAGCGCCATGCGGAGGAGATGGTACTTGTCGTCGGCGTCCCGCGCAATCTCCTTGACCGCCGTCGAGGGATTGAAGAGCCCGCCGGCGCGCTTGCGGTCGCGCACGTGCTCTACAATGGTCGAGAGCAGCAGCTTGGTCGCGAGGATGGAAAAGGTGATGCACAGCACCACGAGCGTCACCGTCACGCTAAAGTTTTGCACCGACGCCGACGTCCGTATCACCGTGTTGCGGCATGCCTCGTCGAACTCGGACACCAGGTTGACCGCGCTGTACGCCGCGTCGAGCCGCGTCATGTTGACGTGGGCGCTCAACGAGTCGTTGGCCTGAGGGTCCAGCCACGGCTTGGAGGACCAGTCCACGACAGTCCTTTGGATGTTGGAGAGGGATGTGGCGAACCAAAAGGCGACTTCTCGCTTCCATTGGTCGTCGGGGGCGGCGATTTGAAAATTGAGGTTGTCCCTTGCATGAGAAGACCTGCGTCAAGGTTAGTGAAGTGCTAGAGAGAAAGTAAAGAAGGAAATAAAGAATAAAGAGGAGAAATGTGGAGAAATAGGGAGGAAAGGGAGGAGGAGGTGAAGAAGACTTACCCGTCGTGCCTTCGGGGCCATTCAGGCTTATCTGCCCACCCCAGTAAAAGTTCAACATGAGCCTCATGGCCGTCACTTTCTGATGGCTATTTAGGCCAAGACCCTCCACCTTGTTCGCCCACGTCATTATCGGGCTCAGTCCGGTACACGCCTGGTTCTTGGGGTTACACATCTCGTAGGCTTCCCGGCAGACCACCGTGTTGTACCGCCGGTTGGTCGCGTAAGCGTACTTGCCATTGTTCCCGGTTGTCAAGGCCGCATACTCTAGGGCAGCAAAGTACAGGGGGTCCTGCACCTTTTCGTAAAAGAGCACGTCCGTCGCCACCGAGAAGAAGGAGGTGTCGTAGTTGTCCGTATCGAACGTTGGGATGAGGGGAACGTGGTCGCGCCGCCACCGACACCATCCTTTCGGGGCACGCCGCCCAAGACGAACGCTTTTCTGTAAGAAGGGAAGAAAAAGAAAGGTTCCAAACGTTAGTGCTGAGCTTGCTGAGAGCGAGCGGTAAGGAAGACACCGTATAGAAACTACGTTAGACGTACCTTGATGTAATCATCACCTGCGAGTCCTTCGCCCCGAAAAAGTTGACCGTCTTGTTCAGCTCCGGAATCTTTTGGACCGTCGCCTCGGCCATGACCTCGATCCCATACACCGTCTCGTTGTTCTCCGTCACAAACACCCTGTCGAACTTGTTCGTATCCACCACCGCGCAGGTGGCAGACTTGCGGACCTGGATCCTCTCGTGCGACGGAGCGTTTATGCCCAGGTCCGCGTGCGAGTCCAGCAGACCAGTGTCCAGGTTCACCGCCGGGCCGTCGACGTTGCCCGCCCCGAGGCACCGCGTGTCCAGGGTCCAGGGGCACTCCACGTCCTTGCTCGCGTAGGGCAGCGTGAGCTTCTTGGCCCGGGATGCCGGCGGCGAGGCCGTCCCCCGAGATTCGTGATCCCGTAGTGGGCTTCCGAATACGCGCGCCCACTTGAGGTTATTCTGGGACCACGTGTCCTGGGCGCTCCTCGACGCGCGCAGGATCGGGTCGTTGTCCGCGATCTTGATCTCGTCCAGCGTCATGTTGCCCATCCCAAACGCCAGGTCGCCGCAGTATTCGGGCACCGCGACGACAAAGACGTCCCCGTAGCCGTCGCTCGCCACGTTGGCCACGAGGACGGACGCGATGATGAAACCGGACCAGACCGCGGCGGCGAGGATGGAAAAGGGAATGATGCGTCGCCACACGCGCTTCGCTATATTCTTCCACGCCCAGTAGAGCTTGATCCCCTCGAAGGCGGATTCCAAGGCGCCCGACTCGGAGCGGAAGAGCACTTGCAGCTGGAGGTCGAGGACATCTTTGCTTTTGCGCGCGGCCAGATGCTGATGGAGGAAGTAGGCGACGATACCGTAAAAGGATATGCCTGCCCAGGCGACGAGGGCGGATAGCGCTGCGATGATGTAGTTTCCGGTCCGGGTAGGTACCGTTAGGGTAAGGCTGAAGGGAAATGAATCATCATGGTTGTTCCATAAGCCATAATAGATTTGGGTCTCGGTGGTAGACATGCTGGTAGTCAATCCGGGGCTCGAACTGGCTCCCGAGACGAGATGTGTTGAGTGAGAGGCTTATACTGGACCAGGGATGTTGGTCGATGCAAAAGCTCTTGGTCAACCAAGTGCCGTATAGTCAGAGCAAACGAGCGCGGGTTCCGGCGTTAGAGACCAAGACTACTCCGAGTCGTTGTCAACTCACCCGATCGCCTTGGGGATAGTCACCCAACCAAGCGGTGTCCTTCAAAAATTCATAAAGAAAAGGCGCATAGTCATAGAGGAAGCAAGAAAGCTAGGAGTGTCTAGTATTAAGTAGTGTAGCAAAAACGCCTTGTAGTAGTGACTGGTCCTAACGACTTAAGGCTGAGAGGGGAAAGTTCATGGACAAGAGAACGCCATCTAGAAAGCAAGCCAACGATGTTATCAGCTCCGAGTGGGTCGCGATGGAATCATAACAGCAGCGGAAGGCATACATGTACTCGGTGGGGGTTTTCTTCTCCCATTATACATTCTCAGATATTTCATGTTCTTGGCATCGCCCTATATTAATACCATCTTCATGCAATCCCTAGGTCCGCAGGGAGAAAGCGACACGGCCAATGGTACATCGACTTGGCTCACGGAGGAGGAGGGCGCAACAGAAAGAAAAAAAGAGCTTCTTTGGATGAAGGATGAAGGCAGACCAAGCGTGAGTTAGTACACACACTCTTTCTTTGTCCATCTCAAGTGCGTGTCTCTCTTATTGATCCTTCTGCCACGACTACGCCTCTCCGCGTCCTCCCGGGAGGCGCAGTGAATCGTCAGTCTTTTACCGGACGAGAGTTTTGGGGTCCAGAAGAAGACAAAGAAGAAGAATATGAGGTTGGCTTTCGATCCGCGGAGGGGTCATATTGTCCTCCCGCTACCTCTTGCATGCCCGTCCGCTGTCCGTGAGAGGCGCAGGCTCTGATTTCTCTCTCGAGGTTATTGCGGTGATGCGGCGCAGCACCACACAGCGCATTCTGGTTTATATCAATCACATTTCGGCGCGACGGCGGTAAAGAAAAAGCCTCTTTATTTAAGCGAGCGTGACTTTTGTTGGCGTGACACACGGCAAATAGCAAAAGAAGAAGAGGGGGAAATAAGACGAAAGCTATATAGCACTAGTATCTTAAGGCTGAAATTGTTTGTTTCGTTGATCCGCGAGCGCACGACACCAGTTGAAGCGCTGTCAGGAGAAGCCTCTTTCGCAGCCTCTGGGATTCCAGACATGGTTTCTACACTTCCATGTAGTCAGCTGTATCGGCTCTCAGGAGGCCAGATTTTGGGGCCGCGGTCGAGTATTTGGTTTCATGTATATCTTGTCGTAAACGCTGACTCTGGATCGTCTTGCATCATCTCGGGTATTTTCTGTACCCGAACGCCTAGCCCAGGCCTAGTCCAACCCCGGCCAACGTGAGCGTCCCCTTTGCCTCCCACACGCGCCGAGACCATGCAGACCCCAACTTTTTGTGGCAGCGAACCTGCTTCCGGCTCACACTCGGGTGTTAAAAAAGAAACCCCAACCGGCAAACCTGGCAGCCGCCTAGCCGCCATTTGTGTCCCTCGAGAAGACACCTCGTCCCCGCCCACAGCCTCCTTCGCTCAATCGCGCGAACCCCGCGCAGCCGCAATTCAATCCCACCCCAGAGATTTCCTGTACCTGTCTCATTCGTTTCATCATTTCACGCAGTCAGCAAGACCCAATACTTCGTAGAACCAACGGGCACTGAACGCAAATGAAAAAGGAGGCGGACAAGGCAGAGGGATGGGGACGGATGTTAGAAGCAAGTCCAAGTTCGGCAAGCCAAGGCGGGTATCGAACAAAATGTATAATACTAAAACATGAATGTCCATAGTTACAACAGTAATTATAACACTGCCCCGGTAAGCCAACGAGTGAGGCAAGGGGCAAGGGGCAAAGGGAAGCGAAATGAAAGCAAAGACAATGGCAAGTAAAAACAGGGCAAGGCAACAGAGAGAGAAAATCAAAGGTAACAAAGGACAAGAAAGCCAACAAGAAAAGGGAACTCCTGTAGAAACCATGATGCGCGCCCTTCGCTACCCATGTGAACAGCATAGAAACAGACAAGCATAGCCCCTCATGTGTTAGTCTTCTGCCTTTTCGCAGACCAGATCGCAGGGTTCATCCCAATGTAAAGCCCTTTTCCTCCCTCCATACCTAGACACGCCTCCTCCCCAAAAGCCCCCACATAAGTAGTGAGGCTGTGGCGATGTGTGTACCTGTGAGATCCTTCCAACTCCATTCACCACATTGCTCCAAGGCAACTTATTGGCGAGCAAATACCTTGACCACCCCATCGCCGCCGCCACTCACTACCCACTTGCCGTCTTGGCTCCAAACGACCGAACACACTCCCTCCCCGCGCATAATACGGTGTGTCGTGATCTCCTGGGTACACGATCGTTTCTCCAGGCTCCAGAACCGTAGCGAGGCGTCGTGACCTGATGTGACGAGCTCCCGGCCATCCGGACTAAGAGATAGACTGGAGATTGCTGCAGGGTGTGCCCACATGCTGTATGTACATTGACCTAGTAAGAGGGCGGGGCCCCGAATGATTAGCAAAGAAAGATCGGGACAAAGAAGAAAGCAAGAATAGATGGTTCTGGAATAAAACCAGTCTGTAGACTTACCACTGTTGGCATCGAAGAACCGCACAAAACGGTCCTCGTGTCCCGAGATTATAACCCCCTCCACTCCCGTGCCCGCCATGGACTTGCCCCCTGTCGGCCCCGCACTAGTAGCGTCATCGTCCGCTAGGCCACCGCCGTGCTGCTGCTGCTCCAACCCCGCCGTTGTGGCCACCACCGCGTTCACGCTAGTAGCCATCGTGCCGTCGTAAGTTTCGAGACTGGCCAAGTTGCCGATCGACTCGCCAGTCTTGGTGTCGTAGACCATGACCACGGCGTCCGCATATGAGACCACTATCGATTCTCCGGTGCTGCTAAGAGGGTTATGCACGTCGGGCTGGCCTTTGACCCATCCGCTCGTGTGATGGTGTGGAGGAGGGTGTGGTGGAACGGCGAGTTGGTCGCGACGGACGCCTGTGGGGAGTTTGTAAACCCGCTGCCCGAGCTCATCGAGTTGCCGCGGACGCGCCCAGAGCTGCCGGGTGGCCGGCGAGGCCCCGGTCCCGGTTGTGGAGAGCCGAGCCTAGGCGGCGTGCTTATAGCCCAGAGCTTCACCGTGCCATCCGCTGAGCCCGAAGCCAGCAGTATCCTATCCGAGTTGCCAATGGTGCTGCCATTCGTTGCGCCGAAGACAGAGTACAATGTGCCAGGAAGGACGCAGAGAGCCCACACTGCATCGTCGTGACCTTCTAAGCTCGCCTTGGGGTCGATCCGGCCGCGCTCCCAAACACGGATCGTAGAGTCTTGGCCACCAGAGAAGATCCAACCGTCACCCTGCGCCCGCCCACCCGTCACAAAGTTGGGTGATGGGCTCCACGCTGCAAGGCAGAGAACGGCCCCGCGTGGCCACGGTGGGTAAAGTTCGCAGTAACATCCAGGTCGGCCTTGGAGCCTGGGGTCCCCAACGCTGTCAAGCCGGGGGACGTTGAATCGCTTAATCATGCCATCGTCGCCGGCGGTGCATATTTCCGGCTCCGCGGGGCTACCACCGCCAGAGAATATCACACTACGGACCGTATCTAGATGGCCACGTAGACCAAACCTCCACTTGAAGCTTCCGCCTTCGACTTGTTGATTGGTCGCGTTCAAGGATAATTCGTTATCGAGACTTCTACGCCTCGACGAGGAGCTTTTACGTCGATGAGAGTTGGCAAATCGGCCGGGGATTTGGGCATCGTATCTGCCGAAGGAAACACGTCGGTGTCTGGCCGGTTGGAAATGGGTGGTTGTGGTACACTTGGCGTTCCCATATCAGAAAAGTCCCAGCCGTCAGAGTCCGGTGCCGCTTTTTCTCGCTCGGTTGGCCGCCATCATGCATGCTTCCGAGCGACTCGTTGGCCTGGATCTGCAAGCTTTGGGTCTCATCACCAGAACGGTTGGAGCCAGCTGTTGAACCAGACCAGTCGGAACCGGTGGAGAATATCGAGGATTGTTGGGGCTGTTCTGTGGACCGGGTCAAGGGTTGCACTTGAGACTCGGCAGCACGGCTTTGGAAGTTGGAGGTGGTCGCAGAGCTGGGGCCAGAAACATGGTTGGGAATGGGAGCAGGCCGCTGTGAACTAATTTCGCGAATGTGGTTCTGTCCTTGCCGTGCGTGCGCTGCGTATGCCTGCTCCAATTGCTGTTGGGCAGCGGAAATGTTGAAGCCCTCGGCTTCAGCGCGAGCTTCGTCAAAAGAGGGGAGGGGGCGATTCTCGAGGGGGTAAGGGATTAGCGGGCGTCATCATTAAGTACGTAAATTGGTCTTGGCATCTGTCGAGGAAGGATTTGAGGTCTTTGCGCGAGGCGTCGTCCTCTGGTTTTCCGGTCGGTACGGCGGCATCGTCCTGGGCTAGGCCTTTGGCTAATGAGGGGGGACGGGTCAGTAATCGCAGCGAGATGTGTAGGCATCCAGGCGTCACGAGGGAGACACTCACATGCCAGCTTCTCTTGCAAAAGAGCGGTGCGGGCCTCCTTGTCCTCAGCGATATCTTGAGCAGGGTCGTATTTTCCCTCACCAGCCAGCTGGGCTGACTGCTCCTTGATTTTGCGCTGAAGTAACTTGATATACTTTTTGGACGCGTTTTGCGTGGCATCGCCTCGCTTCAGCTTCCTTCGAGCTGCGCGATACGCGCCTTCATTTCCCCCTTTTCAATATCCCAAGAGTTTCGCTCGCGTTCGTGTCGATGCCATTCAGACTGAAGGAATCTCATAACACCTATACACCGTGAAAAATAGTTAATACACAGCTTTTCATCATTGACCATGAAAAGAATGTGGGCCTGAAGTTGATAATACTCACCCTGCAGAGTGTATTCGGTCCCCAAAGGCCGGTTCGCAGCGTTAGCCTGCTGTTGTTGTTGCTGCTGCATCCCCATACCACCATCCATACCACCTCCATTCCCACCGTTCACCACCATGTTAGAGATCGGCCAACTCATGAGCGCGGATCCCTTTGGTCGAGCTCGCTAGCGACTCGTTGTCACCGTCGTCCTCTGGGAAGCTTCTGTGTGTAATATTTCATCTGCGTCCGTATAGAAAACGAGCGGTAACGATGGAGTAAAGTTCGGCGAGGAGTCAAATTGCAGTCGCGATTAGGCAAGTTGATTTAGTCGCCGGGCAGGGCGATCAAGGGAGCGAGGGAGACGCAAGAAGAAAAAAAAAAACGGCTCCCCAAAAGGGCGCGGTTGGGTTGGAAGGACCAGGGTGAAAGGGTGAGCAAGGATTAGGTGGTTTCGGAGAAGGTCTTGACCAGAGTGTTGTTCACGAATTTCTTCGTCGGAGGGATGATAAAGGGACGTCTGCGTCACGAACCGTCGTTGTCACGGCCTCGCAAGGCCACGAAATAGCGTTTTCCGTTGGAACTGTTGAGCTTTTCCCCTTTGCGAGGTAGGGCGGGACCTTGGTGATAGGAGGTGATGGCAGGTCGAAGGTGTTGCTTTGACGCCAAAGGAAAGAGCCAATCAGAGGCCGATCCTCTGTATGATATCTCGCCTGAGGCATGAAAACCTCGAGTTTGTCCAGGGGTCATTTCGCTTAGTCACCGGAATTTCGTGAGGATCTTGAGGATGTATCCCACGGCTTCCATTCATTCCACCCTTGCCACACTGACGCATATGAGGCATCGTGGGAAACAAGCCCGATTGTCTTGTCAAATATCTACCTACCACCAAAAAAAAAAAAAAAAAAAAAAAGAAAGAAAGAAAGCAAGAGAGAAAAAGGATATATAGAGGAGGGGGAACGGATTAATAGTGGCTTATATTATTTTCAGGCGCAAGCCCCGTCCGCCTTGATTATCCATCGAGCGCCAGCCTCGACGAGCAGATCGATCCGCCGCAGAGTGATTCCTCGACTAGAATTCGAGTTCCTCAACTTCCATATCGCATTCCAGACATTTCCTTACAGTCATTCCATCAGCATTCTCCACTGCCCTCCCCCAACTATGAACATGCTTTCCCCACCTAGTGCCTCTCCGAATTTAGTCGGCCCTTTAACTCCCGATTGCTGCCTTCTAAAGGCTTCCGTCCTCGTCTTCTTTTTCAGATCAAGCAGCCTCTCTTTGAACTTGGCCTCTTTACGTTTCTTCTTTTGCTCCTCGCGTTTCGCAAACTCGGCATCTAGCGCTTCGGCTGAACCCCACTTCTCTTGGATGGCGTACTCCTCGACTTGATATCGCAAGAACAGCATCATGTCGTGCCAGTGGGACTTGTGCGGATTAGGCTTGTTAAGATGTGGAAGAAGGTCCTCATCGCGTAGTTCCTCTATAGTCCCGATAGTAGACCTGGTTAGCATGCGGGACTTCCACGTAACGGTCGGGCCGAGGTATAAAGGGGATGCAGGTTCATTAGGGGCACTCACGATCTGTCAAAAGGTAGTCTTCTTTGCACTCTGTTTTCGTGAGAAGGAGTACTTTTCGGGGAACTTGTCCTTGCAGGTGTGGCAGATGCGCGTCTTGAACACCTCATCCCAGACAAAGTCAATCTCGAGACTCGCACACTCGCGACACCTCTTTCTCTCCGCCTCGTCGGTCAACACGCTCAAGCCTGGCTCAAACGGGCCTTGCTTCGTTCTTTTCAAGTTGCGCAGCGTCTGAAAGCGCTCCCATTCTTTCGCCGTCATGTGTTTCGGCCTGTCCGACCCAGGCACGCCCTTCTTCAAGGCGGTATTGAAGGGATCATCCTCTTCCGTAATGAAACCTCCCTTGGTGTTCTTCATGGAGCTCATATTGAAGTCGACGAACTTGGCAAAGTTCTTGGCTGGCCGTATGGGCCCGTCTGCTGGCTGCACCCGCCCATCGCGGTTGGTTGCGGGTACGGACTCGGAGCCCGAGACTGCCGAAAAGGGCCGCTTGTTTCGCGGCCCAGCGGCTCCCATTGCACTCCCGCCTTCAATGATGCCCGATGCGCCTTTGTAGTACGTTTCCGGGTCTTTACCAGACCGGCGTAGCTCATCTTCCCTCGCTTGCCGTATCGCCTTCGCCCGGAACCGGCTTTCATCCTAATGGATTTCAGGGTTAGTTCGTGATAGAGTGTAGACAGCTTGGGGACGTACTATGCGCCGAGCCGCGTCTGGGGATAGCCCTTTGGCAGTTGTTTCGGAGGGAGGGGCGGAGGGCTGCTCCATCTTTCGCGCAGAGGCGACGATAGCCTCGCAAGGTGATCAATGTGACAAGTCGTCTGGGGTAAAAATATACGTGTCCCTCGATATTCCAAGTGCGCCTGCGAGAGAATTTTGCCGGGTTACGATCTTTCACTTCGTGGATCGCGTGGGTGGCGTAGATATGAATCCGACTCGCCTGCACAGCGGGTACAGAGGCTTTATGACGGCATTGGCGCAGGGTCGATGTATCCAGTGTTAATATTACCACCAGCCTAAAACCCAAAGCTGCAATCGGTTTTGAAGAACCCCGACATTCTGTCTCCTTCCCATGAGAACTAAGCCTCAGATCAGCTCCAACCTGACAATTCGTTGGCCAGTTCATCCATAAATATCTCAAGTTTTAACGGTTTTGGTTCAGACAAGTCTACGTAAAATCACCACGTCCATCACGAGTGATTACGCCGAGACGCTACCTCGGTAGATATATCAAATACAGATGGATCTCACAATCAATTATAGAATTTCAAGGCTGCAAGTGCAAGAGCGAGCAAGGTTAATCAGAATGCTCAAATTCCCCAAGGCAAGGTTCGCCGTTTAAACCCGGAGCCCCGCAAAAGTTCCCCCATGCTCTATCCGTTCGTTTAAGATTACAAATAAATGTGTCGTTACCAAAACATTGACGAATACGCCAATTTACTCTTCCTTGGCGCCTCCACGGCCGGCCTTCTCGGCGGCTTCGACGGCCTTCTTGTCGCTCTGAGCAGCTCCATTCTGGAGACCAGCCATAAGACCGGCGGCCTGCTTGAAGGGGCGCTTGAGATCGCCCGAGGCGGGCTGGCCGAAGATATGGATCTTGGTAAGGTTGCCCTCGAGAGCGCCCTTGAGGGGATGATGGACTGAATGAGGAGGGGGTTGGTGTAACCCATGTAGAGGTGGGTGAAGCACATGATACCAATGCCCATGAGTTGCGCGCGGAAAGCGTTGCGGAGCTGCTGGTTATCGTAGGCGTAGATGGTCGTGGTCACAAGCTTGGGCTCCTCGGAGGATCCCATAGGCGCGGGCTCGACATACTTGAGGGTAGTCAAATCTATCCAGCACGAGTTTCATTAGCTTTGTAATTCGACAAGACAATGGGGAACGAAAAAGGTACGAGAGAATTATTCGTCTCCTCGCAAGCAATTATGCATGTATATCGGGGCGCGGGAATAAGGAATGCGTACCCTTCTTCTTGTTGATCTTGAGGTAGATGGTATAGTAGAGAACCGCGATCAGGAAGTTGCTGAATAGGTAGATGCCTCGCACGATGTTGAGCACATTGGGATCTTCGAAGGGAACCTTCTTGGCAACCTGCATCATACCAAGTACGATGACGAGGTTGGCGCTGTAGGCGGAAAGAAAGATATTGTTAGCTACATTCAGATATCGCGAGGGTGACACCCAACCAGGCTGCTCGCGAGAACACGCGACGACGTGGCTTCAGCGACAGCAGCCGGTCGCAACGGCGGAAACAAACAGGGTGTTCACGCGCACAAACTTACACAGCGGGGGGACTCCGGCCATTTTGAAGATGTTAAAATTCCAACAAAGGAGTTGACGAAGATGGAAAAAGAAGGCGCGAGTTTTGGGGGATTAGGGGAGATGGGAAAGGGAGAACTGAAGATGTCGCTACGTGGGTGATTGGAGAGTTTTTCCGTCGGAGATCCCCTTAAAAGCTAAGGAGCCCGGGCAGGATTGCTTTGAGGCCAGCTACTGCGCCCGAATTTCCGGCGTTGTACCGCCACGCAGAGAATGCGCGGAGCCTTTTGCCCCTCGACTCCCACCAATTTTTTAGGTTGATCGCTACAGGACAGCGTGGCGAACCCTCCCAGTTTGTCCAACTCGATATGTGGACTTCAAATGATTGAACATCAATGATTGAATGCTCACAGGCGCCTCAATCCCCAGAAACCCCACCGCCAGCACAGGACCCCAGTACACTAGGCCCTTCTGAAGACCATCGCCCACGAATACTCAAAGCTGATTGCATCATGCAGACCCTGGTTGGCGCATTCCACTAATACAGAAGGAACCTTTTAGATAGAACCATCTGGAACCAGAGAGCATCCGAGGGATCCATTGTAGCGTAATCTCATTTCTTTGACGAGTGCAAGAACAAGCCGGGCCAGGGGCTCCCAAACGGCTCCTCTCGTCGCTATTGACCCGTGTCTATGCGGGCCCTTTCTCAAAACCACAAAAATTACAGTTGTATGGAATGGCAAGATTAATTATCCATGGACGGAACGCACGAGCTACAGCATAGTAGTTATGGAAAGGAAAACAAAAAAAAGAATGAAGACATAGAAACTAGTCAAGGGTGGCTTTGACGGTTGAAAGCCAAAAGTGCACTATCCCGGAATCGAACCGGGGGCTGGTCGAAATCACGTTGGTGGCAACGACCAAGTTTACCACTAACCCAATAGTGCCTCGTTATTTGATGCTGATCTGTCCCCACTTTCAACAACTTAAAGGCCCGACCTTAATTCCACCCCTTGGCCTGCTGACATAAACTTGAAGAGCCCAAGCAAGCAGATGGTCGAGGCATGTGGGGTTGGTCACGTCGCAAAGTGCTGGAGGCTTTGACAGGTGAAAGCCTGCGATGCCTTGATACTAGTAGAGATGCGACCATTCGAGGCATCTAGTGGACAAGGAAGATAACTTGAACGTTTCGCTCACTAATTAATACTTCTCTCTAACTACGACTATATCACCCTTTTTTTCGGTGCACTTAGAAATAGGGCCATCCGAGGAAGAAGGTGGGCGGCGATGCAACCAACTCACCATCATCACCAGCTTGGGTCGTGTAGCTAGTAATGCTGGATGGTGAAAGGGCATCTAGGCATTTACAAGTAAAAAGAATGATCCACCCCTTCATTCCTGTTACGCAATCTCTGTCTTCTTTCTTTCTTTCCCTCTCCATCGTCTTGGTCCTCCACGTGATGGCAAGCAGCCATCCGAGCCAACTGCATAGACGCCCGACTCTATCCAGCAAACCACCTTCGTCCATCTGAGACATTCCTGTCCACGCCAGTCAAGGAAACACGGGCTTGGCTCAAGGAGGGAAGAAAAATGCATTCACATTCCTGGCTTTCCCCTCCCACTCTTCTTCTTTCCTTCCTTCTCCCGCCCTCCTTTTCTCAAAGAAATCCGCGCTTGTTTCTTCCTCTTCTGCTTCCCTTCGTGACGCGATTATATTTCCCCCTCCCTTTCTTTTTGCTGGGGACTAAAAGCCATCATCTTCTATTAATGCGAGGCCGATCGAGATCGAGGGAGAGGGACCCCTGCGCCGGCTGGGGCGGGGCCTGCCGCGAAAAGCGCCGCTCCATGTCCCCGGCGCGGACGAATCCAAGTACCCCACAGGAGCCGATGGGCCACCACCGGCACCTCGAGGAGACTTTGAACCTCAGCGGTAATCAAGCTTTTTTCCCCTTTACTTTCGTTTGGATGCCTTGCTTTTTTGTACTTTCCTTGACACTTGCACCGTATCTACTGAGGTATTCATGCTGGAAAAGGGACTAAACGCGCCCAGGGGCCGGGACTGCTGTGTCTCATCTGTCTGGGTCCAAAACTAACCATTTTCCGCGATTACAGTGGACGCTCCCGCGACCGCTCCTTGTCCCCGGCCGCATCCATCGTGCCTGGCATCGTTTCTGGCACCCCTTCCACCACCACCATCATCATTACGACGATCACCGCCCTCCATCCCCCAGCAACCACCGCCTTATGAGATACCCCAATGCCCTCCTCCGAAATATTCAACCCCGTCGGCATTCTCACCCTCCAAGTCCGAGACCGCACAACTGATGATCCGCACCCATACAATCCCCACGGCCGAAACTTCACCATCACCGTGACACCCGAGACTAGGCCCTGCGACATCATCTACAGTCTCGCGCCTCCTCGCAGCCGTTGTACAGTCCTGGTATGTTCGACATTCCAACCAGCCTACGTCATGCCTAAAGATGTTTCGCTTCCTGGCATCGCCAATATGGGATGTTGGCTGGAGGTTGTAGATCGGTGATTGTGAAGGGGCCCACTGTTGTTTATGACAATGATGTCAAGGGATCGGAGGGCAGGCTATGATTCGGGTGACCGTTTACTGCGATATGTAGGCTTACAGGCGTATATCAAATTCATCCAATGTAATGCTGTAATGCGAAATGAATAGAGCATTGGTCTTCAGCAACACGTGCGTGGGTGCAGGAACCACAAATGATTCAAGCAAAGTAATATCACAGGCATCTCGAAAGCAAGGGACGAGCACTTGGTTGCTTGCAACATGAGGAACAGGATGACATTGTTTTCAGAAAATGAATGCTGTTAAAGGGAACCCATGAGAAACGAATAGCCTCATCCTTCGTCATTGCCACATGTTCGTTAAAAAAAAAAAAGCGAGGGGGCAACAAGAAGAAAAAGAGAAAAGGAGACAGATGGAAGAACTAAGGAAGCAAGAGGAAAAAGAAACCACTAAACTCGATAATATACTCTTACAGAGAATAGAAGAGGAGAATGGGGAAAACCTCGTCCAAACCCGAGGCAAGCGCTGGTGGTGTACATACACCCCTTCAACCTCCTCCATCCACAGTCATATTGTCATGCGTTGATGGCGAAAATTTCAAAGCAAAGCGTGTTCATAGGGAAAACAGAAGAGTGCAGAATAGCTGGAAAATGTCTTAGGGTATCATGCTAGTTACGCCCCATATGTCAACTTAATTCGAATGAAAAGCAGCTTTAGTACTGATGGTGGCCACCGGTGGTGGCGTCCAGGATACGCTTGGCTGTGCCGATAAGCTGTACCAGGTTCTGGAGAATGGGGTCATGGCGGTCCTTGGTGCTGATTCGCATCATAAGGTTCTCCGAACGGCTGATAACGAGCTTCATGATGTTGGGCGTAACTTCTCGAACTTGTTGGTCCTAGAGAAAGCAAGGTTAGAAATTGTGTTGGCGTGCTACGTGCGAGAAAAAAAAAAAGGGGGATGATGCCAGAGCAAGAACAATGAAAAAGAAATAAAAGGGTAGCGGAAGGACATACAAAGGTGGGCACATTGTTCATGAGGCAGTGGACTGACGTTTCCAGCCAAGCCGCCTTCTGCCGAGCCAACGCCGTGTCGAGATGTTGGGAAACGGTGGTTGCCACCGACAGTTGTACCAGAGGAGGGAGATCGCGGAGGTGAACGGGGCTCATTTTAGACCAGTAGCGAGCAAAAATCTCGTCCTCGCTTCCGCTCTGGAGCCAGCGAATGATGGCTTCCTCCAACCGACCGTCCTGCACAGACTGGGCAATCGTTGAAATGGTGTGGTTGAGTTCCATGTCATGGGCAGACCCGGGAGTCTGGTCCGCCGAATTCTCACTGGGGGTGGGAGTGCTGGTGATGCGATGACTGCCGCTGTTGGTGAGGCTGGGGTTGCTGATGCTGGTGATGTTGGTGCTGGTGCTGAGGCTGGTGCTGATGCTGGAGCTGATGGCTATGAGGGACGGAATGCTGGTGTTGGAGCGGTCGCTGCTGCCCAACACCGTAACCCGGAGATTCCGTGCTTGACAGGGTCGCCACGGTGTTGACATGAGCACTGTGCTCACGCTCAGCGATGGTCTGCTGCTGGAACTTGAGGAACTCGCCCTGGAATTTAGATTGTGCGGCCGCCATCGTGGAAACAGTGTCAGACAGACGAGTGACGAGCGATAACAGTTGGTCAATCTTGTTCGAGTCTGAGCGACGTTGGGTGTCTAGGCGGTCAATCTCCTCCTGGTACTGCTGTTGAATCTCAGCCGCAACGCGATGCGTGGTCTGAATCGTCACATTATTGATGGCAGGCATGAGAGTCGTGGACAGTCCTCGCATGACCTCGGCTTCCACCTTGCTAGCCACGCGAGTGCTGATCTTCTCAGAAAGGGCATCTACAAGTCCATCGTTCATGACAACCTTCTCGCCGATAGTAGGCAAAGCCTTGCTGAGTTCCTTCTGGATAGTGTGCATAGCCTTGATGCTCACTTGCTCCGCTGCAGCCTTGCTGGTAGCATCCGCAATGGAGGGGATGACGGAGCCTGAAAACTGGTTGCTGATGATATCCCCAAGGACATTCTGGACATTCTGGTTCAGAACCTCCGATACAACATCTAGCAACTTCAGCTGACGCGAATCAAAGTCGGCCTCGCGAGCGACGATAGTGCCGTTGAGGCCACCAATCGCAGTTTCAACGACTTGGCTTATGGATGCGTTCAGGCGGTTCTCCATGCCCTTAACAGTGGCGTCAATCGCTTCCTGGGATACCGAGGGCCCGGTAGCCTTTGGCGACGGGCCCGAGCCCGGGACGAGTCACCACTCTTCGCAGAGGGTGCACTTCCCTTGGCTGCCGGCTGAGCGTTCGCGCCGTTAGCGGGAGCGTCTGTAGTGCCAGACTGTGCCGCGGCATTCTTCTTCTTGCGGCCCCTCTTCTCCGACTTGTCAAGAGCGCCGGCGGGAGAGGGTGCGTTCGTAGCGCCGTCCGCATCCTTGCGCATCTGAATTTTGGCAGGGCTAACAGAATCTGGTAATTTCCGTACCAGGTCCTCTTGCTGGGGCGCATCCTTGCCTGAGCGGGCCTGCTGCTTATTCTGGACCGGCTCATCAAGAGGCTGAGCAGGCAGGGACTTGAGGGGAGCAACTTCAATAACACCTGCCTTGAGAGCCTCTACACCATCAATCACCTTGTTATCCTTGGACCAGCCAAGCTCACGCTGGCGGACGAGGACGCAGGCAACACCGCGGGAATGCATGGCATAAAGCTCGAAGAGGGTCGGCTCGTCGCTATCTTGAGCCATAGCGGGGGTAGATAGCATGTCAAGACTCCTCAGCACGCCCCTGTTATCAAACGAATATTCGCGTACGCCGCTAATTACAGCGGTTGACTCGGGGGCAGGGATTGTAGGATCCTTCATGCCAAGTCGAGAGATGTACTCAGCCTGAGAAATATTCTTGAACGTGTACTTGGGGGCGGACAAGTGAGCCAGGTAAATGGAGTTTCTGGTGGGGTGGCCGATGACGATCATGCCGGTAGCGGGGTTGTACGTAACACTGCACACCGCATCTGATTCCTTGCTATGAGGCAAGTTGAACTCCTGAACGGGTTTGCCAAGCGCCAAATCCCACAGCTGCAGGGTATGGTTCTGCTTCATGCCAACAATCATGTATCGAAGAGCGCACCTCTTTTGGTACGGCTTGATCTTATCAAGCAGGAGCACCGAGGTGGGCCAAGCCTTTTCTCCATCGGGAGTGCTGGCAAGAGTCATGAGGGGGTCCTTGATCTCGAAAGAGCTATGAGCGGGCAAAGGACGGTTGGGGTCGCCATCTTCCCGGGCTAGGGTGAGTTCCCTCACATCCCAGAACTTGACGCGGCCAGACTTGTCCAGAGAGACGATGACCGAATCATCTTGGCTGAAAGTGAAGTCCTTTCCAGCCTTACCAGTGTTGATCTTCAGTGAGCATTGCTTAGCAAGCTTTTCTGCGTCGACGACTCGATCGTGTCCGGGTTTGAAGAATGTGTTCTGCATGACAAAATAGGGCCAGACGATGGTGATGGATTTGCCGCGGCCAACGGCAAAGAACTCGGGATGGCAGGATGACACCCTGGCGCGTGTTTTGAGAACCCCGCCCGACGTATCTCCTTCTTGAGAGCTTAAAGGAGGAAGCGCAAACCCGTATTGCTCCGGGTGAGCATCTTCAATGTGATCCTTGTCACTCTCGAGAATTTGAACCCAGTAAACGGTCCCGCTGACGCCTGTGCCCATGATTGCCTCTCGGTGGATACCCGTATGATCGCTGGGGGTGATGGACATGGAGATGTTGAATATGCGATCCTTGGTATTGGAAAAGATCTTGACGTCCTTACCATCATCCTGCCTAATGACGTGCATCCCTCCGGCCTTCGACATACCGTAGGCCATGCAATGGGGAAGCCGTGTACAGATTGCGATCAATCTGGTCAAATTCCTTCTTCAACCGAGCAATATCCATAATCGCACCATCACGGAACTCGGGGCGGTCCTCGATACCTCCATCAGTCATGGTGATGGAAATCCAAGGCTGCATCGGGAAGTCATAAACTTTGACGGGAGCATACGAGTCATCTGCAATAAAGGCAGCGTCTTCGGCATCCGCGCTATCCCAACTATCGGCAACAGCCTGGGTGTGATCATGGAGCTCGAGGTCCGGCTGAGCGATGTCGCCGTCATGATCATGAGCATCGCTGCTTTCTTCACGGAGACCATGCTTGGGGACGACGCAGATGAATCTTTCGAATCACGGAAATCGCCACGAGGCGACTTATCATCATCGTCAACATCAGCGAGGCCATGGGCAGTTTCAGCCTCAGCCTTCAAATCCGATTCCGCCAAGTTGTCAATGGTCTCAAAGTCGGCAGAAGCTGGTTCAGAATGGTCATTGGTGGGGTTGATGGAATGATCCTCGCCTTGATCAAGGACAGGCTGCGCCGACGCCTCCAAAGAACGGCCATGTTCAACAAAATCATCTTCATCGGCCAAGCCATGATCAGTCTTTCGACGCGTATCGGTGGGGCTGAGGCTCTGACGATGGGTGTCATTGAGGTCGTGGAAGTCATTGGGAGACTCGGAAGGATGGGCCTTTTTCAAAATCTGGAAGGGCGCCTGATTGGCGTAGTGATCACCCCCAAGAGATTGGCTAAAAGAGCCGGGGGAACCATGATCTGAAGGCTGGCTATGATACGACCAAGTGCTATGCTGCTGGTGCGGGAACTGGCCGGGATGAGGCTGAGGCCCACGACCCTCGTGTCCATTGCTCGCCATGGAATAGCTGTTGTAGCCAGAACTCCTCTGGTCTTGAGACCTGTTGTCGTAGTCCAGAGGAACCTGTGGGCCAATAGCCAGAGGCCCATACATCTTTGGGCCACCGGTGCCAACCATGTCACCCGATTGAGGTGTTAAATTGGCCGAGGGGACTCATACTGCTGATCGTCTTGGCTCGGCTTTGGCCGGTTGAGCAGATCGAGAAGATAAGCTCGAGTGTCCGACGATGGCGAGGACGGGCCAAAGCTACCATGTGCGGCGGTTGCGTGAGGTTGAACGGGAGGCGAATGGTGCTCCTGCTGGTCATCTTGCTCATCGGGCGCGCGCATGCCCTTCATAAGGGCAGCCAAAAGACCCGACGGATCCGCACTGGACGGTGCAGGGGCCAAGAGAGGAAGTGCCTGTCGAGGGATAGCCACGTTCACAATTTCATGATGAGGGGACTGCTGGGAAGGATGGCTATGATGGCTCTGGTGGCTATGATGGCTCTGGGGGCCGACATGGTGGGGGATGTTGTAGGATGGCCCACCAACCGGATGCTGATGGCCTAGAGGACCGGGGCCTTCGAGGTGATCTTCCTCGGGTGCGATAATCGGCTGGGAACCTTTACCACTGAACTTGAGGAGGTTGAGAAGACCGGCAGTTCGATCGCGGTTCGAAACTGGGCCCTGGCTGCTGCTATTGTTGACAGGCGGCGTCGGAGCCGGGGGAAGGAATGGCGACACCATAGCCGAGGTAGCCCAAGGGCCAGAAACTTTTTGGTCGAGGAAATTGATTTGAGGCCAGCCCGAGATGGTGATGACTTGGAGAAGGGGAAAAGGGAAGAGAAGAAATTTACGATGATCAAGCGTTGCCGCCGGGCGTTTGAAGGAATGGAAAGGCGGCGAGTTGGAGTTGGAGTTGGGCTGCAATTGAGAGAAAAAAATAAAAGGATGGCTCAGGTCAAAGGTTCTGGGTCTAACCACAAGGAGGCACGGGAGGTGCTGAAGGCGTGGTATGGTACGTGCTAATGTGCAAAGATGATTGGCGTGGAAATCAAGCATCAAGCGCCTTCCGGGTCGCGTTTCAGAGCCTTAGTCACCCACATTTGCGTTGGCAGCCTCCTGCCATTGCCCTTACAATGGGGGTTGACAGCATACCTTGGCACAGGCCTCCTTCAAGAAAAACCCCCAGCTTGGATTGGATGGCTCAGGCGGTGTGTTAATAAATTGACGTGGCTGCTTGACCGTCTTCAACCGCATTTGTGATGGTGTGATTGTCCACGACCAGCAGAAGACGTCCTTATCGTTGTTCACTTTGAGTCTTCTGCCCAGAGGCGACTTTTCATGCAGCCCCATGTAGCGGATGCGATCGGGACAAGTCGAGCCGGAGCAGACATACTTCGTAGAACATTTCGTCCTTCTGCCGCCTTTCTCTGTGAAGCAAAATAAAAGAACGGGCGCGGAGGGCAATGAAGCTCAGGTCGGGGATTTAAACCCACCTATTCACAATTAATATTCACGGCTGGACGAAGCGGGTCAATCCATGATCTCGAGCCATCAAGCATTGCAATGGCCCTTGACCATCAACTCCTTCAACCAAGAGCCAGCTTCGGCTGCATGTAGCTGGGAGCTCGCCAGACGTGGCAATCCTAGTTCCCCGCTCCTGCTTCCTGCCGGTGCTATCCCATGATCCAACCATTCCAACCCAATGGCAAGAGCAGGCTTGAAAGAAACATATCAGCCCCATCACCTCAAGGTGTAGCCAGAGGTTGCCCATGATTCTTCTACTCGTAAAGCGTTTGAAAAAAAAATCGGATCATGGCCTAGGTGGATATCTGGCAAGTGAATAGATAATTTCCGCCCCTCCCCTTCTGTTCTTTCGAGGGCGCCAGGGTCAAAACTGAACAAAAGCCTTCCAACCCCCATGCTCAACTTTTGTCCTGTCGCGGAGGCTGAACGTGGCCGCTATCACTGGAGCTTGGGAGCGGAAGGCACCAACACCCGCGTTTGGTGGTGCATGAGACCGGTACGTACTGACTAACCAGAAGGAGCGGCCACACGTCACGGCAACAGCGCCCAACCACAAGCAACCAACCCAAAATTATCACGGCACTTCGCCTGCAATCTGTGGGTCTCGACTTCTTGCCCCCTCCTCGCAAGTAGCCTCCGGCTCGTCACGGATTTCCTCATCGCGGCTCGCGGAAGCACATCGAAGTGACCGAACCTGACATACTTCTTCCATCTCCTTGATCTCTCCCTTTCCTCACGCGTAGCGCCCTTTTCACTCCTTCGCTTAGAGCCAGGGCGCCCACTCCTAACTCGGCCTTGGCGGAAGTGAAAATCGTCAACCTCCAACTCCAGGCTCCAGCCCTCGTATCCTGCCATCCCATCAGCGCCTTTGCGGAGACTGTCAGGCTACCTGCGGAAGACCCATCGTACCGGAGCCCCAACTTTATGCGACACGTACTTCCAGCAGAGTGCAGAATACATCAATTGCCAGCACCTGTGGCCCAGGAGGCACAATCTTCTTGAGGGATACCAAGGTGTGCGCTCGATCCCATCGCCACGATGTTCTGTCTCAGAAGGTACGCCGTGAAGCATTTCCCCGTCATATCTCTTCATTATATACCTACGAGAGGCGAAGAAACTAACGTCTGCCATCCATCATGCTTCAGCTGGCTCCCGCTGCTCTTCATCCCGACCAACGCGCCGCCAATCTTCGTTCTCCTTTTCTTCGCGTGCACCTTTTTCTCAGCAGGCCATGCGTATACTGCAGCTTCCTCCTCATAATACTCTTCCTTACATCTTGCTACTGGTCCGATCAGTGTTTCTTCGACCTATCCTCGAATTGGTTTGAGCCGCGGCATTCGATATCCTCCCTCGATCTCGGCAATGGGGAGTTCAACAGCACTCTGGCAGATATGGTCTTCTCAACTGTCACCGGGCTAACCGGTGTTGCTGCCGATGAACTCACTAGACAAAGACAAGAATGGACGGGGCTCGGTCTTGAGTGGCTTAGGAGCCTTCTCGGCCGACGCGAGTGGAGGATCGACTGCATGCTTCTCAACATCAGGCTTTGAGATCAGTCTACAGCTCCATCATAACGATGGCAATAATTGTGGGAGATTTGCTGGGGCAGACTTCCTCGCAAGTTCAAATCCAAATCCAACCCAAAACAGGAAAAAGAAGAAAAAAAGACCAACCTATAACCTAGCACAGCAGGGGCATGGCATGGAGACTCCGGTGTAGCATCTAATGGTTATTAATGAGCAATGCATCATGAGAGTTCATGTGTACAGTATAAGACCAGGCTCGGTATAAGAAGAGCGCCCAAGCCACCTTGGGATACCCCTCATATAGATGGGCATAATAAATCAATCCAGCGCGTCCGCAGCAGTCCTTTAGGTGTTCAGGATGACTAGGCCTAGCGTTAGGGGCCAAGTGAAATCCAGGACAGTCCCAACATGTGCTAGATTCGGGCAAATCCTACATCTCTCGCTTTTCTCGTTTTCCTTTCCTTTTCCCAGGCGATAAGGGGAGCTCATTTTCTAATCTGAAGGATTCGTTGCCGCGTTCAGAGAGTGGACAAGTAAAATTACCACCTATCAGTGAGGAATCATGAGCCGCAGGACAGAAATAACGTCTTTAAACGGCTGCTCTCGCAAGCCGTCCAGTATCGCACTGAGCTTCAGTGGAAGTAGAAACAAGGAGTAGAGCGAGGGGCCGCCATGATATCGTGACGAAGTCTTTCAACCCTTAGATGAACAGACGCTGCCCTTGACCACGTTAAAAGGAGATTCAGTGGCAAGAAGAGAATAGAAGCCGAATCAAGCGAATAACGAGCTTTCGCCCATAGCAAGTTGTAAGCACCCAACGGCAAGTTCAGTTCGCACCTTTAGGAGCCTCTCCAGCTAGACGGCACGAAGGAGGGAAGCAAACCTGGGGAATGCCACCTGTCTGATGAGCTATCGGCTTCGTTCCTCACATCGCACCCACCTAGCGGGCAGCTCTCTGCGTTTTATAAGTGGTGTTGAACTGGTCAGAAGCGGTCACCTCTCTTACCGCACTCGGAAGGCCTGGCATTATGATGAGGTGGGAAGGCGCCTAGGTTCGCTGGCATGACTGCGAGAGAAATACTCCTCAACAAGCCCGGCAATGCTTGTGAAGATGACTCCACCAAACCAATGCTTACCAGAGAGAACCTCGCATCTACTCCTTGAAGTAGGCTGAAGCTGGGTTCTTGAAAACAGTCTCCTATCGCCACATCACCTAGTCTCCGCGGCACTCGGACAAGCCTCGGCACTAGTACAACTTGGATGTGAATTCCTTTCGGGACCTTTGATTTAAAGATGTTGAGCGGTAAGGGGCGCAGAACTCGCCGTGGTGATTATGAGTTCAAAGTGTTAGAACCATCACCACACATTCAGGCCTTGGGCGTGCAGGGGAATAATTCGAAGCATACGTTCCCTCAAGCAAGTCAAAAGACAACACAAATCAAGATAGTCGGACGGTCGGCGCGGGATTAGGTCCGGATGGCCCCAGCGAGGGATCGGCAACGGTCAACCATCATGAAGTCCTAGTGACAACGGGAAGGGTGCGTTACGCGCAACGCGCACCGATGTGCTGAGAGTCTAACAACAGTCCTCTCTCTCTTACGTTGAGGGAAAGGGGTCGGGGACAGGTCGAACAATCGACCACGCAAAATCAAACATTGCATTCGTTGTTGCATCTCATCCGTCGCCTGGTCATACAGTTTCAGCTTGTTGAATACACGTAGTGTTTGCGAATTCTACTGTCGGACGAAGCAAGTCATTCAAGGAACCAAAACGATCCCATCTAATCGACTAACCTCACGTTCGATATTCAAAAGAATGGGCCTTGCCTGCGCCACCAAGCAGACGATACATTTCTAGCGAAATATGTTTGATTTGGGGCCACGCAACGAAAAAGAAAAGTGTCTCGTCCCGTTCAGTCGACAATCGGATACGACCCTGGCGATTATTGATGTCATTGATGGAAAGTGATGGGGCTTCCCTTCAAATCTCCACCTCCGCACTTACATATTTCGGTAGCCATGAATGTGATACCGGCCGCCAGGAGGAGTGGCGGCGCGGTCAATTCCCCCAAACCGACAGGGAGACTTTGACGGGTTTAGTGGCGCGCCAGGGGGACTGGTCGGCGAACCTTGCTTGGCACTTGTAATTTATCAACGCAAATGCGACTGGAGTTTGTCGAGGTCTATTGTTCCAGAAAATTGTCGTACGCGTAATATTGGTGGGTTGTGGGCCAAGAGAGGCGTCATCGGCTCCCCATTCACTTCAACAACCGCTTCTTCTCAGGGTCCACACTATTCGCACCTCGTTCCACTTCCTGGAAATCGCCCAAAAACGAGAACTGAGAGAAGTGAGAGAGGTGATAAGATCAAGAAGAAAAATTATCGGGAAAGGGGAGTGGCAGCAGCGGTCAAAAGGGTACCACTACTGAGAGACGCCAGGATGAGGGGTGGGTGGCTTCAAGCCAAGCCAAGGAGGATTCCTCCTGCAGAGTGCCGTGCTGTTGTCTTGAACTGTCCTTATAGGACCTAGACTTGGTGATTCACCAGGTATCTATCTCTCTGGATCGATGGGTCCATCCATCTATAGGTGGATTCAATAAATGTCTGCCAGCGTGCACACCAGATCCAGTTGGGGTACAAAGTATGTATGACCACCTAGAATCACGAGAAGACACGGCGATTTCATTGAGCGTGTTTTTCTATCATTATGAGTTCGTACCGATATCAAAACTTCCGTTGCAACCTCTCGTTTGCTTGCCAAGTTTGACCCTTCCGAAAGAACCGTCCAAGAACAGCGCCATTAATTGGTGAACCCAGGACATGTCAGAATGGAGGCGCAGGGGGCTGACGAAGAATCGCTGGTTGGCCCACTACTCTCATGCGCTCGCCAATGAAAATTTGAGCACGCGAGGACTTCAACAGCCCGAGGCCCCCGTGCCATCCTGCCAAAAGGAGCATAGGCGCGAATGTCGATCATCGATGAATGAGGACCGGAAAACGGTGCAGCGGGTGAGGCCCGAAACACGGAAAATGGAGGCAAGTATGCAGAGATAACGGAACGGTTGCACTCATCGATAATGGCCTGCTATTTAGAAAAAGAAAAAAATTCCAAAAGCTGACGCCGTCTCTGAGAAGGGCGAATGGGTCACCTCTTTGTCGGCAATCGCGCCATGCCGTGTTGAGAGCGTCGTGACCTATTTTAGTCTTCAAGTTGATGACCACAAGGGGCGGGAACGTTGCTCGGAGCCCCTAATAAGTCCAGTTTGGTCTGTGGATGTGTTCAAAGTTGCAATCCAATCTCCAAGTACTTGTACTCTCCACTAGACATACGTGGAGACTCCGGTCGTTGAATCCACACGCCAGTGAATGTGCCACAGCAGGTAATGTTACGAGTGAAGGAGTCCGTGGACAGTGCCGTGTACTCCGGAAGAGCGTGGGAACGGCCGAAGGACTCGTAATCCATTGATCCCCTGCATTTGGCCAACCGGTTTAGTTCAGGGTCAGGTATAATTACGAAGTACTGCGACTCTGAGACCAAGGCTCAGGCTTACAAGGCAATACCCCTAAGATCGGCAAGGTGGCTGCCAAGCAAACCAAGACAGTCGAGACCACTTGTACCTTTGCCCTCTCCAAGAACTTCAATTTCCTCCAGTCCCACGTCACGCGACACCTTGCCCCCGAAACGTTCCCCCAAACCTCAATCCTCCGACGCTGTTCCCTCGAGGTTGAGTATCCCAGTCCACCAGCGAGCTTGGTCGCCACAGGGGCATTGATAGATTTTTAGGCCAAGCAGAGTCGTTTCTCGACCTCTCCCATTCATTCTCTCCTTTCCCTTCATTCCTTTTATTTTTCAACAGCCAACCTCGCAGCGTCAACGCCCCCTCTACTGTTGACGGAGTTTTTCAAGGCCACCATCGCCAGTTCTTTCCCCCTAACGTCTCACATCCGTGGATCCACTCATACAGACTAGACGGTCTTGTCTTAGGAGGGGTTCACTCTTCCGGCCACGGCGTCAATTCCAGGCGATCTTCGAGAATTGCTCCATCGACCTTTTCTCAGTACTCGACCTAGATGCACACGACTTCGCCGAGCCCTCGCACGCGACAGTCGATCTAATCCTTTTCACCCAGCTCTCCCTGCTCTCCCTGCTGTGCAACTATTCTTCCCGGGCCTTTCTTCTCCATCCCTCCTCCTCGGTCATCGCATTTCTCTTCCATCCTATTTGGTCCTCGTCCCCTTGCCGTGGTCTGTTGCTCTCACTCGCGACGCATTAACTTCACGATGAAGTTGACCCACGTTTTTGCCTTCATCACCGCGATACCTCTCGGTTTAGCGGCTGACAAGAGGGACAACAAGTATTTCCATGAGCCCGGTGGTGGCCAGCATCTTGGCCATTATGACTCAAGATATTTCCGCGAACAAATTGCCTACGAGGAGCACCGTCATCTCCTCAGGCACCTCGTCCGCTCCTATCTAGCCACACTCGACGAGATAGGCGCCGAGACGTGGATTGCCCACGGCACCCTCCTCGGATGGTGGTGGAACGGCCAAATTATGCCTTGGGATTACGATCTGGATGTTCAGATGTCGACTGATACTCTTCGCTTCCTCGGCTCCAAGTTCAACCGCACAGAGCACGTCTACAACTATATCGACGACAAGGGCGCTCCCCAAAAGAAGACTTACCTTCTCGACATCAACCCCCACCACGTCGATATTGACCGTGGCGACGGACAGAATATTATCGATGCGCGCTGGATCGATATGGAAAACGGCATGTTCGTTGACATTACAGGCCTGATGGAGAGAGACCCGAACAACAAACCCGGTATTTGGAGTTGCAAGAATCACCACAAGTACAAGACTACCGATCTATTCCCCATGCGAGTCACCGAGTTTGAGGGCGTCAAGGCCATCGTCCCCTATAACTTCGAGAAGATTCTCATCGACGAGTACGGCTCTAAAGCAATGGCGTCGACCTCTTGGCTAGGGTAAGTTGAGCCCAGTCTCGGTACTTCATTGAAGAGCGGGGCGGTAGAATAGAAATTTGAAGAAAACGAGAATTCCCCAAGCTAACAGCCGAACCTCTTTCATAGACACGAATGGAACCCCGAAAACAAGCAATGGGCCAAGACCGAGGCTGAGATCAAGAAGGAGCAGGATGACGCCAAGAAGAAGAAAGAGGAGGAAGCAAAGAAGAAGGCCGACGAGGAAAAGAAGAAGGCTGATGAGGCGAAGAAGAAGGCTGATGAAGAAAAGGCCAAGAAGGCTGAGGAAGAGGAGAAGAAGAAGAAGGCCGAAGAGGCGAAGAAGAGCGAGGAAGAGGCGGCGAGGAGAGAGGCCGAGGAAGCAGATGCGGAGAAGGAGCGAGCAAGCGAAAACGACCAAGCTTCCGAGCACGCCGAAGCCTAACAGCCGGGTAGACCCGCGGCGTAATGAACGTTTGGACCGAAACAACACAATACTTGTAGAGAGACGCCACGTAACCGTCGGCCTCCGTATCCACCACGGCTCTCAATGCAACGGCAAATACGACGGTCCCCCTCTACGATGACCAGGTGGTCAGGGACAACAAGACCTAGCCCACGAGCAGCTTCGATGCGAGCCAGATGAGCGCTGCCCCGCCTTGGCCGCGTAGTAGTGCATGTTACGATAGTCCTCGACATGATCAGTCTCCCGATCTTGTCTCCTGTGGCATGCGCCACGGCGGCGGACGGGAAAAGTCGCTCGGTTTTTTTGGGGGGTTTTTCTCTCTCGAGGGGTGAAATGATGGAAAACTCTGTTCTTGGTCAGGACAGGGAAGGGCGGGCGTTCAAGGGCGTTTGATTTCGCATGCATGTATACCATGTCCCTGGATAGTTTTGTCTCCATGTTGTAGGGTTCATTGCTTTTATCTCGACTTCTCAGTTGCTGGAGGCTTAGTCCCCATACCAACTTAATACACCAAAGACGCCGTTGTTGGCTTCATATCCAGATACCACGCGCTAGGGTCCGAGTGCGCCCGCTCACGAAAGGTCTAAGAACACACCGAGATAAAAACTCGGGATTGATTACCCAAACTCTCCACACGCTATATAAGCTATCCGTATATCGTTTGCATTCGCCAGGAACCGCAAGAACCAATGACACCGATTGAAAACATGATGCGACGCTATGCCTAGTCCTGCTCCTAGGCCTATGTTTGAAGGGAAAAAGGGAAGAGTTGAACGGAAAGATGCGGTCGAAGAGGGCGTGTAAGAGGAAGTGGGGAAAGGAAAAGAGAAGGGGAAAAAAAGAAGGGGTGGGGAATAACTCCAAAACACCTAAGCCATAGATGTAGATTCAGTTCTGGGGGTATACTGCATGACGAGCGTAAATGAATGCTGCAATGGCCGAGGGAGACCGAGAATGACTTGAACGAAGGAAATAGGCAAGTATAAAAACGCTATGAAATAAAAGGAGAATGGTGCGAACATGGAATGTGGAATGCGATTTGAGGGGAGGGGGAAAGAGAGGGATCAAGGTAGACACTTCACGAATGACCAGCATCCGTGTTGTCATCGCCTCGATCACGCCTCTCCTGTTCTAGCCTACGCTGGCGCTCCTCGGCAGCCCTGCGCAAAATCTCCCGACGACTTAGGCCGTCGTCCTGGCTGTCAGGTCTGCCGCCGAGCACGTAGGATCCACCGACCCAGCCGCCCTCGTCGTGGGCCTCGTCGTCCTCGGGCATAGAGGGGCCATAAGGATCCACGTCGCCAAGGGTGCGGCCAGAGGCAGACCAGTCCGCCGAGGCTACTTCCCGCTCAATCTGATGACAGAGATCCCAGAAGTCTCTATTATGAGGGCCGTGGACGTTGTGCGCCAGCTCGTGGCAGAGCGTATTGCGGATAGTCTTGTAATCCCTATAACCGTCGTGGGCATCGGTCCTTAAACGGAGCTCAATGACCTCGCCCTGGTTCCTATTTAATCCGAGAAGACGGGTGGTTCCCTCGTGGGAAACCTGCGTATTGGAGAGCGGTTCCATCTCGGTGAGGAGCCCGACGGTGAACTTGTGCTTTGCCATGACGTGGCGGATGCCTGGATCGTTCTTTAGCGTATTGAGGAGCTCTAGTGAGCGTTCTGGGCGAGGAAGAAAGGCGAGCGGTCTGACGTTGAGGAACGTGTACTGCGTCGAAGAGTCCAGCGTCGCTACGCCCCCTTGCCCCCAGCGGTTCTCCGGGCCGGCCGCCTCCCCGCGGCAGCCTCTCGAGCCAGTCGCCTGCTTTCGGCAAACTTGGAGGCCTCGCGAAAGGACTCGACGGCTTCGGCACGAGAGCCGAGAAGGCGGATGCTAGCGCCGTGCAGGTCGGAGACAGGCATCTCTGGGTTCTTAAAGGGTAGCTTTAGGAGGCCGAGACGAGGGACTAGGAGCTTCTGATGGGCGGCAGGGATAGAGAGGAGCTCCTCGATCTCGGCAGGGATCTCGGAGATGGTGGCATCTGATGGGAATACGATCTCATGGGGAGTACCGCAGTGGGTGAAGGCGAAGGTGACTACGTCGTCTTCCGGGTGACGATTGTCAGGTTCGGGGTGTTCTTGGGCCATAATTGATTGGTTATTCCGCCGGAGTGTCGGCTCGGGGTGGTTGGCTCTAGCCTTGGGGAGCCTGAAGAGGGGTAGCCGCGGAGGACAGGGAAAGTCGAAGAAAGGGCAAGCTCTAGCAATGTTTATGGAGTGATAATATAATGTAGAAGGGAAGTAGGAAGCGGCGATGAGAGATGTGAAGCGAGGGCAAGGTGCAGTGTAGTCTTGAAGCTTTTCGGTAACGATGTCTGTAAGTGTCGACGAGACCGGGCAATGACGTACGTATATACAGGGAAGCCTGGGGTCTTATATTCTCGAGGCTGTGTGGCACGGCCGGAAGCGTGGAGGTATTAGTCTCGGGAAGCAAGGGCAAGGAAGGGAGGAGCAGGTCCAAGGACATGGGGTGTGCGGAAATCAGGTCGGAGGAGGACGTAAAAGAAAAGAGCAGGAGCGAGGGAGTTGAACAATTTCTTACTATTTTCGCACTTAGAAATCAGACTCCCGCTAAAAGCTGCCCCACACTTTCTAGATGAATCTACCAGGATCTTTACTCGACCATTTTTGTATCTGTACTAGCAGTTCACCGACTCGAAGCTAGGCGTCTCTGTAGATTGGCTGGGGAGGAGTCAACAAACTTCCTCTTTTGCGCGCTCAGCCTTTTTCCTTCTTTTCCCTTTCGGCCTCTTTTTTTTTTCTCGCCTCTCGGCTACGTTTGATGCAAGGCGTTCCCCTTCAAGCTAGATACATATCCACCTCCAGGGTGGTTCAAGGGTGTTCGTGGGTGCCATCAGCGTTGTATTGCGTGCGCTGGCGATGCTTGTGTCCCGGTCGGTGTTCCGGTGGTGTCCAGTACCCCTCCCCTCCACGCCCCTCTCTTACAACGAGCCCCTCTCTTTCTCTTGATCAACCTCTACGCAGATGCTTGAATTGGCATCCTCCACCCACCTCCACCACCTCCACCGCTGCACTTCTCCTCATCATCCGACAAAATTGATCTATCAAAGCAGGGTTTCGTGTGCTCGTGCTGACGGCCTTCCCCCACGGTTGCCAACCGTCGTGTCCCTAATTTGAAATGGGCGGCGATGGCAATCCATGGATCAATCAAGGATTCGCCCTCAGCATTTTCAAATCCGAGTGGCCTAGTGACTGGTGACCCCGGCTGCATTACAAAGTTGGGGCACCGAGCTGCACCTTGCCTGCCCACCGCTTGGTGGCTAGTGGTACTGGGAGCATCAGGTTGACCCCATTTTGATATCGACAGAGAGCCAAGCCAGCTCCGCTTCATGTAGGCACGATGGGGAGGTAGCTGCCCGCCCTTGTCTATTCAGGATTAGCGTGCTGCATTAACTCCCGAGCCCGCACTAATCGCGAATGCAGAGAGCATAGTTGGCCTTCTCCTCACTCTTGCGGTAGTAACCTTCTTTCCTCACTCTTGCGGTAGTAACCTTCTTTTTCCTCTCTCTTTTGAGGGGATGCGGGCTGCGATACAAGACAAAAAAAAAAGATCAATTCGCACCTTCAGCAACTCGCCACAACTCAAGGACCCTGCACCTGGATTTTGGCCCGTCACCAATATTTGGCTGCGCCGAGGCGCAGCTTGCTCGCAGCGCGGGGGTCGTGGAATAGGCTCGTTCCGAATGGCAAAGCAGCATCCAGGCCTGCTCCTTCGAACATAGAGGAAACAGGGACTCGTGTTTGTTCTGTCAATCTATCACGAAACCACACATCCCGCGCGCGCGGTCATAGCTCCTCCCTCCCTGCTTGTGATGGATGCGTTTCATGGGATCTCGATGCTACCTCTACCCGGTGACTCTTTTTGGGTATGTGGCAGACCGTATTTTCGCAATGAGCGGGCTTTCGGGCTTTCGCCATTTATATTTATTTCTTTCGTGTTGTCCTTCGCTGCTGAAGGCCGCAATATACGACGGACAAGCTGGAACAGGGAAAAAGTGCCCCCGGTCCTTCCTCGTGAAGCATCACTTGCAAACTTGTAAGCTTTGCCCATTTAACAGCTCTCGTTCCCATAGGTTAGCGATATACACATGATCACGACGCTGCCCGTTGTGGATAGTTGCGCTGCAAGTGTAAACTCGGTTCCAGATGCATGGTCTCAGTGCCGTACCCCAAGGTGAGGAGAAAAGAGGGGAGTGACGGCCGCGGGGTGGACCGATAGCCAAGGGAGACCCTCACAAAGTAGGAGGAGTTGGAGCATCAAAACGCAGATGCATTGGTAATTTAAATTCATTGATTTATCGCGGGGCCGGAAGGGAGGGGGTCCGGGGCAGAAAGGCGGGGAGGGGAGAGGGAGAAACCGCACTTGGCAGAGTGTGTTCTGGATATGCAGTTGGCTAGTATCGTTTCTTTGAGATTCGAGCTAACTGAGCAGATCACCTCCCACACACGCCCTCCGACGAGGGGCTGAGGCCGATGCCACATGACGAAAGTGTGCATTCACTGGACGAACTACTGTTGATAGCATGGCCGCACATTTCGGTGCGACTTGTTGGGGGAGGAAGGGAGGGCTCTTCGTTTCCAGCGGAAGCGATGGGGGTTCGCCGATCTGACCGAGTGAAGTGGGCAGCCAGCCCTGGCAACCGCATCGGTTCCTGCTTTGGATTGTCTGTGAGGTTATCCACCTGCATCGGCCCTTATGTCTGGAATGTGCAAGACCCTGGATGTCCATTCACCGATGCTTGAATCGACGATCTGGGCATCAAAGTTTCCTCCACGGCTATCATAACCTTCAAAACTAACATGTTCAACAGAAATCGGTGCGTGCGTGGTTTGATGATCTGTAATATTGATGTTTTGGCAGATGTCGAACCAGAAAGTGCCCTAGGTAAATCGGAACAACCCAAACGATCAAATTTGATGTGGATGTGATTCGGATCTGAAGCGAACCCACGACGGAATAGCGTGCGTGCAGTCGCATTCGGCCTGTATGGCCCGGCAAATTTGTACAGTTTTGGCACGACTGGGAAAAAGACCTGATACAATCTCCTTTTGGTGGCTGGCAACTTCAAGTTCTGATCTGAGGACCGTGCCTGGTGGCACCCCACTGTGACCTGACGTCGAGCACTGTCGTGTAATGTAAACGAGGCCTCACCTAGGTATTTGGCGGATTATTCAGCTTCTGGCTAATTACCTTCCCCTTCTTGATTCCGGCAGAATCTCGGTTATCCAAATCGCAGATGCTGCCAGCTCTGCGTTGTACCTGCCACCGCGTCCAAACCAAAAGGACACTTCACTTTTTCTGGGGCTACATGTCTTCGCGCCTCCTTCTGGAAAGCTTCAAAGCTCCTGCGAACAAACCCTAGACGTCGTCGCCCTTTCACCCACGATCGTTGCCACGACCTCTGCCATCATGTCGCTCAACATTTTCCGAGTCCTCGGGGACTTGTCCCACCTACTCTCCATCTTGATTCTGCTGCACAAGATGACCCTGACCAAGGTTCGTAGTCGCGCTGGCTCACGTCGAGCTTCGTGGTGGATCCCTTGCATTTCGCAATTCTCAGTCAACATTTGGGTTGGATTTGGGAATTCTAGAAACAATGATGAGCTAACGAGATGCTTCATTTTCTACGCACAGAGCTGTTCCGGTATCAGCTTTAAGTCACAAAGCCTCTATCTTCTTGTATACGTCACGCGATATCTTGGTATGCGAACCCCTGGTGGCTGGATGATCCTCAGCCCTGGCACCGCTGTCACCCTCTTTTCTTTTCCCCGTTTTTGGTGGACTAACAGTTTCAATCACGATAGACATCTTCTGGACAAAATCGGCCTACAACCTGATCTTCAAGATTCTCTTCATTTCTTCTCAGGGTTACATCATTTACCTGATGACTACGACCTACAAGCCCACTCAGGACCCCAGCACCGATACCTTCCGCGTTCAATACCTCCTTGCTGCCGCCGCTGTGCTTGGAATAATCTTGCCCTACTCGTATAGCATCATGGAGATTCTTTGGGCGTTTTCCATCTGGCTCGAATCCGTGGCCATCCTCCCCCAGCTTTTTATGCTTCAACGTACTGGCGAAGCCGAAACTATTACGACGCACTATCTCTTCGCCCTCGGACTGTATCGCGCCCTTTACATTCCCAACTGGGTTTACCGTTATGTTTCTGAGCCTGATCGTGATGTCGACTGGATCGCCATCGTCGCTGGCGTCATCCAGACAATCCTCTACAGTGACTTCTTCTGGATCTACTACAAGAAGGTGCTAAAGGGTGCTCGTTTCAAGCTTCCCGTTTAAGTTAGCACGTTCCGTTTACTAGTGTTGCCTACACAAGCTCCGTCCTGGCTCAGTCTTAGGCATCATTGATATTAACGGTGCTTTTGGGACCACCCCTTCACTTTCTTGGCCCGGAGAGAACTTACTGGAACGCCTATGGACGTGTATCCTTTCTTTGTTCTTTTTGACACACGCGGAGCCGTGTTGGGGATGAACCGGGTCCCTTTCAGAGTATATGACGCGGCCGGAAAGATTCCATGGATCCTGACGAGTTTTTTATCTTTATTTTTGGGTGTCGATGGGTTTTCGGAGAGGGAACAGACATGCGTGAATCGTCATTTCAAAGTACTTACAATTGATTGGGTTGGGATGAATGCGTCAGAGCCTGGCGATGCCCACCAGGCTGTACATGTATTAACAATAGACCACGAGAAAAATTTTATGATATCCTTTCGAGAGAGAGGGAGAGAAAGAAACTAGCTAAGAATTGATTGGCATGAGCCCTCTGCCCAACGTATGCTACTCATCGATTGTGCCCTTCACTACCGAGTACGCTTTCCACAGTCTGCATTTGGTGTAAGTTCAGGTCTATATCAGGTCGGAAGCCCCTTGCCTGTGAGTTCGAAAGACCTTTGTCTACTGAAGTGCGGCCTCTTCTAGACCAACATATAGGGATTCATAATTTAAAAGGGGAAAAAGAAGAGAGAGAAAAACATCAATCTAGACGACTTCTCCTCCAAGCCGACAGGAACCTCTTTAACGATGGCCCATCGACTCGCTGGCCAGCGCAATGGTCACCGTCTTTGAGTCCGTATCACGTGACAACGATGATCGCCCACCAATGGGCTTGTTCCCAAGTCTCTACCCAAAGGCTGGATGATGCCGCCAAAGGCCATCATCTCCTCCATCTGAGTCAACGCGGCATCAAGTTCACGGAAGGGGAAGGTAATATTTCCAGCATCCATCCCGCCCTTATCGCGACCCTACGAAACAAAGAGTACCCGACTTAACCAATTACCCAACCACCACCTACCACGCCACACCGTCTCTCCACAGCGATAATGGCGGCGACGAATCCCAGTGCGCCAGAGGTGACCGTGGAGCAGGTGCCCACCGCGCCCAATTCCCAGCCTGCACAGAACGATGCCATTGTTCCCGCTCCCGCAGCGATTCCGGAGTCGCGAATGCCTACTAAGAAAGATACTTCACTTCGCGAATTCCTCTCGAAAATGGATGACTATGCGCCTATCGTATGAATAGCCCCTAACCCCTAAAGCCCCCTCCCCACCGCCGCCGCCGCCTGGCATATTTCTACCAGCACCGGCACCTCTAACCACTAGCCGTTCCGTAAGCTAACCTGGCACTTTCTGCCTTCTCTCAGATTCCTGACGCAGTAACGCATTACTACATGACCAAAGCAGGCCTCCCCTCCACCCCAGACCGATCCCCGCCTTGCGCGCCTGCTTGCGCTCGCGACACAGAAATTCATCGCCGATATCTCGGCCGACGCGTACCAGTATAGCCGGATACGCGCCTCCAATACCAATGCTAACAACCCCATGGGTAACCTCGGAGCGGCAGCTGGTTTCCCCATCCCTGGTCAGCAAGCGGGCGGCGCGCAACCCGGAAAGGATCAGTCTCGAGGTGGCCCGCTACTGGGCATTCAGAGGGCGGGTTATGGTGGTGGAGGAAGCGGTGGGACGGCCAACAGGACAATTCTATCCATCGAAGATCTCGGCATGGCGCTGGCCGAGTATGGAGTTAATGTCAAGCGGAGCGAGTTTTACCGCTAAGCCCCTCGATAAGGCCTGGAATGGCTTGGTACCTGGCACTTGGAGGATAAAAGCAGAGGCACCTTTTTCCTTTCTTCTATGTATTATGAAGTGTTTCGCATAGATGCTTCCGCCAGTGGCGTTTTACGGGGAGTTTGGCGTTTTGGCACCAAGGATATCGTGCTTCTAGGACTTTCAGTTATAACTCTCTAGCTGCAAACATTACAATTCGGAGTTCTTTACCCAGCGCCCCATCACTTCTCCTTTAAGTAGGGCTGCGTAGCGGATAAGCTTTTGACGTTCTGCGATGCTTTCATAAATTGGTATTATCGTGACAATATAATACAGAGATGTCTACAATGCTAACCCCAAATCTCTACTCTCCCAATGGTTTTTTGAACACCAGCTCCACGAGCTTCCTGCGTCGAGCGCTACCTGGCTAGCGAACCGATTCAGATGCTTTTCTAGTTCTTGTCCCAGATGAAGGGTTTCCTCGTTGGTGAAAACTCTCCTAGTTTGTGTCCGACCATCTCTTCTCTTATTTCGACGTCGTGGTAGACCTTGCCATTATAGACTTGGAACTTGAGGCCAACAAAGCTCGGTAGGATGGTGGCGGACCGAGCACGGGTTTTGATGGGCGGCGCCTTCTTTCCGGGCTCCGGCCTGACGATTGGGAGACTAATATTCCTGTTAATACTCCATTCAAGAAATCGATCGAAGGCAAAAGTCGCGTTGCGTTCAGGAGGTATGGATCGGCAACCTTGGGTTAGACTTACGGCACGATGTTCGGCCCTGTGGAGGAACTGTTAGCATTGATATACACGATAAGACCACATGTTAAACATACCCTTCCAGACGGATCTCTTGAGCAAGCAGCGTGTGGCCCGCATCGCGATTATTCTTGATTTAGGTCGATAGAATGGCTGTTCCGACTTGACTGTTCGTGCCATTGCTTCATGCAGTTTTCAATATCCCAGCTGCTTAGTCACTCTATTTGACGTGAAGCTTTTGCAGCTGCGAGCCTCTGTTGGCAGTTGTCCATTAAGCACGGACGACAGCTCCATGGCAAGCACAAGAGAGGGACATCATCCAAAGCATGTCTCTTTGGCTTTGTTAACTTTCGGTTGTCTGATTCAACCTATCCTATCCAGCCGCCCTGTTCTAAAATGTGCGTGCGCTCTACATCTACATCTGGCACTGATGTTGATGATGTCTGCTCCAATTCCCCATTTGCAGTCAAGTGTTGCATCCTTGCTTAGACATGTATTGACAGAATTTCCAACCTGTTGCTTGCACCCTCCCAGGGATCGGCCTCGTTGTGGTTCGAAATAAAGAGAGCTGGCCGCGAAAGGTTTAGACACTCACCTTGCAACACGGAGCTTCGCTTCCCGCAACCCCAATTTAGGAATCAGACCCCCGCGCTACCCAGGTTTTGAAGCGCCCGCTGATGAGGATCACCATGCTGAATTGACGGCCTCCACAGTTTGAGATTGTTATTAAAAGGAGGGTGAACTGCCGTTGCATTACCGCTTTCCTAGGGCGAGACCTTGCCACCCCCAAATCCCAAGCTCAATCTTGGTGCGTTGGGAAAGTAAGTGGAGAAAGAAGCGGCAGCCCTTGACCGCTAGGTACTGAATATGGACCGTAGAAAGAGTGAAGAACTTGGAGAGGGCAAAGTTGCGAGGTGTGCGTAAGGGGGTCTTGTGGCGTGGCGCCGTTTACCCGTGAGACAGAGAGGTTTGTTGCGAGCCGCAATATCGGGCAGGAGAGATTCTTCGAATAGGACAGCAGATTCCCCCACAGCCGAGATCTCTGGATGATCTGCTATTGGCCTGCCCAGGTACGGTGCTTTGCCCTCTAGGGACCCCGTCTTCCACCCTCCACATGTAATAGTTGGGGTGGTCACCGTACCCTGGAAGTCCTGTCTTTGCCTTTACCAACGGGGATGCGCCTACGGCCGTGTATGGTTCCCTCGGTCCTTCTTCTAATTAATTTGTGCTCTCGAGTCCATACAAGGGCGGAGCAAAGACGTCCGCGCCGTGTTTTCCTCGCATACGTCCATGATGCTTGCAAGGCTGAAGGTTTCAACATGTGTAGGAATATATATCTAGCCAGTCGACCCGAGCTAGGTCTTGGTAACTTTGAATCTTGGCACTAAGCAAAAGAAACTTGCCTTCTCTATCAATCGTCCTATCTCCCGTGTTGCCTTTGCGAAACCATGAAGTTTATCGACCTGTGTGCTAGCCTCGCTGCCGTTGGCGCCGCTAGCGCCGCGCCGGCGCAAGATGGCCCTCTCAACAAGCGGGCCGACTTTCAGTTTGTGGGAGTGAACGTTGCCGGCGGCGAGTTCGGTATCGGGACCTACCCAGGCCAGCTGAACAAAGACTACGTCTGGCCCGACAAGGCCGCTCTGGACAAGCTCCAGGGCGAGGGCATGAATTCTTTCCGTGTGGCCTTCTCGATGTAAGTCTGATGGGTCAAATCTACCTCACTCTCGCTTCTACTCTCTACCGTTCTTTTTCTTCCGTCTGCTTCATGAATGAAGGAATCGTCACTCACTCTTAGCTGTAGGGAGCGAGCCGTTCCCGATAAACTAGACGGCACGGTAAATGAAACCTACTTTGCTGGGCTTGAGGATGTAAGTGGAGAGGCCTTTTTCTCAGTGTCTAGACGCATTTTTCTCACTTCTAACACTACCATGACCTAGTCCGTCAACTACATTACCGGAAAGTAAGTGTTGTCGTAAAAGATGAAAGACCGCACACCCCGTAACTAACAACGTTTTTCAAGGGGCGCCTACGCTATCCTAGATCCCCATAACTTTGGGCGCTACTACGACAAGATCATCACCGATACCGCCGGCTTCCAGACGTGGTGGAAGACGATCGCTACCCGCTTCAAGGATAATAGCAAGGTTATTTTCGATACCAACAACGAGTACCATGACATGGAGAACAAGTTGGTGGTGGACCTCAACCAAGCGGCGGTAAACGGAATCCGCGATGCGGGCGCGACCAGCCAGTTCATTTTCCTCGAGGCCAACGCCTGGAGCGGCGCATGGGCGTTTGTAAGTTCTCCGCTCCGACTCTGTGATTCCCCCGGGACCTCCAGCGCAGGGGATAGGTCATAACAGGTAGAATAGGTTGAATCCGGATCGGCGGAAGCGATGAAGAATATTGAGGACCCGTCCGACTCCACTGGGTCTAAGCTCTTCTACGAGCTTCACCAATACCTAGGTAAGATGATGGATCAATCTTAGATCCTTGGCTAGCGGGTGTCCAAGTTTGACTAACGCCAAAATTTCAATCTTCCCATAGACTCCGATGGCTCCGGGACTTCGGAGACCTGCGTCAGCGCCAATATCGGTGTTGAGCGTCTCAACCTCGCGACTCCCTGGTTCAAGGCCAATGGGAAGAAGGCCATGCTCGGCGAGATTGCCGGCGCAAGCAATCCTACGTGCATCGAGGCTCTAAAGAATGCCCTTCAACACGTCTCCGACAATAGCGATGTCTGGGCTGGATTCCTCCTCTGGAGCGCCGGCCCCTGGTGGGGTGACTGTAAGTGCAATTTGGCGCTGTCTCGATTTGTCACAAGCTAACTCTTTCTCCCAAAAGACATGTTCTCCATGGAGCCTCCTAGCGGCGCCATGTACACCGGCGTATTCCCCAGCATCAAGACCTTCTTCAACGCCTAGGGGTCTCTCGGGGAAATGTCAATGTGTATATATGAAGAAAAGTTGGGTGTGGACATGACGGCGAGGTTGGCTAATATTGTTTGAAGCCTCCTGGGATTAGTGCAAGGGGAATATGGCACGCTGTGTATATATGTTTACGGATGTTCCGGTGTGGAATCCGCGATTCTGTACCTACCACTAAAACCAAATGAGAATGCAGGATGGATGTTAAATATCAACTCGTGACCATTGGCTTGATCGCCTGTGCCATGTGTCGAAGACCACTGTGTGACATGGATGAAGGGGAAGATGAAGAGAAGAAAGAGTAAGAACGACGACGTCAGAAAATATCCATCTCCAAGATAAAGGACCTAGGCCACGATCTCTACACTTTGAAAAGCATATCGGCTTTGGGTGACGGATCTCTCGTCATAAACGGCAATGGTGATGTCGCTGGCACCCTTTGCTGAGGTAGCTTGATAGATTTAGAAATGCCGTGGCTGAATAACAATCTTCCTTGGTCTAGTGGTCAGGATACCTGCTTGTCAAATCGAAAGATTAAGCCCGCAGGTGGCCGGGGTTCGATTCCCCGAGGGAGAGTCTGTTTTTTGTCCTTTTTTCTTTCATTTTGACGCAGGCCACATCCACCTCCGAATTCCCAGCTACCGCTTCTTTCTTCGTTTTAACATTTTTGTTTTTCCTTTGTAACTCCCGAGGTATGGAATCTAGAGCTTCTTTTTAGGTGAACCGGCCATTGCCATATTTCCCTAGTTTCTCTCCGAGTCAACATTTTGCTCTACTTGTCTACGGACCTGTTCAATTTTTAGATCTCTCCAGCGATCCCCTTGGCATCCAACAAACGATCCATTGTTATCTTCCTTGGTCTAGTGGTCAGGATACCTGCTTGTCATTGAACAATTCGCAGGTGGCCGGGGTTCGATTCCCCGAGGGAGAGTCTCTTTTGGCCTTCGCGTAACCCAAGGGTTAGTTAGCTAAGAATTATATTTTTGCCTTGTCGTGGTTTGTTTAACATCATTCTATTGTTCCTTGCATGCAAGTAACACTGCTTCTTCATTGTGGTCGGTCGACTCTTGTCATTGAAGTGGACTCTTCTCATTGCGTCTTGGTTGGTCGCTTGACATCGAATTCTTTCTTTGATATGGACCAAGGAAACCATCGGTCTTGGTCAAGGAGTAGGAGAATGGTTCGACACGATGACACAATGGAATCCCATAGAGCAAAACGATCACACATCCTTGGAATAGTTTCTCGGGCCGAGAAACAAGGAAGACGGAGGAGCATGTCTTATCTTGTGACGGTGAAAGGCGCCGATAAATGTGGATTTGAGACCTACTTGTATAAGAACAGCCTCGAGGCGATGTTCGCCTCGGGCAGCCTGCTACGTTTTTGTCTCGGCAACGAAAAACCATAAACTCGATTAGCAGCAACGGACAGAAATGGACCATCACCAAGACACACTGCGCGCAAGGAGGCGAGACTTGTCTCAGGTCCTGCGGGGCACAGAGGGGAACCTTGTCAAGGCAAAAATCACGTCTGTCATGGAAAGCTCTCGCGATGAGATTGGCATTCGCATCTTTCTGACGACGAGCCGGCTCATCTCAGTTCTCGGCCGCCAGGACACTGCGCGCTTGATTGCCTACATGACGCCGTATCACGGGAAAGAGATTGCGCCTTTCCATCGCGCGGGCATGCGATGGAATCTTCACTTCGACCAGCGCCTCTACGTGAAGTGGACGGATAACCGGCGCAACGGCGCGAATTGGCCTATTGAGCAGCGCGACTCGGCGGTGTTCCTGTACAACCTCGCCTGCTTCCAATTGTGTTGGGATATAGAGACACTCCTGTGGGAGAGACGGTCTATATGTCTCCGGGGCCTGGGTGCGGAGGATCGGGATGCTCTCTACTGGGATATCTTGCTCGTCCTCGAGCTCAGCTCGTTCGCAAGCTACCGGTTTGCGAGCGACGAGTCGGCAGGGTCGACCTCGAATGCCGCGGCTCGAGCACGCCTAGAACAGACACTAAGAGACAAGTGGGCACAAGGGTGCCTTGCTTCTAGTGCCGATATAGCTCAGCTGGGCGAAGAGAGGCCTATTCATCGCATCAGCAACTGGGAGTGGCGCCATGCTCGGCCCCCGTGCCGTGCGCTCCCGGGTGCGGATGTGAGGCGGCCAAGAGACTCGTTGGCCTGCGCACTTGGGAGGAAGATGTCCCGCGGAGGAGACCGTTTAACGGTCGCGGTCGCGCCATGGGCGGCTTCGTCATCATCGGGGCGAGAAACCGGGAGCCCGAAGAGCTTGACGGTGGCCTGTAGAAGTTGACATTGGCGTAGCAAGATGGAATGGATGGCACGAATTGGATTTTTACAAACACCCGCGCGAGCCTCTCTCGTTGAGAAATTTGGTAAAGGCGTAGGACACTGCAAAAGGAAAAAAATGCTACCATTTTAAGTGAGCCTACTTGGACTCGGCTATGGGCGGCAATATAAGGAGCCGGATTTTATCAACGCTTGAGGATGAGCGCAGACAATGGTCATGCTTTGGAGTTAGTGTGCAGGTTGGTGCTTTCACAAACAGTGATGTGACGGACGGGTTGATGAGTGGACGATCCGAGATTACTTCCAATCACTTCTATATCCGGGCTCGAATAAGGACAGGCGGAAAATGAAATTCAGGGGAAAGATGGTTCATGATAACGTGGGAAATATCAAGTTCTAATGAAGGCCGGAGGAGAGGAGCGTTGAATTGGCCGAGAAAATAAACCGGAGTCCAACAACTCAAATCAAATCAAATTCTGGACGATGACTCGAGGGACCCGAGGGCGCGGCAGCTGGGGAAGGGTAATTTGATGCAGCCGGGAATGCAGAAACGAATTTGTGAAACGGAAGGCGCCCCAGGTCTCGGACAACATCAATCTATGGACATCTTTTGCTTAGTTCTGGCATCATCAACGACTCACTATTGTCACCATTACCTATTACCACCTCGATACATTACCCCCAAGGCCAGCGGGGCTGTTTCTACTAGATCACGTGTCTGTGACTTAAAGAAGTCCAGACCGACCAGATACGAGGCTGATGGCAAAGTACGAAGCAGTGTTTGAATGATCGAAATCTATTAGGCGTGTGGGGATTTTGTTATTTATATTTTGTGAAACCAAAATATCCATCGTCATGGAAGTCTTGAAGCCTGGTCCCTGTGTCCTCTACAAGTACCGAGTAATTTGGGAGATGCTTATCCCCGAGCTCACATTTTGTGGAGATGGCGGACTGAGAGAGGGAATTTGGGGAAGGAATGCTGAGTGCCATAGACCAGGGGAAGGAACATTGAAGGAATCGTGTTGATCTGGACCGAGCTGGCACAAGGGAACTCCAAGCCTGGAGGTGAACGCACAGGTATGAGCACGGGACGTTTCTGCACGTGGGCTGCAGATGGTTGGAACCCCCAAACACTGATGGATGTTTCCATTCTGGCCGTTTCCTCGCCCTGCATCATGCATCGAGACTGTACATTGTATCGTACGAAGTATCAATTGATGTACACTACGTAGTGTAGGCTCCGGACATCACTTACATAGCGTCCGTATCTGGGCTGTACTGCAAGTACGAAGTAGGTCAGTCGGGCTGCGAGGCGCTTTCTCTGTTTCTACTCGTTCGTGCGCCCATTCTTGATCACGCCCAAGCTTCAAGTTCCTTTTTCCCCCAGTCGCCCTTTGGGTTCGCATCATTTGTCTTTCTCGCACGACTCTCCGAAAAGGCGCCCAACCCCAAAGCGGAAGCCCAAGAGCTACTATTGGCCAGAACAGACCTGACACCCTTGCCACCGTCCACTGCTCGTTCTTCCATCAATCCAGCGACTGACCCCGTCCATCATCGCTGGGTACCTGTACAGCTGCTGCAGCCGAGTACGTCTGCCTCTGCACCGCACCCGCTGGGGATGTTTGTACCACCCCTTTGAGCTGTGACAGTGACCCCAAGTGCTCGACACTACACTAGCATTTTTCCCTTTCCCGACTCCATCCAACGTCGCAACACCAATATCCCTCTCCTGGCCAGCCGCAAAGGGGCACTTTTTTCTTCTTTGCTCGCCCTCCCTTGCCATCCCGATAGAAACTGCATCTCTCAGCGATGAACGCGATCTAATAATTTTTGATTTTTGATTTTCTTCTTCTTTGCTTCCTTCCCCATCTCCCCTTTCTGTGCGTGTTGCCCGCCCGCCCGATCGAGATCCCACCTGTCCTCCTCCCTTGCCACACCGACGATAATCATTCAACTTGGGCACAGGCCTCGGCCAGGCCCTCCCTCGACCCCATTTTTGTCTCTTGCCATCGACGACACACGACCCGAACCATCACCTTTGATTCCCTCCTCTTTCCCTCCTTTATCCATCACGACACTCTAAACTACAAGTCATGCAGGCCGCTGGCCTTCCAAGAACGATGCAACGACGCTCCCCAGGGGCCGAGCCTGGGCCGCCGCCTAACATTCCCATCCGGGCCATATCGCCAGCACCCAATACCATACAGTCCCGTGCGTCCGGCGCCTCCTCGAGATCGAGTCAAGGGCCACCGGGAGCAAGGAGAGCAAACGTGAGTCAGCCCCTTGTGACATGGTGCTCATCACCGAAATGCCTTCGCGTTGCTTGTCCCTCCCCAATACATATCAGGGCCCAGAATACGAGCGAGGCTTTGCCTCCCTTGGACGCGTTGCATCGATAACCACCTTTTCTTTTTCTTGGTCTTTTTTCTTCTTTTCCTCTTGGACCCTTCTTCTCCCTGTCCTTATCACCATCTCTAACTTGAAATAATGATGGCACAGCAACCTCCAAATAGCTCGGTACCACTATCACAAATCGAAAAGAGCGTGACGCACTTGCTCGTCGCGACCAAACAGCTACTCGAGACCCTAACGCAATGGTCCCGGGGCCAGGCCACCGATGGCCAGGTATCTGATGTGTACGTCCGCCTCGGTTACGAATTCAATATGGCTTGTCGCGCCTTTTCTGCCATCAATGTCGACACATCAGATCTCGGAAACGTCCCCGAACTGCTCAGGCATATCCTCGAGGCCACTTTGAGCCAAGAGGCGAGCACCGAGAGCCTGGAAAACTACCTACCGAGGATACGTGACATCATAATAAATCTTCTCCATGGCCTCAAGCGGAAACAGCAGAAGCTGCGGCAGAAAACCGCTCGAGATCGGGAAAGTGGGAGCACAGGCAGCGTCGGGTCCCTACCAGAGAGGTCAACGAGCACCAACACCATGTCAAGCATGGGGAGTGGTCTAACGTCGATGCTCGACGACGGCCTTTCTAACGACTATCGCGACTCGCAGTCCTCTCCAGCTAAGAACCGCTTACCTCCGCAGAGGGATGATACGCGTGGCTCCACAAACTCGGCCATGTCGAACAACGCGATGCAAGGTGGCGGCCTCGCAGCACCTCCCTACCCGGAGAATGGCGGGATCCCCTCGAACACGTCTGCGCCCGGGGACTTTAGCATCGACAACTTTCCCCGCCGCCTCCTCCTCCGCCATCCCCTCCACCGAAACCGTCTTCGGGCCAGCGAGCTCTCGCAGCGCTCCAAAAGGTGGGGAGCTGGAGAGGAGGGCATCGAGGCGTTACTCTCAGTTCCAACTTGCTCGACATCTCGGGGCTCCTGCGGTGCCTCTCCTACCCACCGGCGCGCTTCCGATCCCGAACCGTGAACGAGGGGAAATGAAGGAGTCACTCCGGGCCGTTCAAGTCCGAGAGACTCCGCCCCGGCATAAGCGCGATATGTCGAGCCAGTCCAGGATAACCAATAATGACTCCTCGCCCATGCGTGCTCCCGTCCTGGGCTTGGAAGACGTCAGCCCCCAGCGGAACTGCCAGCCTCCGTGCTAGACCAGCCAACCTCCCCAGAGGATGTTAGGCCAAGCGCAACCCTCCAGGGACCAATGGTAGACCCCGTCCCCATCATGATGGAGGACTCTCCGCTGGAGACTAAGCCTAATGCTATCCGGGGCGGCGGAACGCAAGAGAGCACTCCCAGGCCGCGGACTCCTCCTGCGGCAACGCAGCCCGACAGCTTCTTCCAAGACACCCCGCCCGTTTCACCCACCAAGGAGCTCACCTTATTCCTGCAGTACAAAACCAAGGTAAAGAAGTACGTGCTCCCCGAGGGCATGAGCGAGCTTTCCATTGGTCGACTACAGCTTGCGTTTATCGAAAAGTTTTCGTGGAACACGCAGCAAAATGGAGTCGACCTCCCGGATATCTACATTCAGGATCCTGTTTCGGGCGTTCGCCACGAGCTTGAGGACTTGTCGGACATTAGGGACAGGACGGTGCTCGTACTCAACGTAGAACCGCTCGATGAGGTGAAGAGGCACATTGACGACGGCCTTGGCGTGATCAAGCAATTGATGCAGGAGGTGAAGCAAAACGTGGACGACCAAAAGGCGGCAATTACGCGAGTGTCAGACCGCCAGCAGGAAACGGCGCAAGAAGTGGCTCGCCTAGCGTCGGCGCCACCTGTGGCGATGTCACCGCCGGCGGATGGATCGCGGCCGCGCAACTTGGGCCGAAAGCTGGACGGATCTCACCTGACGGATCTGCAGAGCCTACGGCGGGACCTGGCGGTGATACGGCAAACGTATTCCAACTTCCAGGCGGAGGTGCAGGGGGCTATGTCGACGATCCGGACCAAGGCTGCCAACGTCAAGGTGGCGGTGGTGAGCGCCCAACTACCAGCAGCGGAGGGGGCGGAGGGATTCTCGTACGTGCAAAGCGGGCGAAAGGAACTCAACTCCAACTCGGACCGCATCGTGGCCAAGGTGGATGACCTACAGGATCTGGTGGAGGATCTTCGCAAGGACGTTGTGCATAGGGGCGTGCGGCCGCTACCGAGGCAGCTGGAGGCGGTCAACAAGGACATCGTGATGCTGTCCAAGGAGTTGAAGCAGATGGAGGAGTACATGAACCGGGAGAAGCCGATCTGGACCAAGATCTGGGAGAAGGAGCTGGAGGACGTGTGCCAGGGTCGCGATGAGCTGCGTCTTATGGAGGACCTCATGGTGGACCTCCGCGACGACCTGGAGAAGGCGTCGGAGACATTTTCGTTGGTGGAGCAGGCGACCAAGGAGCAGATGAAGGATAACGGCACGAGCGCGAGCGCAGGCACCGCACGCAACTTCTCCAACAGGCTGGATATGGTGGGCGGGGCGGACCCGTCGCAGGCCAAGGAGGGAGTGCTCGGAGAGGTGCGGGCGCTGATGCCCAACCACGAGAACCGGCTAGAGGCGATTGAGCGGGCAGAGAAGTTGAGGCAAAAGGAGCTCGAGGGCCGCAAGGGCGGAGCGCTGCAGAAGGAGCTGAACAAGTTCGTGGGCGAGGGCAAGCTCAAGAAGTCGGGCGGGTTCGAGGAGGTGGAGAGGGCGCGCAAGGCCAAGGACGACAGGATCCGGAGGGAGGTTTGGGAAAGGCAAAACGGCATTATACCGGACGACCCGGTCGGAGAGGATGCGCTCGCAGCGGGCGGGGATGGGAATGGCACCGTGAACGGGGTTTGATTGGTTTTTTTTTCTTCTTGGAGGGGAGGGGAGGGAGGAAAGGGAATGGATGTCAACACGGATGTACAAGTACACACAGAGAAAGACACGCGAATCCTGCGATATGTAGTAGGCAGGAGAGGCGTGCGAAGAGTATATACCCCTGGAGCGCGATTCTTTTGGCTCATTTTCTTCTTCTCCCTTGTTCCTCGTTTCTCTCTTTCCCCTGACATTACGCCTTTTTCCTTCCTGTCCCGCATGGCTCGTCTGGTTTCTTCGTCATACCCCTTTGGCCGGTCTTTGCTTCTTCTAGAGCTTGTTTTGGGCCTGCCTATTGTTACTCTCCCGGATTCTGGTTCTTTATTTACTTGTTTTCTTTTTGTGTTGATGCTTCAAGCGAGCGTGGCGTTTGCCTCATGTATTGCGCTCTTTTCTTGTACCTTTTATATATTAAATTTTATCAACTTTTATCGACTTTTACAGGCAAGGGCTTCCTACAAAGCAGGGGCTTTGTTGGACACTTTGTTGTTTACGCATTCTATTGCAACTAACTCTCCTTTTCCTTTTCCGCCCTTGTTGTTCTTCGTGATGTCCGTGATGGATCCATGTAGGGCTCCGTAACACTAGAGAGAAGACGTTGAATACGGGGTTTTGACTTGGGTAGATGGCTAGAGATTGGAACGAGGTAAAGAATCATCCATGAGAAGAGCCAGCTTTCATAGTGACTTTGGTGACATGAAGTGTGGTTCAGAGGTAGTTAACTCATTTGATGTTGAGACTGGATGAAATCCAGCGTCCAGGCGCTGAGGCTTTGGAGGAAACCCCAGCAGAGCTGGGGAGCTGAAATTGTAGGCCGGGGCTGAACCGTGGTCTTTTCAGTGGGGTCCAAAGCCCCATCGCTGCACGGCCCGCGCGCTGTGGCTGGCCCACGTGCCAACCCCAGATGACTGGACCTCTGAACGTGCATCACCCAAATGAATTGAACCCATCAACGCCATCGATAGCTCAGAGCCCGTTTTCAACCTCCAGCTGTCTACCTTGCCACAACATCCACCATCCTTGGCGCAGCGCAGAACATACGATAGCCGCACCAACACGCAACACTTCTCTGATCCCCTTTCATCCTCCGACTCCCGCTCCCTCCCAAACACATTTCCCGACGTCCTCGAGACACCACCGCGACAAAGGCGCGGCTCCATATGGCGAAGGGGCCGACATGGCCGACTCACCGGATGCCCCGCTCATGGGGCGCGTAGAAGGAGAAGACCACGATGGCCTCGCGGGCGCAGGCCACACGCGGATCGCTAAACTGGAGAAAGGGGGCCCGGGGCTGTTTGTCTGGACGCTGACGGTGGCGGCGGGGATCAGCGGGTTGCTCTTTGGATGTGAGTGGAAAGATGTCCCAACTAAAAACAAAACAAAAAAAGGTATAGGCTTGCTAATGACGGGTGGCGCAAAGACGACACGGGCGTGATATCGGCAACCCTCGTATCGATCGACAGCTCGCTCTCGAACCGACCCCTCACCTCGCTAGACAAGTCCATCATCACCTCGTCGACGGCGCTCTTCGCCCTCCTCATCTCGCCCCTCTCCTCCGTCCTCGCGGACCGCCTCGGGCGCAAGCGCGTGATACTCTTCGCGGACTTACTCTTCACCGTCGGCGCCGTGATGCAGGCGTGGTCGACCACGGTGACGGGCATGGTGCTGGGCCGGTGCGTAGTTGGGGCGGGGGTGGGCGCGGCGTCGTTCGTGGTGCCGCTGTACATTGCCGAGGTGGCGCCGGCGGCGAGCCGGGGCATGCTGGTGACGACCAACATCCTCTTCATCACGCTGGGCCAGGTGCTGGCCTACATCGTGGGGTGGCTCTTTGCCGAGCACGCGGCGCGGGCGACGGGGTGGCGGTGGATGGTGGGGCTGGGCGCGGTGCCGTCGGTGCTGCAGGCGCTGGTGCTGGGGTTCATGCCCGAGACGCCGAGGTGGCTCGTCATGAAGGGCTTGTCGGACGAGGCCAAGGGCGTGGTGCAGAGGATCTCGGGCGGAGGTGCCGGCGGCGGGAGCGGAGATGGGGACGAGCAAGGGGCGGCGGTGAGGTTGGCGGATGCGGTCGTCAAGGAGATTGAGGCCGAGGTGAGGGAGGAGCAGGTGGCGCGCAGGCTGAGGGGTGGCGAGGAAGGGTTGGCGGCGATGTTTAGGGAGCTGCTGACGGTGAAGAGGAATAGGCGCGCGCTGGCGATTGCGTGCCTGCTGCAGGGGTTGCAGCAACTGTGCGGCTTTGTGAGTTGTTTTCAAGTTTTCTCTGTCCTTTTTGTTGTCATTCCCCACTTCTCCTTTCAAAGAGAGAGAGAGAAATTGGGAGAGAGTATGCATGTATGTGCGACTAACCAAAACATCGACAGAACTCCCTCATGTACTTTTCCGCCACCATCTTCACCATGGTGGGCTTCCGCGTGCCGACGCTCACGTCGCTCAGCGTGGCGGGCACAAACTTTGCCTTTACCGTGGTGGCCATCCTCCTCATCGACAGGGTGGGCAGGCGACGCATGCTTCTGTACTCGGTGCCGTTCATGATGGTGGGCCTCCTCGCGTCAGCCTACGGTTTCACCCGCATCGACCTCTCGTCGTCGTCATCGATGCCCCAAGGCCCAGACGGCGGCGACAACTCCGGGCAGCCGCAGCCGCAGCCGCCGTCGTCGGATCGGCAGGCGGCGCTCCTGATCCTGGCGAGCATCATGCTCTACGTGGCGTCGTACGCGCTCGGGCTGGGCAACGTGCCGTGGATGCAGAGCGAGCTGTTCCCGCTGTCGGTGCGCTCGCTGGGTAGCGGGGTGGCGACGTCGACCAACTGGCTGGCCAACTTTGTCGTGGGCCTGACGTTTCTCCCACTCATGGAGGCGCTCAGCCCGGCGCGCACGTTTACGCTCTACGCCGTCGTCTGCGCGGTCGGGTACGGGCTTGTGTGGGGGTGGTATCCGGAGACGGCGGGGCTTAGTCTGGAGGAGACGGCGGCGCTGCTGGAGGGGGATGATGGCTGGTGAGGGAAGAGGGGAAGGGGGAAAGGACATGAAGAGGCAACTTTTTTTTTTTTCCTCTTTTCCTTTTTACTGTCCCCGTCTTCTCTTGCCTTTGTTCTTTTTCACACTTTTTATTCTAGAATACTACTAGAATACTATATAATCATGACCCATGTTTCCGACATTTGAAAGATGAGCTTCTTTTAGTGTATGGATTGAACCATTTGCTGTCGACAAGGTGATTCAAACTTGAGGGTATCAATGCTCTTTGCTTGGCGATGGAATACCCATAATCTACTGGTAGTCCATAGAGCTTCTACTGTCCCATAAAGGCTTGCTTAGCCCGCGACAAGGGAGATAGGAACAAGATTAGGAGATCAAGTCAGCACTTTGAAGGAGACCGACGGGTGCCGTCGGGACCCTGGCGGCGCCCACGGGCCCCGAACCGGGGCAGAGGAAAACAGCGGGCGCGGAATGAGACGGGACGCGACGCTAAGCTTATCAAGCGTATATCTTGTCAAACGCAGAAAGCAAATTGAATTATTGATCTTCTATAAGCGTCAAAATGGCAAAGAAGTGAAACCAATAGTGAATGCTTTCCGATTTGTCCCGGAGGGTTTATTGATGCCGACAAAACATTGACAAGCAAAGCGCAACCCTCCAAGGGTTATCTCCGATCTCAAAAGTAGAAGGGAATAAAAAAATAAAAAGATAGTGACGTTGCGGCGGGCGACAATGGTCGGGTCGTCGCTTCCGTAACTCCGCGGACAGTCGGAATGCGCGAGGACGCGAGCCCGATCTCCTTGTGTGGAAGGTGACACCCGCCCACGGAGTTAGCCGGTGGACTTGTGTAATAGAGGCCAGAGGAGAAAGCCTCCAGGCGTGAAAGCTTATTCTAGCTCACCTAATCATCCATCTACAATCTACAGACGGAGCAAAGCCACCAGTTCCTCGGCATATCTGAAAGAGAAACGAGCGAGGCTCCAGTCCAGGGGGTCGAACTTTTTTCTCGTTCTTTCTTCCCCTAGCGGCAAATGCGCTAGCAGGGCGGTCGACCATGCGGAACCGCGGCAGTTGAAAGTGGGAATTATTCTAATACCTGCCTCCAGCTCTTCGCACCCACACCTCAAGCTGAAAACCTGAAGCTCGGAAGAAATGATAATGGGTGCAGGGCAAGAAAGGCAAATGCCGACGCAAGACGACCTTATAACGGGCCAGCTTTTCATGAGATAAAATACTTGATGCTTGCGTCGAGATGGAATTAAATCGTTCCAAGTCCTGATCCTCAACCATCCATCCATTCAATTGGATCCACGAATTCAGGGGCCCAACCACCAGTGACCCGCCCTCCACTGTCCCGGCGGGGCCCGCCGGCCCCACTGTTAAGGCCACATCCGCCCTAAGATTAGAGGAGAAAAAACCAAACTAGAAGCCGGTTCAACAAATTCCTTGATCAAGGTCGAGATGGCTCCAGAATTGTGTTACATCCATCGTTGTACGGGTTCCGCCAGGTTTTTCAGAAAAGGGGACTCAGCCTCAAGAAAGGCGGGTCGTGATGGGTCAATCGATCTCGCTATTCACGAAATCTTTTCCCAGCTGGCCCTGGGTGAGTCTGTTGGCTTTGCTAGCACCGAGCCAAGCTCCAGGTGCAAGGTGAAGTGGATCATCCCGTTCGATAAGTGAAATTAATGGACTAGGACAAGGCTTCTCGTCTCCCAGGAACCGGATCCGTCGACTGCAGCCCAATAATTTGGCTGCTCCAAGTCGGTAATAATAGGTCTTGGGCAGCAAGTGTGTAGTAGTAATTGCTTGTCTCTTGGCGCTTCAGGGACCATTGCGTAGCGAGCGGCCCGTGAGCTAGGAGAGAGGAGATGGGAAAGAAACCTGGCACAGCGAATCTGTGCAACAAAACAAGATGGCTTATCGGCCATGTACTTACACGAACCGTGGGTCCATGCAAAAGCTCCCGGCAGCTCTTGAGAGGTGGAGCGGGTGACTTCGCGTCAAACTCTGTTGCTATGGATCTTATGCACTGGGCAAAGAGAAAGAGGGAGAAAAGAGGGGCGGAGTTAAGGAGGGAGCGAGTCCCGATCTAAGTGGAGGAGGGTACTATCCAAAGGCACGATTGACGTCGTGCTTTGTCTTATGGCGAGGAAAGGCGAAAGTGGTGAGTCGACATCTGCAGTGCCGTCCCTGACTGTATCTGCACTGTCTATGTCTGCATCTGCATTGTCTATAAGGAAAGGGTTAATTAGAGTCATTGTGGTTGGGTGACAAGCAGCTAACGCCCATGTATCCAGAGGATCATGTCATATGTTGTTGATGGGGAAATGCCGACAACCTCGCAAGCACGCACACAGGCACAGTAGGAACGGGCGGCTTGTTTATAGCACGGCAACCCATTGATACATCCATGTCACCTCTGAATTGAAATAGTGGCTTTTTGGTCCGAAACGTACATGCTCCTCTAACCTGTCACTCTCTATCTACGAGTTGACGATCCGAGTTCATGCGTGGCGGGGTTGCGCAACGCACGTCGACAGAGGAGAGAGAGAGAGAGAAACGATACCAGAGTGAGTCAAGTTCTGATAATCATGGCGATGTGGGTGCAGGTATGAATGTATGAATGGCGCGACAGTGTCAAGCCTCGGCCCATTGATTGACACTTGATGGAATTGATTCAGTGCACAGAAGATTCCAGACCAAACCACTTTTCCAACGGAGCATTGAACCTTGCCAGTCACCAAGAGCGCGGATTGCCAGTGTACTTGTATTTGGGAACAGGACGGCTTTGTTTCTTTCTTTTCTTTCCCTGCTTTTTCCGTTCCGTGGCGCATGCAAGATGGTTATTTGCGGATTGAAGAAACTGGCCAAAGTTGATCTTGGACGGCCTTCGCCACCCCCGCCGCTTTCCGTTTTCCGTCTTCCATTTTCCGCCTCCCGCGCTCCGGTTTCCGTGTGCCGCTTCGCCGAGGGCAAAAGCCTGCCCTTGACTGCCTTTGATTATCCTTGTTGTTCTCTTTGCCCCTTTCGTCTTCTAGTCTCGCATGTCAATCATTCTTCTTTTGACAACGCGAGAAGCACAAACGGAAAGGGAAAAAGAAACCAAAAAAACCTCTGCCTCTTCGGAAGCGTTGAAAATATTTTCTTTGGCATCGAATTGATTCCGGTGGTTCGACGTTGGCTTGGTTGGCTTCCCACCCCTGCGCTTGATCCCTGTCCCCTGTCCCTCGTCCCTTGTCCACGGTCCCTGTCTGGCTGTTCCCTGTCTTGCAAAAGCCTGACGAGTCACGGCGAGTCCCGTTGTCTAGTTCAATGTTGCCGTGCAGGAAAACCCGATCGCTCTTCCCCGATTGGATTTATCATCAGAAGGCGGCCGAACAAAACTCAAGCCGACTTTAGTGTACAAAGAGGACATAAGAAAAGAACAAGCTCGGCTATACGGCTAGCGCCTGGCGCACGTTAGCTTACCAAATGGGCTGCGAAAGGGGCCGAAAAGGAGAGCAAAAGAAAAAGGATACCTTTATTAATAAAGGGTTTCCGATGGGTTTCAATGTCGAGTACCTCTTAGCGTCATGGACATAACGATCGATCAGTGATCAAGTCCGTATCCTTGAACCAAAGGTGCGCAGACCCCACCAAGCCCACTCCATGAGGCTACTGCCGAATGCGTAAAGGTTCAATCGACGGTCTTTTTTGCTGTTGTTCCACCTGCCTCCCTCTGTCATCCTGACCCTTTTACCCTTAGTCCCCCCTGTCCAGCGTTGGTGGGCAAAAGAGGGTCTAGCGTCATGGTACTGTCGTCATCTCGTGTAGTGCATGGTTGATAGGTGTAGTTGGTAAATAGCTCCGTCGCTTGACCTCGGAACCCACATGTAGTCAATGTAGTCATTGCGAACGGGATGGGATGAGCGACACACACACTCTCTCGCACCCACGCACGCCCTTTGCTCAAGGGCTAAGCTTAGAGCGCGAAAGGCCGAGAGCAGATGGACATCTCGGCTCTTGTATCCCAATTGACTGTCCGTTGGCATAGTACTAATACCCTCGAAGCTCCCACCTACGTCACATTTTCTCTTTCATCTCTAGTCTTTTTTTCTTCTTCTTCTTTTCCTCTAGAACCGTCCACCAGTCTCCAACGTTGATCTTCTCTTGAACTTGGTGCCCACTCCTCCTCCCTGACTAGCTACGGCCCATTGACGTCTCATCCATACCATTGTTCTGTCCTTGACAGTAGCGCGCCTATCCGTGTAGTCACTCCTCCTTCTCTCTCCAATCTATACCGTGATAGTATCATTCCAGCTTTTCTTCTGAACTGCCTTACTCTTATCTTAAGCGCATCGCGCATCTAAACGCATACCATCCGCCGCCCACCACCCTCGCCCAACGACTGGCGACAGCACCCTCGCTCCGAATAGCGCCGCCAACTTAACAAGGCAAAAGGGAGAGAACTCCCCCACCAACAGCCATGGCCTCCCGGACCCCGGCTAGGCCTCACCCCTTCCTCGACGAAGTCGACCGCGAAGCCATCGAAGCCGAGCGCAACGCCTCCCCCACGCCTTCCCCGGGCCCCGACCCCTCTCCCGCTCCCACTCCGCCGCCCGCACCCGTCCCGTCCGCCCCCGCTCCGCCGACGCCCTACCCCCATCCTCCCCGGCCTCGAGCAAGACGCGTACCAGCGCCGCCCCAGCGACGAGATCGAGCGTGTCTCCACCACCGCCTCCTCCGCCACCACCTCGTCCCACCAACCCCGCGACGCTGGCGTCCGCGCAGCGGCCGGCACCGGCACCGGCCCGGATGCCGACCAGCTCTCCTACCGCGCCACCTCCATGAGCCGCGTGCCCACCCACCTCGAGCCCCTCGACCGCTACCCCACCGATCTCGTGCGCATAGCTACCCAGCGCAGCCAGCACTCCGAGACCGTCGGGCGCCGCGTGAGCACCCGCCGCTCGCGCTTCTCCCGCCGCTCGGAAAACCCTTGCCTGCGTTTGGCGGCGGCAAGGAGTACCCCCATGCTGCCCGAGAGGGACGAGTACGTGGTCGAGTTTGACGGGGAGGATGACCCGTTGCATCCTCATAACTGGCCGTTCAAGAAGAAGTACGTGTTTTCTTTTTTCTTTATGTTTCTTTGCCCTTGTCCCCCCTCCCTTCCTCCCCTGCGCGAGGAAGATCATAGGACTAACACGAGATTTTCCTTCTTCGCTCCAGGCTCTACACCGCCGCCATCCTCGGCTACACCACCCTCGCCGCCGTCTTCGCCTCCTCCCTCTTCACCCCCGCCGTCTCCCAAATCTCCGAAGCCTACCACGTCGGCACCACCGTCGCCATCCTCAACATCACCTGCTTCATCCTCGGCTTCGCCTTCGGCCCCACCTTTTGGGCCCCCTTTCCGAGCTCAAGGGCCGCCGCCTCCCCATCATCCTCTCCATGTTCGGCTTCACCCTCTTCTCCATCGCCACCGGCACCGCCGAGAACCTGCAAACCATCATCATCTGCCGCTTCTTCTCCGGCCTCTTCGGCGCCGGGCCCATCGCCGTCGTCGCCGCCGTCTTCTCCGACATGTTCGACAACCGCACCCGCGGCATCGCCATCACCATCTTCTCCATGACCGTCTTCGCGGGCCCCATGTTCGCCCCTTTATCGGCGGCTACATGCTCGAGAACCCCAACCTCAGCTGGCGCTGGACCGCCTACCTCCCCGCCATCATGGGCGCCGTCGCCTTCCTCCTCGACATCACTTTACTCGAGGAGACGTACCCCCGGCCATCCTCGTCGGCAAGGCCTCGGAGCTGCGCCGCCGCACCCGCAACTGGGGCATCCACGCCAAGCAGGAGGAGATCGAGGTCGACCTCCGGGAGCTCATCAGCAAAAACTTTTCTCGTCCCCTGCGCCTCCTCTTTGGCGAGCCCATCGTCCTCCTCCTCACCATCTACACCGCCTTCATCTACGGCCTCCTCTACCTCTTCATGACCTCGTACCCCGCCGTCTACCAGCGCGTCCACGGCTTCTCCCGGGCCAGGCCGGCCTCCCTTCCTCGGCATGATTGTCGGCCAGCTCCTCGCCGGCGGCTTCATGCTCCTCCAGCAGCCCTCGTACCAGCGCAAGCTCGCCGCCAACAACAACGTCCCCATTCCCGAGTGGCGTCTCCCACCGTCGCCATTGGCGGCGTCGCCTTCACCATTGGCATCTTTTGGTTCGGCTGGACGGGCTACAACCCCAAGATCCATTGGATCGTCCCCACCCTCAGCGGCATTTTCACCGGCTTCGGTCTCCTCTCCATCTTCTTGCAGGCCATCAACTATCTCGTTGATGCCTACCTCATGTTGTAAGTTGGCGCCATTTCCCATTATACACAACCCAAGTGTACTGTTTTTGAAACGATTGCCCCAAACTAACCCTGGCTTTTTCTTGTCCCTCAACAGCGCCGCCTCCGCCATCGCAGCCAACACCTTCCTCCGCTCCTCGCCGGCGCCGCCTTCCCCCTCTTCGCCAACCAAATGTTTACCGGCCTCGGCGTCCAGTGGGCAGCCACCCTCCTCGGCTGCGTCGCTGCCGTCCTCGTCCCCATCCCCATCGTCTTTTACATTTACGGTGCCCGTCTACGCGAGCGCTCCGCCTTCGCCCCCGTCATGCAGCCCCACGCCGACCCTCACTCTGCCGAGGACGAAGAGGAGGTCAACAAGGAGGCCAACGGGGCCTCTTCCGCCATCGGCGAGAAGCGCAACAGCCTCAGCGCCGCTTCTGTTCAGGGTCGCGGCCCACAGAATGGGGCTGCAGCACGCGGAGCGAACATGGTTTAGATGATTTTGTTCTCTCGTTTGCTTCAACTGCCACCCCCGGCCCATTCTACCCCATGGCCTCTCGCCCTGGGAACCCATCCTTGCGAGAGCAAGGCTAAAAGAAATCAGTCTCAAAGTCGTTGAGAACTCGTCCCATTTCATCTTTCTCTTTTTGTTTTAGCATCCGCGATGAGTAGGTACATCAACTACTCACTCGTGTTCTCCGGCGTTTCGCAGAATAGATTGGACTGCTTTTGGTTTTCTTTTCAAGGTGGATTTACTGGTTTGTCAATAATTTGACTAGAGGAAAAGTGCGACCTATCGCGATAATATCGAAATGAGAAGGGAAAGGAGGGAAAAATATCGGGAGGAGAAGGTGGTTTATCTATACCCATTTCCTTTGCACATGTGCTCTACATCTATAAACTGGAGATAAAAAGGGCGGAGGAGATTTTCTTCGCAACCCAGAGTTGTCCTCCATATAACTGCGTAATATATATCAATCAAAATGAAAAACGCCTGGCTATATAAATGAGATCCTAAGTGACGACTAACTGCTCTGTATATATGTAATGGATGTCTATCTCTACAGGGTACGAAGTTGTTTGTCGAGCAGAGTCAGCATACATATGGAATCACAATTGTCTACTAAACGAGAAGAAGGGCAAGGGAAAATCGGTTCGGATTTTGAGCGAAACCGTAAAGATCCACATGATGAATCTGAAGCCTCGAAGATGTATGTACATGTAGTAAAGAACTCCCTCCGCAGACACCCATATGCTCCCAGCATGAAACGAACCAAGACGATGAGAAGACCAAAGACAAAAGGAGAAAATGAGAGGTTTTTCTTTTTGTTTTAGAAAAGGAAAACAAGGCCACTGTATCCGAACCCGCTAAACGTTCTATCACCACTCGCTTTCCGTTGCTCTATTGCTGCTGCTGCTGCTGCTGCTCGTGATACAGTTCCTCGGCCGAGGTGATGCACTGCATATTGGCGCCAAGCTTGTTGATGGTCTCTACCCACTCGTCGGTCTCGTCCGAGTCGAAGACGATACCGCCACCTAGAGAGCGAGAATTCATTTGTAATTAGCAACCAAACCACAAAGCAAGAAACAGGTTAAAAGGCGGAAGACAGTAGGAGAGGGGAGGAGGGGGAAGGAGACGAGAAAGAACACTTACCGGCCTGGAGATAAGCTACACCATCCTTGACCAACATGGTCCTCAGCGCGATACAGGTATCCATGGCACCCTCAATCTCCTTGCCGTTCTCATCCACGCCGCCGTACCCAAAGTACCCCACGGCGCCAGCGTAGACGCCTCTCTTCTCTTTTTCAAGCTCGGCAATGAGCTCCATAGCCTTGACCTTGGGGGCGCCCGAGACGGTACCCGCGGGGAAGATGGACCTAAAGGCATCGAACCTGGTCTGGTCGGGCCGCAGGACACCCGAGACCTGGGAGACGAGGTGCTGGACGTGGCTAAACTTTTCCACCACCATGAGGTGGTCGACGCGGACGGTAAAAGGGTCGCCCACGCGGTTGACGTCGTTGCGGGCGAGGTCGACCAGCATGACGTGCTCGGCACGGTCCTTGAGCGAGCTGCGCAGCTCTTCGGCGAGGGCCTCGTCCTCCTCGAGGGTCTTGCCGCGGCGCACGGTGCCGGCGATGGGGTGCGTGATGATGCGGCCGCCCTCGGACTTGACGAGCAGCTCGGGCGAGGCGCCGACGATGTGGAAGTCGCGGCAGTTGATGTAGAAGAGGTAGGGGAAGGGTTGACGGTGCGCAGGTGGCGGTAGATGTTGAAGGGGTGCAGGCTCGTGGGGCGGGCGAAGCGCTGCGAGGGCACGGCCTGGATGATGTCGCCGCCGACAATGTGCTTCTTGAGCGTCGTGACGTGGGCCTCGTAGCCCTCGCGGCCAATGTTGGACTTGTACTCCTGGCCTAGCTCGACGGGTGCTTGCTCGGGGAGGGGGATCTCGGGGGCGTTGAGCACGGCCACGAGCTCGTCGATGCGGGCCTTGGCGGCGTCGTAGGCGGACGCCAGCTCGGCCTCGCTCTCGGGCACGTGTAGGTAGGTGATGACCTTGATGACGCCGTAGAAGCGGTCAAAGGCCACGATGTTGTCGAACAGCATGAAGAGCGACTCGGGGATCTTGAGCACGTCCTTCATCGGGCGCGCCGTCTTGGGCTCAAAGTACCGCACGCAGTCGTAGCCGACGTAGCCCACCGCGCCTCCGGCCATGGGCGGTAGCTGCACGCCGGGAACGCTAGCGACGACGTACTTGGCCAGCTCGGCCTCGAGCCCGGGCAGGGGATCCGTCTCATCGCCGTGGCCGGGCCCCGTGGTAATGACCTTGCGGGGTCCCGCGCCGACGAAGCTGTATCGGCCAACCCTTTCGGTGGCGGCGCTCTCGAAGAGGAACGAGTACTCGGAGTCGTTTTGGGCGTGGGTCGAGACCTTGAGGTACGCGGCGGACGGGGTGATGAGGTCGGAGGAAATTTGGCGGTAGATGGGGACGAGGTTCGGCTTCTTGCTTCCGGCTGGGGTGGGTTTCGCGAGGAAGTCTCGGATGGTGTCCAGGGAGGGCACGATACCTCTCTGTAGCGGAAAACGAGACACGAGTGCCGACTAGTTAGCGAAAAACGGCCAGCCTCCGGAGAAAGGTCATGCCAGGGAGGGAGGGGAGGGGGTGGGAGCCTGAGCTGCCGTTTACTAGTAGTCGAAGCTCCATTGCCCGGAGCTACGGAGCAGAAACGGAGCACGGGTCTCTATCAAGCACGAAGCACAGCTAGCCCGGGTGGTGGGTAGAAAAGAGGTGGAAAAGAAGGCAAGGGAAGCGTTAACGTACCGGTCCTGCCATGGCGACAAAAAGAGTCTGCTGATTGCGGGGGGACGAGGGGCAGCGAAGACGAGCTCTTTCGAGGTTGTTGGGGTTCGGGCAGGCTTTCGCGAGAGTTCAATGCCTCGTTCCTATGCTTGGAGTTCGCTGTTCCTTTTGAAGGGTACGTGGAGGGTCAAGGTCCCAAAGGTTCGCCTCAATGTTGAGTCATTGGGCGGTCTACAGGTAATGGACGTGACAACAGTGAGGTCAATTTCGATGCCGGGTACCACTAATCGCGGTACCACACACACCTGACCCAATGTAGCTTGCAGCCGTTTTCTTTTTCGTTTTCTCTTTCTTCTTTTTTCTCTTTTTACTATTCAACGTCAACGTAGATTGATAGAGGGTCGCCCCTTCCTCGTGCTCTATATCGCCTCAATTAGTTTTTTTCCTCCTCCCAATTCTCGCTTTTGGCTAACTAAGTTTTTTTTTTTTTTTTTCCGGGACTGCGGGGTCCTCTTCACTCAATCCCTAAAATGGAACAAGTCTGGAACGATTCCCCTCCAATCCCCATTTCGCTCTTATCTCCGCCAATACTAAAATAGCCATTGGTGCAGGGTCAATGTGACCAGCGAGCTCTGAACAAGGAAATCCCGTGTGCCGTTGCCCAGACTGCCGTTTTGGGGACAGGGACCAAATTTCAAATTCTCTAGCGGAGATTTCCTTTTCAAGGGAGCCAAGATGAGCTCTGCGAAATGCGCTTTTCGCGTCGTCTTTTCCGCTTCATGGCATCTTTTTGCGCCTAGCATTGTGCATCATGGCCCTGGTCTTGAAGACAACCTGCTAGTCTCGTTGGACGCAGCGTACATATTCAAGCTGTCCGACCCTTTGACCTCATCTCACTCACTTGTAGGGGCTAGGCAGGGGTCTACTAGACGCTGCGTGCCAAGTCCCCAGCCTTGTTCCTCGCAAAAGCATGTGTTCTATTCATGTCTCCGTTTGATACATCGCATGTAGGAGTCTTTCTCTACGTTCCTCTTCAGTTCTAAGACGGGACTTCCATGGCTACATAAGCGGACTCTCCAGCCTCCCAAGAGCTTGGTTCTGAGTTTTAGTATCCTTACTGTTCACCCAACCTGATGGCAAGTCTTGGGGGAGGTTCTCTTCTCAAGGCCAGAGGCGCGCGTATCATCATACATGTGCTCTTCAAGCGGAAGTTCTAGGCCCGCTGGTCATATACCTATCCGTGTCTCTATTTCCCACCCTTCTCTCGGAATAATAACAGAGATTATCCTATATAGTTGTGAGAGGCACCCCCGCAGAGCTCCTCTAGCTCTCAACCGACAGAGCCCTCACACCCACAAGCCTCGCGCTCTTCCCGCTGCCCTCGCACCCGACGACAAAGTACTCCACCCGGGTCGCGTCCTTGCTCACCCTGTACACCCTCACGTCCGCGCCCTTGATCGCCTCCGTCACGGCACCCACAATATCTCCGTATTCCCCGTTGCGGTTCCAGTCCGAAGGGTCCTGGATCGCCACGTCTGCGTTGGCGGGGTCCCAGTGCTCTACGAGTTTGGCGAATTCCTCTGCGAAATGGTAAAGAAAAAAAAGATCTCACCGTTAGCTCATCGAGGACCAAGAGAAACCAGATATTCAAAAATCGAGGGGACAAGACAAACCTTCGTCAGGGAGTCCGTTGCCTCCTCGTCCCACTTCAGCGCCACCCCTCAAACGGCTCGTCCGCGTCGCTCATGTAAAACTTGTCCTTGATGACCTTGTTGATTACCGCCGGCACGCTCGCCCCCTTGTCCGTAGTCTTGAGTTTCTGCGCTCCCGATCCGCCCGAGGTGGCTTGCGCCCGTCCCGAAGATGGGTCTTCGTTGGCCTTTTCGAGGAAGGCGGCGTAGGCGTCGTCCGAAGACATGGTGCGCGACTGGCTCCCGTAGGTCGTACTCGGGGGTTTTTGCGTTTGCTTTGTTACGTGGTTCGGGTACCGTGATAATCCGGCGCTGATGTATCGCTGACGGTAGGGACGGGGCGTAGTACGGGAGAATCGCCCAAGTCTTGCAGTGTGGGTTGATCTGTTTAGTAGCAGACTGGTTCCTTGGTATGTGAGGCGGGGTGCGGTGCTCTGTAGATAGGCCAGCTTGTCGGAAAGATACGATTACAATACTACAGATGATTTATGGAGGAATAAAATGAGGGAAAGGGGGATGAAAGAGAAGTAGAAAATTAGTTGGAGATTGTCTTTTCAAAGGGGGACAAGCAAGGCAAACGGGAAGGCGGGCTCCTATAGCTTGCAGTCTCGCGTAATGGTTGTCGTCACGGGTCACGATGGGAGGGATGGGAGGGGTGGGAGGGGCGAGGGCGACGTATGGGCAGCTTGCTTGCTTTGGTGCTTGATGCTTGATGCTTGGTGCTTTGAGTGCAGCTTCTGGCTTTGGCTTGCTTGTGCAGCCTGAAATGATTTGCATGATCCCCAATGACGCAACATGGGCCCTTCGCCTGTGGTTGTACACTATGTTGGGCACGGCAGGGTGAGCGGGGCAGCTCATCCCCAGTCGTCACCAGCTGGTCGTGGTGGTTCAAATCGGGCGGACTGTCCAAGCTTTGCAGGTTTATACTGAGACGAGATTGATTTGACTGTTTATGTAGAACGAAATGATGTGCATAGTACCTCGGTAGTGTTCGCCTTGATAGGGCCCTAAGCGTGTCTATGGATATCAAACAAATCTCGTCGGAATTGAACACTAGAAAAGGAAAACACTCAAGCCCATCTAGAGCAATCGCTTAAGAACGCCTAGTATATTCATGGCACGGTATAGAACATCAAGTACGAACCGCACATTCAAGATGATATGTATCAAGGTACTCGCCTCTGGCCGTGATATCGCAACAATTCTGCACTTGCGCCTTCCGTTCCGCCCATCCATAGGTTCCATGCTGCTTGAGACAAAAAAGAGAAACAAAAAAAATTGAAAGGCCCCAAAAAGATTGTTGTACATCTGGACAAACGTCTGTGGATGCCGTCCTGCCCGTCCTACCATGCAATTACTCCAGCCCCAACACCTCTTTCTCTTCTTCTTGAGCGCCTGCAGCTTACCCCAAGCTACTCGAAGATGATCTTCACGGCGCTGTCTTCAGCCACCTTTTTGTATTGCACAGGGCATCCCGGAGGAGATCCTGGCCGGGTTATGAAGAGTGTAGTTAGTTTCACGACGCTCATTGTGGCGCTGTCCCTGCGCGCGGCGTACTTGGAAAGCTTTTACTCCTAAAGGGAAGATCGCGAACCCTTCGATGCTGTATTCTAAGGTACTACCGAAAATCGATGACGGCGAGCTAAAGTGGATTGGTGATTAGATCCGGCACAAGTGAGAGAGCGGGAACATGGGGAGCCTAGGATAACTTACTCTACTATTGGCACCATATGCCAGTTTCGTTCCTGTCGCATCCCAGCAAAGACAGTGTGGGTCTTCTTCGTCCGTTTCCGCGTTCACCTTTGGACTAAGCCAGCCAGGGTGTGGTGTGCGGCTCCAGCTGGCGCGGGGTATCGCATGGTCTCCCACCTTCCAAATGAGAACCTTGCTGGATGTAGCTCCTGCGATAAAGGCGCCGTCGGGTGTGAACGATAATGCCACAATGGGTGAGTCCATTGTGAGGAAGCATTTGGATTTACTTTCGGGCTTCTGTGCGTTCCATATTAGGATCGCGCAATCGTCTCCCCGGATGCGATAAGTCGCTCGTCATCTGCGGGTGTTGTTTGTAGTGGCTGCCATTGGATCGCTGTAATGCCACCAGAATGCGCCGAAATCGATCGTCTTTGTCCTGTTTCATCCCAAAGCTATTTCATTTAGAAGAAGGTTTCGGTTAGTAACAGTCACGCTGCACGAGGTGTGTAGATAAAAAAAAACAAAAAAGGAAGAGGGGAAGGAAGGGGGCGGGTGGGGGCCTACATCAAGAACTCCCTTGTCACTCGAGGTTGCCACGAGTTTCGAGCGCCAATCAAATAGAATTTGGGTAAAGTTGTCGTCCGGCTTCGTATCGAAGTTCCTGGCGATAGCAATTGCAGTTTCAGTGCAGTGGAGAGCCAGCAGCGTCTCTCCCCGCAGACAAGGAAGTCGGTCTCGTTGATCCACGCCGCGTCCAGTGGCCAGCTGCTAAGATCGTGGCCTGGGAGGAAGTATGATAATGTAGTTGAGGTCGCCGAGGGGTATACCGTTATAATCGAGCCACCAGTATCAACAGAGATGGCGAGTAAGGCAGTGGCGCTTGGGTTCCAGCGCAGCTTGATGACTGGTGTCTGGGCAACCTCGAATCTTTGCAGGTGCGATCCGTCAGGACCCCAGATATTGATTCTTGCCTTCTTCCCATGCTCAGTCGCAACAGCGATTGCCGTCCCATCCCAGTTCCACGCGAGCGCCGTCACATTTGTGTTGGGCGGTGTCTCGTCATCAACCAGGCTGTGGAACGGCTGATTCACGGTTGTCACGTGACCCGATGGGTTGCTGCTGTCGCCGTTCGGCAGAGCGCCAGTTGTCGCACGAGTAATGGTCCAAACACGGGCTAGCGCATCTGTTCCAGCAGCCGCCAGGCTGGACGGGTCCTTGGGGTTCCACTCGCAGTGCAACAAAATTGGTGCATTTTCGCCAACGCCGTTAATCTGGCCAGTTACTGATTCCGAGGCAGTCAGACGAAGAAAGGTTGTTTCTGGAGCGAGTTCCTGGACTTTATCGACTTGCGTACCCTGATCGGGGCCATCTGTTCGCGGTACTGGCGTGGGCGCGGGTTCGCGTTCCAGGGGGACGGGTAGGCGTGGTTGTCGCCTCCACCGCTAGGATCAGCAGTGTCCATGGGTGTGGTGGTGGCTGAGTCCACCACCATCCTATTTTCGTAGCTGTTGCTCAATCGCGGTTTTTCGTTGGCGACCCGTTCCCATTCCATTGCCCTGCGTGATGCTGTAGTCGCGGGTCAATTTGGCGTTTCCTAGAAAGTCGATCTCGCTCATCGAGGGGACCATCTTCCTCTGCATCCTCCGAGTCATCGTCCTCAATCTTCCGAGGAGGCTGTACAACCAGCGGTCCAAAGATGCCTCGCTGTGAATTGCCAGCGTTGGCCAGGGTTTCCTGGGCCGTCTATCCCGAGGCGGCATTCTGTCAGTTCAAATCGCTCCCGCGAAATTCGAATTGAATTTTGGGAGACGGGGTAAGAGGGGGGATGCACGGTAAAGGGAAGGCGAGGGACAACAGCATCGCAATTCGGGTGGTGGTGAGACGGGAAAGCACACTGAAGTGGTCGTTCCCCTACGCCTCCGACTTTGTGTGTGCGAGGGTTGCTGGGTGCACTGCCGATTTCGAACGCGGCATGCATAGATTCAGCAAGTGATGGAACGTACCTGTTTCTGCGCATATTCCCTCTCTAGGGAATTGTAGATTAACCCTCGGTTGATTACAGACACCAGGGCATGAGTCTGAACGTAGGGAGCAAAATCAAAATGGCGATGCGGCTCCTTGATGTGCCACTCCTTTTGAAATTTGGCGGCTGTCTCTCGATAATCTGCGCGAAGGGGGAGGGGAGGAAAGGTGGAAGCGTTAGACAACGAACGTGCATGGGGATCTCGAATTCACCATTCAAAGGGGGCTAAAAATTAAATAGGAGATGACCGCGAGGGTCAATTCACGTACTTCCTTCTAGTAAATACCTGGAATGAGGACAAAAATAAGACGTAAAAGGTTAGCAAAACAGATGCACGTCGATGCGGTCGCCGGCAAACACGTCGCGAACAAGCGGCGAGGGGAGTGAGCCCTCCCCTGGTGAGATGGAGGTGAGAGAAGGGTGAAACTGGGCTTGACGAACCTCCAGACCAGAAAGTTGACTCGATCCGAGTCAAGAAGTTCCTTCATCTTCGCGGGCGTCGTGGCCACTCGCGGAAGGGATAAAAAAGGGCAGGATGACAGGTCAAGGTCGCTCTGCCTGAAAAAATGCTAAATTAGAGGTTTACACGTCGCGCACAGCTTCCGAGGGCGTCGTCGATGTGGGCGGCAAGATTTTTGTGTTTCGAGGTTGTTGACGAGAGAAGGAAGGTTGAGGTGAAGAACAGGACGGATGGATTGTAGGTTGGCGAATTTTGGTGGTATGGCTTGTACTCCGTACTCCGCAAACGCAGGCTAGTGGTAAATGGGTACGGGTGGTGCTTCCTCGTCAGGTACTCTTCAAATCTCTTCGCCCTCTCTCTCGAATACCCCAGGTTGGCTTTGCTCCTGCCGTAGATTAGGCGGTACACAATGTTCGGTACACTGCAGGAGGTACCAGGCCAACTGGGTAGACAGGGAGCCCTCGGCGTGGAACAATGAGAGGTGATGGGGGCAAGGGTGTATGGAGAGGCAGGGGAGTATGGATCAAATGGGAGTCGGGGGTGTCGGGGGGGGTCTGGAAAGTCTGGGTGCCTGGGTGTCTGGGTGTCTGGCTTGTCCTGGCTTGGGGCGTACACAGCGGAGTAATCAGGACGGAGGAGTGATGGATCATGGGCGATTGGGACGATGGCAGGGACCTCCGTGCGCACAACTTTGCATGGGTTGTGTGGGCTTCGAGAGTACCTCTGTACCAACCCTGTTTAGGCGAGATCCAGATGCAGATAAATAAAGAGAAAAAGAAAAGGAAAAAGAAGAGAAAAATGAACGAGAGGCTTCTTAGCGCCCGCCCTTGGAGGCAGACCAAACGTGCCAGCACAGGCCATTCTCAGAGCCTTCCCAAGACCGAAAGTTGAGTATCAACTTGTGAGAAAGAGCCCATGTGTCCTATCTCAGTTTTGATTTTGTTTCTCTAAAGAAAAACTCGCGTCTTTTCCGAACGGCCTCTCTCCGGGGTCTTCAGCATAATTGAAGGCATCATGCTTGGTGGAGACTAGACAGTTAATCATCGAAATGCTTCCCTCGTCGCTTTTTTTTTTTTTTTCCCTTCTCCTCCGTCAGTGGGAAGGATGAATCTTGAAGCAAGCGCTAGATTGATTTGGCAACGGTCATCTGCACTGAATGTATCCACAACTCTACTTTGCAAGAGCTCTCCACCTAGGCTTTTGACCCAGTCAGGTGGAGCTGCGAACGACAATCAACGAGAGCATGAGATAGTTGAGGTGACGGGCATGCATTTCTGCTTGATAGGAGCGCTGGGGTAGCCCCTTCACTGATGGAGAGAGGGGAGGCTTGTGGATTGGAACCTAAAGATGAAGGCATCGTCCCCAAGTAAATTGGTACAAGAAGTCAGATCGTACCACAGGAGCCGATCTTGCACCAAAAGACGAGGAACCCCGAAGCTTTCCAACAACGAACTCAGCCTTGGCAACGGAAGGAGGCGCCCTTTTTTCGTTCCCCTACCCTCGCACCGGATTCGCCTCGACGACGATTGGGCCGAAGAAGGGTTTCGAAGAGTGCGTCCAGATCGGTGCCTTGTGGGAATCGTAGGAGAGTGAGGTCTTCGTGATCCACAATGGCCGTGCTGAATGCGTCAGTGTACAGCCAGGGCAGCGGGTACCTCGGTACTTCATCATCATCCTCACAGCCAAATGCCATGCAGCCGCTGGTTTCCTCACCAAAATTCGGCGCTGGTCATTAGATTTGCAAAGTATCCCTTTCGTACCTTGGTACCTGTAATCTATCGTCCCGCCAGCATTCGTTTCGCCTTGGGCCAAGCGTAGGGGGAACAAACAGGCCGCTTGAAGACGACATGTCCCAAATATGGGGGCGAAGCGGGCTGTTTTCGACCTCGGCAGCCCATAATGAAATAAGGTGAGAACCTAGTTCGCCAAAAATTAGAGGCAGAGGGAGTTGGAAGTGGGATTTGGGCTGGGTGCGGTGAGCCTGCCTCCGGCACTGTACATGAACGCAGTCCACAAGTGCCTCAATTTCAGCGTTTCGCCCTCCCCGGAAAATCTGGTGGGTGCTGCCCTTCTTCTCAATGTACCTGTACTCTCGCATGTCGTGGGGGAAAGGGGGAGGGGAAGCAGGATCCAGAGATGGGCAAGGCGAGGGACTCGTACACTTCAATGTTCCGTAGGTGCGCAAGGTGTGATGGACCGATCGTCAACCAACGCTTGCCTCTCCCTCAGCACTTCCGGGGAGCGCCGCCCTGCATCTGGCCTCCCAACTTGACCGTGCTGGGACATTGCTGCAATGCCAGTTCGCCACCCACCATGCGGAAACTTTGTGGAAGGAAGCGAGAAGCCACAATCATTCGGGACTATGGGACTAGTCCGTTTATGGAAACCCTTTCCCGTTCAACCTTCTCACGAGGCACGCTATTATCCTCTCAGACCAAGAGCCATTCGAACAAAGTCTAGTCCCGGCCCGAGACAACGTTGAAGGGGAATGAGGAGAATCCCCCAACCTTGATTTTGGCCAGAGAAATCGTAGCCCAAGCCAAAACACGCATTCCTTCCCTTTGAGAGGACCAAGCAAAATAAAGTCGGAATATTCGAAGCCCCTAATTTATCAACGTTCTTTTGGGAGGCCAAACCTCCTGTAGTGTATTTTGAAGACGCTGGTACTCCTTGAAAGGAGAAGTAATCTTGAGCAGTAAGACTCCACGGGGAGGGGTTGGGGAAATCTCGGCTTTTGGGAAGGGAAAAATAGTAGTGCTTGAAGTTGGGTCCAACCTTGTCACAGGGCTTGCCCCACCCACCAGTCAGGAACGGGAGACTTTGCTTGACAAGGAACCCGGGACCTTCAGCCCACACCTTCTGAAGCGCCGCGTTCAAGGATCTCGATGGAATGGATTGACGGGCGACGGGGTATTACAGAACGCGAAACAGGAGCCCAGCCGCAAGATCGATCTTGCCCAAAATTGCCCCGGTCAATCGGAGGGACGATATTGCTTCAAAGTTATCCGAGTCCCGTACAGAAGATATATCTAATCTTTGAGGAAGGGCACCTACTTCGTACGATGTATTCTTGACATTTGAGTTGAGAGCACGTTGTTGCGTGGGCAGTCTAGTCAGTGAAAATCACGAATCAAGCCCCATCTCAGCCCTTGCTGCTGTTTAGGTTGCAGCCCCGCACGTGTGTCCCTCGAAAATCAGACGTCCTCATGTCCTCGAGGTAGGTAATCGAACAGCTCGCAACAACAGGTGGCCTAAAAACAGCCACGGCTCTTTCTGAGGGTGCGAAGTTTGAACCCAAGGAGGGAACCAGTCTAGTACAAATTGTTAGCCTCGCTTTAGGCGCATCATCACTTGTTCCACGAGGCAGCCAAATTTCCTTAGTGGCTCAACCCACGCCAGCCAGGTGGTTGACGTACTAGGCGTCGATGCCTGTTCTGATCTGGCCTCAACTCCCATGCACTGAAGACCCTGAGACTCATCATTGAGCGGCACTGGAGTGATTCCAGTGTGTCAGGCCGGGTTACCTCAACTACATGTGTCACATGATACGCCCCCTTTCAAGCCCACTGCCACCTCACTCAGACGCTTGGGCCAGCTCAGTTGACAGACGGAGATTTTGAGCGGAACGACTAGCAAGTGGGTCGCTTAGATAAGCCGATCCTGCACTACCCTTTTTGGGGACCTTTTGCTGGCTGCCGATCAGGCTGTGGAGCTACATCGATTTGGTTAGAATCGAAAACGTTTCCCATTGTTTCACAGCTGATACCGAAATTTTCCCGGGCTCCCACGCAAATGGTCTTCTGAATCAGGAGAACGCTGCTTTAAGGCCACCTCAAAAACTAAATCCAGGAGTTCAAGGCTCGACCAGACGTTGGTCCCATATTCTCGCCTAGCTCGCGATACTCCATTTTCTGGTTATCAAAGCGCCGCAACTTAGCCATCATGCCTCCTAGGATAAATATCCCGCCCGTCACGCGGGTGATACTCTTTGCCTTGGTTGCGCAGTCACTCCTGAACGCTGCGATTCGTTATCGCCAGTGGACCAGCGGCTCGAATATCGTCATCCCCTACCTCACCTTCGTGCCACAGCTTTCACTAACGTATCCCTGGACGCTCTTGACGACGACATTAGTAGAGAATAATGTCTTTACGCTGGCGATTTCGGCCTTGACCGTCTACCATGGAGGCCGATATCTCGAGAGAGCCTGGTCTTCGGCCGAGCTCGCTAAGTTTGTCGTAGTCGTGTCCCTTATTCCCAACTTGCTCTCTTTGCGACATTCGTCTCCCTCTTCGCCTTAACAGGGAATGAAAGCTGGACGTAGGTGTACCTCGTTATCCCCTTCTCAGAACCACCCCTTTACCTACTGACACTTGTTTGTTTCTCGTCCTAGCTTGAGCGTCATCGCAGGCACGACGCCCATCCAGATTTCTTTGCTTGTCGCATTCAGCCAGCTCGTCCCGGCCCATACCGTTACGCTCTTCCGAGGCATCATCTCCCTTCGCGTTCCCCGATTCCCCTCCTCTACCTCGGAATCGTCACGGTGCTTGCCATGACACCCCTCTTCTCCAGCGCGACCTTCTTCATGGCCCTTTACGGCTTCCTTACCAGCTGGACCTATCTCCGATTTTACAAGCTCGTCTTCCCCGACCTAGACTCATCGCAGCCCTCTTCCCTGCGCGGAGATGCTAGCGAAACCTTTGCATTTGCCGAGTTCTTCCCCGGCCCTGCGAAACCCATCGTTTCCCAGTTCTCGAACGCCGTGTTCGATATCCTAGTCTCCCTGCGAATCTGCACCCCTTCACGCAGGCCGATATCTCAGCAGCGAGGGGTGACAACACTTACTTGCAGCGAAGTGTCCCCGGCGGCGCAAGGGCCGAGGCGGAGCGACGCCGAGCTCTCGCACTCAGGACTCTAGATCAACGGCTCCAAGCAGCCACCGCAGCGCGTTCCCAATCCACGCCGCCTCCTCGGGAACCCACCGGCCCGACAGTGCAGACTCAGCCCCCGCGAGCACTCAGACTGCCATGACAACTCAGCCGGCCCCCATGTTAGGGAGACCAAGTATACTCCGGACAATGAGGGGCCCGAGAAGGGCTCTAATTGAGCAGCAGCGAAACGTCGCGATTCTCTCAGGTGTTGTGCGCGACACATTGTCGTCCAGGTGATTTAGGCGATGCTCTTTGTTTCACTAAGGTGGTTAGAAAGCTTGAAACGAATGGCTGCAAATCCTCAGAAGGTTATATCTTATTAATATGTGTGGCTCGGAACCCTCACAGGATCGTTGGGGAGGGAAAGAGAGAGCTCCGTTCCTCGGTTTGGAGATATGTTGTTTCACTTGACGAATGTATTTTATCGCCAACGAGCGAGCTATTTTCGTTTATGGTAGGCTATAGTCAATTCTACGATGACACATTTATATGAAGTCTCCCCATCCATGGTCTTTTTTTCTGCATTTGGGCCTCGACTTTACTTGGCAGGGACGAACGCGTAGAAGATCGCACTTTGTGCTGCGGCTGCACTATGAGCCAAGGAGCCGCGTGGGGAACGCCACTAACAATGGGTTGAAGCTTGGGAGCGCAGAGCTGCTTGAGAGTTAGGCCAAAGTATGTTGCTCGGCACTACAAATTTCACCTAAGAAACGGAGGTACCAAGGCGACGATGGCAAACTCGATACTGAGAGAAAGGACTAAGCCGCGAGAATCTAGCCGATGTGCACGTGGCGGCTGCCGTGTCCTCTCTCGTTCAAGCTAGGTGAGGCTTGGGGGATGAGGCTCCCTCGCCGGTTGTCAGTTCTAGTCACCGAGAACCCAGTGTCTATTCCTAGACGTCACCGGGCAGCTTGCCAGTCATGCACGCAAGGGCGAGGCGGAAGGGGAGGGGGGATGGTCTCAGTCCTCACGAGTTGATTCCTTTCTCGGGTATGTCTTGTCTTACCATGCTGTTTCGTCCGGCTTACCCACTGTCCACGGAACCCTCGAACAGACAGGGTCTCTCTTTACTTCTCCTTAAATTAACATACAAGTAACTGCCCCTAAACTAGTGAAGCAATAAAACGAAAAGAAAAACAAAGGCACGTCGGCATGGCGCCCGTCCCTCTTTCATATCTCTGCCTCTTCTGCTTCTCCTCCCCGGTGTTTCTTATTTGTTTCCCCACTCTTCCTAAACCTCGAGTCCGTTTACATGCCTCGCCTCAGTGCTCTTTTGGGCCTGTATGTCATCAGATTTCATTGAGCTGGTCGGTCGGGATAGATGGCGGCCCCACTGCTAACTGGCCAGACCGATATTCGTATGTACGGTGCTTTCAGGACAAAAGAGGAGTGGAAACGCCTAAGCAGCCCACCCGCCTCATTGCTTTCTCGTCCCAAAGTATCGCTTCAAGGCAAAGGCAATCTTTTAGGATGCGCCTGAAGTTGCATTCACTTGTACACCGTTACTGTGGATGAGTGCTAGATGGCCCGCCTCATCAGAACTTTGTTTGGGCGTCAACGGACCGTGGGGTTTGAGGGCATGGGATTTGGGACGCCTCATCACGATTATTTGTCTGCTCTTTTTTTCTTTTACTTGATGATGAGGCCGCGGGGCGGCAAGTTCCCCCAACCCTTAGATTTGCAAACGCAAGTTGGGCCGGTGTTATTAGACCGTTCACCCCTCTCCCCACCCACTCATGTACCAAATCTAGACTAGATGGATGCACGTAGGCACACAAGACCTCTACACCTCTATACCTCGCCATATGGCGAAAGGGGTGCCGGCCCTGTGTGCGACGGAGCGAATCAAGGGGGTGGAGAGGGAGAGGGGTCAATGGATCGCGGAAAGGTGATGGACAACCCTTCGACACATAACTGGGCCTTGTCTTCGTCACGACGGCACAAATCGAATACCGACATGTATCCCAAAACTGGTCAAAGGGAGAGAGGAAGAGAGAGTGAGGGGTTGTGCGTGCATGCCTGTGCATCCATCTAGTCGAAGACGGGGAATATTTTATTCCCCTCTCTCCTTGGGCTTATATTTCCGATTCTCTAGACGGACACGCATATCATGGCCGCGGTGAACGATTTGCGGACCGATGCCGCTTCTCCCGTCTCAGGCGAAAGATCGGGGCACTCTACAAAGAGGACTCGGCCGCATGGAAAAGTGAGGTGGACAGAAAATACATGACGGGAAGTCGAACGGGAGAAGCAAAGTGGTCTTCGTTCCACAAGCTAATGTGGGTGCATGATCGGTTGGCCACAGTTGCCGAGAAGGGGACAGGAAGTGTTGACCTGCCGGGAGGTTGTCATGCGTCCGGCGACTCATGCCTACCCGCCTCCATTTTTATGTCGCAAGCCCTTTTTTCCCTCCGTGCGGGCTTCTCGCGTTCCAGTGTGGGGTTGCCCATTTGATGAGCCCCCTCCGCGTCTTCGAGGCCTAGAAGTGGAGGAGTTGGGTCGCCCCACAGCCTAACATTGGAATCCACAAATTTCCGGCGGCCGTTTTTATTTTATGGCCCCCTTCTATTCAGCTTTCTCGAAGAAGGATGAACATCTCAACCGGTCGATCCGAGCCAGTCGTCGAGACATGCTACCCTGACCTGACCGACAGAAATCTCTCCTTGGGACAGCAAGGGGGAATCGGGAAATCGGGAGATCACGTTATTGCAGGAGTTGGAGTTCCAGATTCGCAACCCAAGCAAACGAGCTCTGGGCTGTCGGGTCAGGAGAAAGGAGGGGGAGGAGGGGGCGCGCGCAAGGGTTCCCGGCCGAGAGGGTTGTGTTTGAGTGTTTGAGGCTTGCTTGTAAAAGGCCTTCAGATCAGATTCGATCTGCGGCGATCCATTGATCCCCTGTGGAAACTCTTGCTTGTCCAAGAGGTGGGAGGTATCATCCCACCATCATTATTGCATGGGCCTGCTGATAGTGACCCAGCTAGTAGTCCTTTTTTGCCCTGTGCCCAGCAATGCCAGTGTGACACAGATGCACTGGCTCGGAGAGCCAGCGTCGATTTGATTGATGCGTGTGACGGGGAGCAGGGCTAGCGGTCACTTCAGGGGAGGGGCAAAAGAAAAGCCGCCCTGAAGGTGGCTGAAGAAAGCAAAGGAGAAAAGAAGCAGAAGAAAAACCACCCCTTGTCCGGAGAATCGCCAAGTCCGCGTCACCTCCGTCACTCCCTGGAAGGCCTCATCCTCTGTCCCGGCAAGCCAAGGCCTTTGGTTTGTTTGTTCTGCGAGGCTCCATCCCGTCAGTAACCTTAGGCTTCCTCTTTAGGAATGGTGGCGAAAAATCTAGCGGCGGCCCTTCTTTTCATGGGGACGGTTTCTGGGAGCTCTTGATGGAGTGCTGGTTGTGTGTCCAAGCCGCTTTCGGAAGTTGGTGGATCGATGTGAAAAAGCTTCGGGTGGGCCCGAGTCATGGAAGAAGGGGTTGATGAGATTGAGTGCGTTTTCCGTTGGAGGCCCAGTGAAACGACGCTACTGGCCAGAGGGGGAAAAAGAAAAACGAGAGGAAAAAGAAATAAAAGACAAAGGAAAAATAAATGTCGCTGCTTCAGGCCCACCCTGATACCGAAATGTCAATCCTCTATGAAGTAGATCTGCCCTCAAGAAGCGTCAGCTCTCCCATATCACTGCCCATCTTCTTTTCGGGATTCGCTGACGGCCAAGAAGAACGAAAAGTGGCAAAGGCACCACAAAAGTGGGAATCTATGGGAAATTGACAGTGCAGTGGAGACACTGGTAATTTTGAGAGGGCCTTGCCTAGCAAGCCAAGGTAGCTCATTGATAACTGGGCTGAACCTTCTCGGTGCTTGATCGGCATCCTTGGACCTTCCGCGCGTTGGAGCAAAAATTGATTCGATCAGTCTGTCGAGCACTCGCTCATCCGTAGCTCGATTCTTGGCTGTCAGGAGCCCCTCGACCTTTGTTAATATTCTTCACGTTTGAGAGGTCGAGATCTAGGCTTAGTATGCCGCTTGTACTTCCCCATCGGACACATCCTACGAATTGTATTAACGCTTTCCTTTGCCTTGGTCGCGAATGCATATCTTTCTCGAGCGGCCGAGGGTGGAGGATGAATGGGTCGTTCCATCCGTCACTACAAGTGCACGTTTTTTTTTTTTAGGGGAATTCTGGGAGGAGGCTTGTGCTTAAAGCACGATTGATCAGAACCTGGGTCGCTGAAACTCTACGCCGCAAATCTGTCCCACTCGTTTATCCCCCGCCCCCAAAGTCCATGAAGCTGTGCTGTATTATCGCCGGTATGATGGGATGAAACTTAACACGTCTTTTAAGGTGGGGTCATAGGGAGGAGGATAATAACACATGGTAATACCTGTAATTTATGGATTGATGATGGTTGTCTTCTTAGACCATCACGAAGTATTCCGTCGCAAGGTCCAGCGAACAGTAAATTCAATATTGTCTAGTTTCTGTTTTAAAGCAGTCTTTATAATAGAAAAACAAGGAGAAGGAACATTGAAAGAAAAGCGAACACAGGAACGGATGCCGAAGTTGGGTGGTCAAAGCCAATACTCCTCATCTTCATAATCCGTATTGCCTGGCTAAACATGGCAAGTTACAAGGCTGGGGTATGCCTGCCTGTATCACACTAATCGCCCATGGAACCGGAAGAAAATGAAGAAAACAACAGAAAAGACAAGTATGAGTGACTCAGGTGCTCCTTTTTATTTTTATTTTATCTTTATCTTTAATTCTTTTCCCCCTTCTCCGTTTTTTTCTTGGAAAGGAAGGCGAAGAATGAGGGAAGACAAACGATAATACTCTGGCCCCCTTTAGGGAGAGGTAGAAGGATGCGAATCGAATCCATCTATGATCCATCTGGATCCAGGATCCATCCGGAGAGATGCGTGGTCAAAAGCAGCGCATGCTTAGCGGGCGGGACGGGGATATTCAGCGCCTGGCTGCTGGTGAAAGGTTCAATT